TAGGCGTTAACTAATGAAAGGGTTAAATCCTCGTACATGTCCACGAGGTGATACATGAAACGCGATAACCCTGAGCCGTCCGAGTCCCACTTCATTGAAAATCGCAGTCCGTGATGCAACTGACGGCCACTTCTCGTTTCCGCGAGACTTTTTGTCAGCTTGCGAAATCTAAGCCGAGCCTTAGTATCTGCCCGGACGTTTTCCAAGTTTTCTGAAATTCCCGGGTCGGGTGCAAGACGGCGCAATTGACGGGCAGGGGATAGGGCCCTTCTCTTGCACTATTTATAGTATGCCAGTCTATGCCCTCCTTGCAGCGCAACGAGATGGTGACTTACACGTATTACCACCTTTGAAGAAATTTCATACTTCCCACGTGGTCAAAACAGGACTGTCTTTCAATTCGAAAGGAAATTCTGCCAGAAGAAAATGGCGGACACTTATCCTTCGCGAATTACAAATTCCTTCATTTTCCCTATCTTTTTCTGCACCGAGAAGAGGAATTGCTGGAACCAAAGGAGCATTTTGTCGATTCGAAGGATATTTTATTTCACTCGGGTGAACTGAAATAAATTGTACATCCTATTTATTGGAATTTATTTGAGTACTTTTTTAATTTCGAAAATATTTCTCGGGTTCAATGGTGGTTTTTTATTGCTGCCAGGTCGGGACCTCTGGCAATTGGGTCTTAGTTGGCGAGGTTTTTATTTTCTCCACAAAAGCCGAGGTAAAACGACTCGTTTGCCATGCTTTCCCGATATGTCTCGACCTCTCTGGTCGATGGCATTGTCTTACCGGGGCGTTGCGTCGTTGGATTTTTCGCAAGCCGGGAGTTCTCCTTTCCGCGTCTCATCGGGCCTCGCCGAGCGTGAAAATTAGAGTTCTCCCGTATCCGATAGACTGGCGAGATCAGAGATCGGCTTCGTGCGAAAGCACTTTCGTCCACGGACGACCTACGATCGCATTGTGCGAGACGGCGTTGCTTAACGCATTACCACCTCCAACATGGCGGCCCGTAAGTCTCCGCGCTCCACCATTGTCTCCCTTCCGGCACTCCGCCCTGTATCCGGAATATGACACGTTCCTCCTTTAAACCCCGCCTGGGCTAAATTTATCCCCAAACCTGTACTTTTCCTCTTCAAAATGAGCGCTCGCGCGAGCCTTTCCGACAATTTCCAACGCCCTGAGAAAAAAAACAAAATCATTAAACCAAATTGAATTTCATTCATTGAAAAAATTCATTGAAAAAAACGCGAAGAATAATTGCCTGACTCCAGTAAACCCGAATAAATTGTGCGCGGCATTTATTCGGAATTATGACAATTTGAGTAAAATAATTATCCTTGGAATGACAAAATGAAACATTTTTTTTTTTCTCAGGGCAGATACACGAATTTCTATCCCCTGGCAATTTAGATATTTTTCTGGATTTTCCTGGATTTTTCCAGAGAAGCAGCGGATATTTCCGGAATTGATAGTGATTACAGAAAATGTAGCACCTCGATATTGACTAAAAAATTCCGATCTATGTATTTAGGTGGTCGATTTTCATCTCGGAAGATGTCGAAACTTCGAATCGCGTGCGGCGCCGCGTCGACACGAGAGGCAATCACCGATACGCGGGTAATTGATAATGGCAATTACATCGGGAAACGTCGTTTCCGGGTCGGAAAAGAATGTCCTCCTTCTTCGGCGAGTGTCGTGACGCGGTAACGTTCGCGTCATAAACGGCGCTAAAACGCGGCGCGTTTTTACGCCCGCTCGCCGTCTAGAAAGTCGACCGCGTGCGGAAAACATCCCGGTCTATCCTCTGCGGAAGTCGAGGATCTCACAGCGGTTCACTTTTATGTCGGCAATTCTCTTTTTCGTGCATTACCCTAACGACGTCCCCGGCATCTTCCAGAGCGCGCCTCTCTACGCCGCGACGCAGCGTCACACCGCGTCACACCGACCCTCAGCTTTGCTCGCGTCGGAAAATGTCGAATGTTCAAATATAGAAATTTTACCCGGGTCCAGACAAAGCCCGTGACATAATATCTGGAAGGCGAGCAAAGCACGCGAAGGGAGATCGAGGTGGCAGGAAAAACGGAAACGGCGGATCGTTATCGGTAAATGGGATCGATACGGGGAAAGGATATCGATCGCTGACATTCCGGCCTGGAATCACAGGAGTTGGGTCGTTTAACGCGCCGGAGGAAGTCGTTCCCTGACTTTCTTTTCGGTGGTAAAAGGATTTTTAGAATTTGGCGGAAGGTTTTTCCCCGCGGGCGGGAATTCTTTTCTCCTGATAAGAAGCGACGATATCGATTTTATCGGGGGATAAAAAGAATGGAAATTAGTCCTTGGACTGGATCCATGGATGACTTGATGCACTGCTCGATGCATGGGGATTGAGGGGCGTGTGAAAATTTCTTCCTCTTTTTAAGCCTGTCCCATGACGAATACGGAGTGGCAAGAAATAAACGCTGCTCAGCCAATCACACGGTTTAACGATCGGCAGACCTTGCGTTGTCATTACAGCATTGCGATGACGATGACGGTGCACCACCGACGCAGGAACCGCCCCCGCTAATCTTGCTGAATCGACCCGACAGATCGCTTTTCAATGAAGAAATCAAAAACGCAGACTGGTGACTCAGACGCTGAGACACGTCCCTATTTTCTAATTAATCCAATTTTTTTTAAACAAAATTATAGAGCACAATTTTTCTTTTTATTTACTCCCTTGCGTTTGACGTTTGGTCGACTATTGCCTGCACGCCTTAACGAATTTCGCCCATACGTCCAATGGGCTCCGTACTTAAAGGATTCGTTTCTAAGACACTTTGCAGCCTGAAAATGAATAACTGGAGGAGTTAGAATAGTTATAGTATTACCTATGTCGCTGATAAATTCTCCTATCAGATGAATACATAATGTAGAGCATCGATCCTCGCTCCCGAAGAGATGGATCCATCCTCGATGGTAGACCTTTCGCGAGTTCCAATTTCTTTTCCCTAGAAACGCGGGAAGACATCGACGTTTAGAGGCTGAGGATGGAACAAGAGTTTATGCCCGTGGCCGTGTGAAATCGCAATTACCGTACGTCAAAAAGCACGTGTTCCCGTGCGTGCCGCAACGCTCCCGGATCTGGTGTGTGAGAAGCCTCCCGCAGGAGCTTCATGCAGACCTCGCGGGTTACATAAAACAGAGGAATAGTTTATTAGGTTCATTAGGCTTCTTACTAGAAAATACAAATTAGAATCGCCCTACTTGGTGCAGTCTTCTCGGGAATTGCGATTTCCCACGTGCGGGGAACGCCTAATACGTGACTCGCAAGATGGCCGCGCGACGCGGCGAAGATTCTCAAATCTCTCGCGGGCGAGGGATCGCATCCCGGTGGCGGCTCTTTTTTTTTTTTCCTTTTTACTTCTCATACCTCGACATACGGTAATTTAACCGACATCGAGCGTACTTTAAACTCTTACGTGCTAATAATTACACTCGCGAAATGCGTGCTCCAGTTTTCGCCGCTGCGTCCTCCACGCCCTGGCCGGATCCTTTAAGGATATGCCGAGGCGATTGCGCGAATCCGTTTCCACGATCTATTTATAGTGCCTTCCTTGAATGCAACTTGTGAGAATATCACTCGACTCGACACCGAGAGCCATTACGTACATAATACATAATGCCCGCAAATGCGAGCAAAGACTTCGCGACCTATCTCTTTGTCGAAAGGAACCCACGGCTTGGATTGACACTAACGCTCCCGAAATAACTCATTTCATCGTAAATTTAATCATAATAAACTACGGGGGAAATCGAGATAGCTTAGCTGGAAATTTCAGGACAAATAATACTAAAATGTATTATTTAACGGCGACTCTCCCTCCGCTCGTCTTGGTCCTTTCTCCTCTATCTCAAGCCGCGATCGATCGTATCAACTTTCGAGACTGCAGTTTCGAGATCTACGTCCTTGACTTTACGCTCCCGTGTGCACCCACGGGAACGCCCTTTCCCGGGTCTCCTTTTTCTTTCCCTTGTTTCGATTTTTTATCCCGTATTCCTGGGTATAAAAATAATTCCCACGTATTTGTTTAACACTTCGACCGTGTCTCGAAGCACCGTCCCCATGTCTGCTTGCACTGTTAAAGATATTCATGAAATTCATTCACCTTTAGTACCTAATAATGAATTTCATGCCTCAAAAGTGAATTCTTATGCATTTATGATAAACATGAAAATAAATGTGTAATTTCGCAACAGCATATTAGAATTTTATAACCTTCTTGTAGAAAAATGAGTAAACCTATGTATTATATTTATAACATATGTTACGAGTGTTCTCTGGAAATGTTACAAAATTAGTACACCATGTCTGAATAAAACTTTCAAGAAAAATCGTATAAAGTTGGAATAATTGTTTTTTAACAGTATACCCCTTTACCGATTCCCACAATTTTCCTTTCCTTTCGACGGAAGAATGTCGTGTACCAATCCTTCGCGTGGGCGTTCCAGCTCGAGACCCCAGAAAAAAAAGGCGTTTACGCAGGATCACTTTTATTCCCGCGGCCGATCAAAGGCAAGGGTTCACTTAGATTAGCGGTAATTTGAATGCATTGCACGTTGTCCTAAGGCCTTAACCAGCGATTTGCAGTTTCTGCAGTCGAGCCCAGCTCTGGGAAAAATCCCCTCGATAAATAGGATGGCGGAGGTTCATTCAATGCATGTACCCCGAGAGATTCTCAAAGATATAATCCAAACACTCAGGAGTCATGTCGGTATCATAGTCATTACTGTCATGTATTTGCGGTACGCTTTTTCACCCGCGGCGTATGATCGAATTGGCTATTATCCGAGTGGTGGAGTAGCCTACCCCGCATTTAAGTCGTTTCGCATAAACGTCGATTGAACGTGGGAGTCATTTCTTGGCTAACGTTATATTAAATCCTTCAACTTGAGCTTTTTTACTCCCTCGTCCTTTCCCCGTGATATGCGGTAAGGATTGTTCCAACCTACCGGGTAGAAATTAATTTCTATGAATTAAAAAGTCTTAATAATCTCCGACCTCTGGCCATCGCGCATTATTTACGGCTCTCGCGATGTACAAGTAATTCCGACCCTAATATGGGAGCCGCTTAAAAGTCACGGAAACAAGTGAAGAATAATTTAATTTCATACACGTGTTAACGTAAACTAAGGCGAGTAGAAAATTGTGGGACGTTTTCTTACGAGACAGTTAGAGTAATCGCGCCACACCTTTCCGATAAAATATTCGCAAACTCTCGCGAACGATTCGTCGGTATTGATAAGCAATGTTGCAAATGAAAAGGAGACTGTTTAATAAGGAAATTTATGCGAGGTCTGCAAGGACTCCGTTAATTTATGTCATTAGCGGCGAAGATTGCGCGGACTGCTTTCCACGTCGCGTTGGCGATGTTATTATAAATTCTATTATTCTTGTTTACGAAGACAGCAGTCGCCTTGGTTTAATTTAATTAACGTACATTTCTCCGCCACCTCGAGCCGTGCTATCTCGGCGAACGAAGGAATGATCGCCGAAGGTACTCGCAGATGCTAAATTATTATTCTTGCTTTCTAAAATAATTACAAGAAGTCTTAAGATAAACTTGTGTAAGAGAAAAAAGAAAATGGCCCCGAAATTAAACCTCGATGCGCTTTTGACCTATCTATAAATGCAATAACGTAACTTTTCACATACTTCTTTTGCTAATGGTGGCATAGATTTCCCCGCAAGTACAAGTGCAGAAATATCCGATTTCAAGTGAATTTCTCGTCTACACGTTACGCAGCCTCTCAAGGTACTTATGTCTAATTGCCTGTGTCTATCTAAGTGTACTCTAACGTCCTACAAATCTCGTTATGCCCCGTATAAGTACTGCTTAACGAAACTTAAAGAAAGCGAGTTAAGTTAAAACGAGTAAAGAGGAATGCGAATGTTAATCCGAACTATGATTGACGATCTCTTCTAACAGGCTGTAGATATAATTTTAGTCCACTCTTGGTCCAAAATACGTGCCAGGTTGTAATGTTCATTTCGACGACACGACGATGACCCATACAGGTTGTTCTCGTTTCTTCTGCCTCTCCTTTCTCGACTCCCGTTTACTGCCATGTACTGTAAGAGAATTTCTAAAAGTCCGGGGAATTTTTAAAATCCCAACAATACATAAATAAACGACATACATTACTCAGAAGACGGTGATCCTAAACCTCGGATCGAACTCCTCTTCCTCCTTCTTCCGCTTCGGGATGAAGGGGTTCTTCTCAGGATCCAAATTCAAGCTGAAAAAAATAAATAAAAAATATAGTGTTATATCTAACCAAAGTCACCACTTAATTTTGCAACCAAGAGGTCTTTCATGCGATGGATGAGGTATTTCACCGTGAAGATCACAGAAATTCTTCCGGATCTCATCTTGGTACCACTTGGAAAGTGAGGATTTGTAGCTCTTAGCGTGAGGCTAATTGGGCCCGTTTTTATCGTCCCCGACTTAACCATATCGTATTTTAATAGGAAATCCATCAGAAGTGAAAATTACCCTATTTATGAAACGTTACTTCCTCTCGGCTTAATATCGAAAGAGGTCGAGTGTTCTTCAGACGGAACCCGCTGCTCCCAATGGAGCGCTTCAATGGTTGATTTGCTAATTGGTAAGAACGCTGAAAATCTAATCGTTTCCTCATTGGAGGTATACTTACTTATAATGGGCCGGAGCATCGGCGCAATTGACATTATACCACCAATCGCAGGCGAATAGTTGCTGGTTGAAGAGAGTCCCATTCGTGCACAAGAAGGATGCACCCTGGTGTCCTTCGCGGCCGTCGTGGCAGATGTGATACGCCTGAAATGACATTTTTATATCAACACACCGGCCGATAAAAAATGCCAAATGGTGTCGGAAATTAACACGTCCGATCCGGAAAGAAAGTTCGACTTCCAGGAAACAAAAGCGACGTGCATGACGAGAGGAAAAGAAAGACATGCTCGAGCAAATTTTGAGCATAGCAACGACATGCCCCACGTGTCGTACGTGTCCATTATTAAGAACTTTCACGAATCGCGTGCCCAACTCGTAAGGAAAGTTCCCGGATAATAATTCAATGCTTGAAATTCTCGACAGCTAATTGGACGCGAAGACGACCCCATTAACGACCCCATAGGAAAAAGCAATAAACGCCCAACCACGAAAACCATCAGGAATCATAACAGTGAGAAAAAAAGATTACTCGACCGAAACAAATGTCACGTTGACATACATATTCTTGCCTGAATCGTATACAATTGCAAGGAACAATTGTTCTGTTGAAATAAAAAAATTGATTTTCATAATTCAAAGATATAGACAAATATTGACGAGGAGAAGACATTTTTAAATACCAATTTAAATTGTTCCAGGGTTAGGATTATAAAAACTACAAAATGCCGATATAGGTTTCAGCAATATCGAAAGTGCCTTCTTTATGACCCAAGCCTATCTTCCCATGGAGACCGTGTAGACTTAGAGACTATGGAGACTAAAACGACCAACAATGAGCGCATTTCCCATGCGAGTATGTGGCGAAATTCCCGAGACTTCCGGGGGCGCAATTTGCTCGGGAAAATTGGGCCAATTCGTCGAATCCCTCGTGGACTAATCTCCCGACGGAGCCGTCGACGTCGATATATCCGAGATATATCCAGCCTCGCGAACGGCACTTCGTGGGTGTCTTTCACCGTGGCACTCTTTCAGCTCGCCCGGTCCCGACTCGCCTTGAGGCTTTGGTAATGCCACGCCGCTCTCTTACATAATGAATCCGCTCCACTTTGCCTACTTACGTCGCCGCCCGCGATTTCCCAATAATGCCGATCGTCATTGTCACCGATTCGACGCGGACCCGGACCGCCTCGTTTTTCTGACCCTCGTCCAATTTTATAACTGCATTGCCCCGCACATTTCACTTCTGGAATCCGCCCGAGATCGTAATACGACGATTGGCTTATCAACTAAACCGCCGATTTCGAGAAAATTAATACCGATTGATTTACACCGTATTTTTTAAAGAAAAAAAAAGGACACGGCAATACCCGTAAATTCACGTGTTATAAAGGAAGGATTGTTTTTTCAAGATTATATCGACATTCATCTCTGATTTCCTGTTAACAGGGTTTTACCCGACGCGGGAATATTTCATGAAGGTAATTAAGGATAATTATTGATATTCGATGGTGCTCTTTGGCTTGGAGAGATTTTTCATGTGGCGGTGAGGCTCGATTTTACTTGATTTTTTCTTGTGGCTCTTTTACTCCGACCCGAGGATCGATATCGATCGGCTCGTCGATTTCGCGATTTCGATCGGCAATTACGCGGATAAAGGCAAGAAGGACTGTATCTGAAATTAGAAATTGCGTGGAACCCAGGACTAATGCGCCGGTTATTCCATTTGCAAATGAGCGCAGGGGAGGTTTCTAGATCTGAAATTACGTTCTTCCGCGTTGCGGAATCGGCGAGATCGCGGATTGCTTTCCGCCGCAATCCAGGAAGGCGGAATCCCCGGGATGCGCCGGAGGAGATAGGACGAAGAGGATCTCGATCTCTCGCAGACCTATCCCGGAATGTCCCCGAAGAATGCGCCTCGGCGTTTCAGCAATTTCGCAATTATCGCGTTTCTGCACACGTCCGACTTTCCGCACCGGCACTTTCCTTGCGGAGGACCTTGGCAGGACTTTACGCTGATACCATTCCAGGTGTTTTAGTGTTCTCGTCCGGTATACCTGGGACTTTCTAGACAGTCACTGCTCGGCTCGCAAATAAATCTAAAACCAGCGTTTCACCTCTTTGAGAACTCTCTTAAGGTGATATGAAAGTGCCATATATTAACGTGAAAAATATTTATAAAACTTTTCTCCAAATTGGGTGTACCGAATCATTTGAAACTTCAGTCACGAGATTATGGAGGCCCTAAGGAAGAAGGCGATGCGCTTGAAATTTCATTTTTTGCAAAAAAATTTACAATTATCTCGGACAAGAAACAAAAAAGACATATTTTCATCGCGTTCTTCCTTAGGGTCTCCATAATCACGCATTAAAGTATATAGAATGACCCTTTCATATCACCTTAAGGCCTAATAATATCTGCTGGCCGCCTCTCGATATCCGGCGATTAAAAAATAAAATAAAACATACAAAAGAAGGGAACGCGCCTCAACTTTGCTCGCTCAAAATTAATAATCAGAGTGTAAATCAATTCCAATTCGGAATTATAATCTGCTCGGCCTTCCAAGGATTTCATCATTGGTTCTGCATAAGTGCGATCGATCCTTTCCGAAGACCTTGATAAGGCTCCGAGCGAATACTATTCCAGGTTTTAGTAATTGCGCATTGCCGCCGATACTCGAGACTTTCTAAACTTCAGAATTAGAGCCGCACGTTATCCGCCTCGACTCGCTTTTCCGAGAATATTTTCCGTGGTTAATATAAAGAGGAACCTGAAGAAGCCTTGAGCATTTTTACTCCACGTACAGGAAATGCAAATTGACCGACGAGCGGAGCAATTAGACGCGAAGCGGTAATTAATCTGCCTAGGTTTAATCGGGAGCACCGTGAGCGTGGATATGTAAAATGAATAAATAATACCTTGTTAAATAATCGTAACGACGAGGAGATTACGACTCCATTCTCCCTGAATTTCCATTCTCCATATATCCAGGTTACCGGTTCCGTTACAGTGAAAGGTGTACCTACTGATACCGCATTTACGTAAAAAATAACTCTGCGAGTATTGTCGGAATAATTCCCACGTGGGTGTCCATTAGTTAGAAATTCCATATCTCCTCTAGAAGGCTCAATTAAAAATGTTAAAGGATCCGAAAATCCTGAGAACGTCCCTCAACGTAATGGCATGAAATTAATTCCCATGCTAATCGTTACTTCCAGGAATTTCTCCGTATACGAGTATCCGCGAGATTCCTGGCAAAGCGTCAGATTGTCCAAAAAAAAATGCTTACCGACTTTTTCCTGCCTGAAATATGACGCTTTCTTCTCGAATAAATTGTTTCTCTCCTTCCGTTTGCCTTTCAGCAAAGACTTCAGCAACTTTCTGAGCAAGACTATAAAAAAAAACAGCTGTTTTCTAGTTTTCCTCCCGTTAAGTTTCGTTGGGAAGTCGTAAATTAGATTGATTTCCCATTAATCAGTGGCGATGGATTCAAGGTCGGTTCCATCAGGGATCTTCTCATTCCTGAAGCGTGCGATTCACCTGAATTTCCTGAAAGCTCTCACCTGACAACCTGTCTCCACGTTGGCGTACATCCCAGGTGCATAGGGCACATGGGCGCAGGAAAAACTGGTCGGTGGTACGACGTGATACAGAGGAAAATCGACTCCAGGAATGCCGGGGATCTTGCTAAAATCCTGACCTTCCTTCTTCTTCGGGATGTTCTTCACAATAATGGGTCCGAAGATCGGAGCCACTGGCTGGAAGGCCTGATAATCATTGTAATCTCCAACGAAGTCATGGTCCTGGAAAAGAAAAAGCAGTGCATGCCTTTCTGAAAACAGGAATTAATCGTAAAGTGCATTTTTACATGCCCTTACTATGCACAAATTCAATAATAATTAGGGATGAATTTAATGTCAACCTCGCCAAACCAGAAACCGCCGACTGACTCATCAGCCAAAGAACTGAAATTAAATGTAACCAGAATATAAAAATTACCACTGAAATGTAGAAATTAATATAAACAGTGAATTACTGTAAATAAAACGAGTCGCTTTCTGAATAAAGTCCTACTGTTAACGGGCAAACTTTCAATCACCGTCCCTTAAAAAGTCCGCCTCAAAAATCTCGCGTGATCCAGGGGATCTTTTTCCGGCCTAATTTTTCTAAACGATCGATCGATCACGCAAGCTCGATACCGAGTTCGTCAAACGTCCCTCCGATTCGCGTGGACGAACTCGGCCGGGGTTTGTTTTGTCGGCGATCGAATTGCGGTACCTCTTCGCAAAAAGATCCAGATCCACCGAACTGTGGCGGGATCGAGAAAAGTGCGGATCGACTAATCCCAGGAATTAAAGCCAAGGGCACTCGGGATCTACCGAAGGAAGCAAAACCAGCAGACAAATCGGCCCCAGGAATTATCGCCAATAAATTCCGCGGTTATCCGTATAAACCAAGTAAAGCGAAAAAATCGGAGTAAAACCAGAGAGGGTAATTGAGATTTAATTTAAATCAAGGATGCGCGGCCCTTGGTGATTAAAAAAAAATCCGGATTAAAAACGAACGCCCCAGGTCTTTCCCCGAGGCTGGATATTGCATTTTTAAGTACTTGTGCTTTTTTCCCAGGATTTTTCTCAGGCTAAGAGAATAGGTCAGGTGCGAGTACGCGTGCGATCGCAGCGAAAGTACATTGCTGGGATGATGGAAGGTGCGATAAATCGTGTGATTTACCTGGACAACGATGGGGCTGACCAGTACCACGAGGGTGGTAAAGACACCTGCAACAAGGACGCAGCTACTCCTTGCCATGACCGCACCGAGTTTGATGTTAAACTAAACTGGTCCAGCTTCCGTTCTGCAGCCTCCCTTGCCAGTATAAGAAATTATGTCACAGAGAAAGTCACTAGATCGTTGTGCGAACCGGCGAGCCTCCCTTCTACCGGGCCCGGGCATGTGTGATGGATAATTACCTGCATGCCCAAGTAATTCCCGAGCCTTGGAGGCGTAATTGGCATTTGAAAATCGACTCCTTTTTTCTTTTGCCAATTTTTGCGAAATCAAATAGAGGCCCGAGGTCGGAGCCCCCCGGGCTCGAGTTGGCCTACTGGCGCTGCAATTAATGCAACGAGACGTTAATATGACTTCACGAGGCATCGATATATTTACAATGCAATAACGACTTCTTAGGCCAGGTGTTACTCTACATTACCGCTCCGTAATAGAAGTCGGAGTAACCTGTTGTCGGATGAAACGCTGACTGTTCACCCTAGGAATACCGTAAATATCCGCTCACCCACTTCGTGAGAACACTTCCTGCCGATGAAAAACTGAGGTAAATCCACCGCGCTAATAAATGCGCCAAGGCACAACCGCGAAGGTAAAACGCAAAGTTAATGGCGATAAATAACGGTCGGGAATGATTTCCTCGACGGCGGGAACACGCAAGGAGGCTCGGGAAGTGCAAGTGGAAGTGCAACGGAGGTGCTGCACCGATCGGATCGTTTTGCCGGAGCACTTTGCAGTACCCTTTTTGCAAGAAGGATCGACATGTTTGATTCATACCGCAAAATGCGGTGAAAGTAGCCCGAAAACAAAAGTCTGCCCTGCCTATTCCGTTGCACCCAGTTGCACCTGATAGTCTATTCCGAGATAACACAGAAATGCATATAAAATAGCCTACCGCGTTACCTAAGGAGGGAAAAAAAAAATAGAGAAATAAAGATCCCCTCTTATTTAATTAATAATATTACGAGTGACCCGTAATACCGCTGGAATATTAAATAGGAAACGGGGAATTTCACCCTAAAGTGCAGCTGAAATGCAAATGCGAGGAAGTAAAAGCGTCCCCTGGATCTTGAATGCGGTGTGCATCCAGCGTGCACCTATTTCCTACAAGACAGGTGTCTAGATTGCGGTAAAATGGCTCTCGCGAGAACGCCACTATTTTCACTTTCAGATTCACGAGGTTTCAGCCTCAATAGGAAGGTACCACGCCGCCATTCATGCCCCTGCTTCGATCTCGCTTTCTATTTCGCGGCCGGGAATACAAAGAGGATAAGATGCAAATCTCGGCCTGATAGTCCGACATCCTGAGATCCCCCTGAAAACAAAAATCGGCGCCTCCATTCTTCCTAATCATCCCTTCCCTTGCAACGGTCCAAGTTCGTCGCTCTTGGAATTGCCCCGGCAATGTTCGCACAATGACTCCAACAAAGCCGGTTAAATTCTGTTACACGAAGCTACACGGTACGAGGAAGGGTCAAGTACAGACTCCGACAATGCGTCCTAACATTGAACCTATTTCTTTGCACGGCGCTGGCAAATCTGCCGAGCGCAATTTAAGTCCTCTCAAGAGAGCGAAATTCAAAATGGCGGAGAACGGCGGACGACGAAAATCATTAGATAAATAGTTTCGTGCACAGTTACCAAGTAACTCGCAAGACCCGCGATACCTAGCAAGACGTTGACGGATATTCCATACAAAAATTGAAGTCACCTCGAGAGGGCAAAATTCAAGATGGCGGCGACGAGTGAACGACGAAAATGGTAGATATTAGATTGTGGAATACGCTCCCGCCGTTCTAAACGTAACGTAACGTAATTAAAACGGCGAGAACATATTCCTCAACCTAGTAGTTACGTGCAGTTACCAAGTAACTCGCAAGTCAAAACCCTAACAAAGACGTTGACAGATATTCCATACAAAAATTGAAGTCACTTCGAGAGGGCAAAATTCAAAATGGCGGAAACGGGAGAACGACGAAGATCGTTAAACAAATAATTACGTACAGAGAGTAAGTAACTCGCTAGTCAAGACCCACGGTGTCCGGCAAGGAGACGGTGACAGACATTCCGTACAAAAAGTCCCGTCGCAGGCTAGACCGGCGACTAAACTATTTTAACATCCGAAATGACCGCAATTGGAAGCGATTCGCAGAAACGAGTCCCCGTCTGCACGTCTGTACCCTTACTCGGTGCGCGTAACTCCAACGCGAGGAGTTAAATCGGCAATAATCGCCCAATTGCAGACGGTTAGGCTGCTTAGCAAGGAAGGGCCGCATTATAATTCGATTCTCACCCAAATGGATCGGGATTGTTCGGTAGCGTCCCGAATTCGTACAGCGTATTCCATGCGCGTGGCCATGAAATTTCCATCGAGGTAAGCGTTATCAATTTCAGATTCGTTATTAAATCGGAGATCTCCCTCGTCGTTGGAGGGTTCGGTGGTACCAATAATGGTATCGATACCATTATTAACATCGATATCAGCGCCAGAACCAGTATCAATACATAAACCAGCACCAGCTCCACCTTAGGTACCAGGTCAACCTTAAGGTGATATGAAAGTGGCGTCAAAGAGGTTTCATTAACATTTTTCTCCAAACTGGGTATACCGAATCGTTTGAAACGTTACACCGTGTATAAGGACGCCATGATTAAGGTCCCTCCACCGATAAAATTTCAATTGTTCCAAAACATATGGACATTAAAAATTTTTTTTTGTGTATATAATGAAATTTATGGGCGGAGGGATCTTCCTTATAGCCTCTACATTCAAGGTGTAAAGTTTGAAACGATTAGGTACCCCCCGAAGAGAAAGAAAAATCCCCATAAATGGGACCTCTTTGACGCCACTTTCACGTAACCTTAACTCGAGGCACGCGTCGCAAACTCGTGACGAATTCGATTCGGTCCCGCCTCGGGGCATTTCATCCTCCCACGATAACGAAGAGTACACTAAGCATGCCCTATCTACCCTATCGGGGTCTTCAGCGTGCGACCCGAGCCGGGCATCGGTCGTCGTGTTGGTGGCGATGAGTGCCCTCTTCCTGTGAGCCCCTTCGAGCCGCTGTTCCCTGTTCCTCGTTCGGCCACCTCCCGTCCCCCTCTCGGTAATCAGCTTCCTGGATGGGGCACATTATCTGCCTGATTGCAGATCCCAACGACGCGATACCTAGGCAAGCCCCGAGATTGGATCATACGCCGCTCGGCAAGCCCTCGCGCGTGCACGCCCCGCGAATCGAAGCGAAGGTCCTCTTCGTCTTCCCGGCTCGAAATTTCGGGATCGTCGATTCCCCGAGGAATCAGGACCCGATCGACCCCTTCCGATATCTCGGTAAGCTGCTACCACGTCCCAGGTCGGAAAGTATCCTTGGATCCTCGCCAAAAAGGATCATCATCGACCGAGATCCCTGATTTCTCCTCTCCCCGGGTACCGCGTCTTCCCCTGCGGGGGAAATTCAATCTCGAGGTGTCCGCGTGTGTTCCCTTACCCTGGTTGAATGTGTAAGAAGGATTGATCCTCGCCTATCGGCCGGCACAAGTGGAAGCAGTACTCGACCCATCGGGAGGGACATAAGTACCGAAAACTCGTTACCGGAGATAGATACCGATAACCCGCAACGAGCGATCCCTCGATATCCAGGTGATGAATCTAGGACTGACGCACGATCCAATTTCCCAATTAAGGACAATCGGGCCGTGAACGGGGTGGATTTCGTCACCGAATTTCCGACCGAGTCGACGAGGCTCTGATCTCCTTCCCAGTGGTGCGGTTTGCCGCGCGCTCTCGAGGTCGACGTCGATCCCAGAAGACGCCCAGACCCGGAAGAAGGGATTCAGAGTCGTATTCTGTCCTTTTAAAGGGATGCCGAGGTCGCCGTAGGAGCGGGGATGGTCCCTTCGAGAGGCTCTTCGTCGTTCCTCGCTCCTGCAGGAAGAGTCTCGAGGAATCCCTGAGGATCGCCCCGTGTGCAGGATGTCGCTGACCCAGCGACTTTCCGGCGCCGTTGCAGCTCTGAGAGGCACCTCGGCGGACGGGAAGGCAGACCATACGTAAAAAAGACTCGTCAACTTCCTCCGTAGTTACTCGCCTTTCTATCAGAGGCTCTTTCAGGTCCGGCGCTGAGGAAATCGAGAAGATGACGTCCGAGGACGAGGTCGAGCCTAAAGGGAAGCTCCTGGTGACACCTCTGGACAGGCTGCAGATGGTTCGTGGTCCAGATTTCGCGTCCTGCAAAACTCCTTGCGTTTCTATGTTTCCCTGAAAACATGGCGGGATGTACATTGATCTTTTACGTACATTTTACAGGTGGTGAACTGGTTCGGCGAGAACCTGCTACTGACCTTGACCATAGCCGGCGTTTTGGTGGGTCTGGCGTTAGGCTTCCTAGGGCGGTTAGCCGAATTCTCCCCCCAGTCCATAATGTTAGTCAGTTTCCCTGGAGAAATACTCATGCGTATGTTAAAAATGTTCATCCTCCCGCTCATCGTCTCGTCGTTAATCGCTGGTAATTTAGCTGCGTCGATACGAGAACATGGTCGAAGGTTTGGAGAACATTTAGAGCTTACCCATCGTGTCCGTTCCAGGAATGGCTCAGTTAGACGCAAGAAGCTCCGGAAGAATAGGCTTTAGAGCTTTAACGTATTACATGGTCACCACGGTTCTCGCGGCGATCGTGGGCATCGCCATGGTCTTGATAATCCATCCTGGTGATCCGCGGATCAAGGCGACGGTCGTGGCTCCTTCCGGGGAACAAACAAAGGTCTCCACTTTGGACGCCATCCTGGACATCATTAGGTGAGCCGCCGTACATTATTTTAACGCCAAATGTCCCAGAGATAGTGTACAAAATTAATATTGCAGGAACATGGTGCCGGAGAACTTGGTGCAGGCGTGTTTCCAGCAGGTGCAGACGTCTTACATGAAGAAGAAAGTGGTCGTCATTGGGAGTAGCAATCAGAGCAACTACGTGATGGAACCAACGTTGGTCTACAGAGACGGGACCAATGTCATGGGGATGATCATGTTCTGCATCACCTTCGGGCTCCTTTCCGGCCAGATTGGACCCAGAGGGAAGCTCATGGTAGACTTCTTCGTGGTGCTTAACGAAATCATCATGAAGCTCGTCAGTATCGTAGTACTGTGGTGAGTGTCTCTTTACTCGATTTTTCCTATAGGTTTTTTATAATTACCCTGGAGTGTCCTCCCCAGGTACTCTCCGTTTGGCATCATGTGCCTCATCGCTGGAAAGATCATGTCCATCACCAACTTGGCTGCGACCGCGCAAATGCTGGGACTTTACATGGTGACTGTGGTCCTCGGCTTGCTGATCCATGCGATCGTGACGTTGCCACTGATATTTTGGCTCCTGACTAGGAAAAATCCTGCCATCTTCTTCCGCGGAATGATGCAAGCATGGGTCACCGCGCTGGGAACTGCGTCCAGGTCTGTGCGATTCTAAACTGAGAATACGTCGTTTTTCTTTTTTTGCTATTAACTAATAAATTGGCCATCATTTTCGCTACCTACAGCGCGGCTACCTTGCCCATTACGTTTCGTTGTCTGGAGGAGAATAATAAAATCGACCCTCGGGTAACTCGGTTCGTCGTGGCTGTTGGAGCTACCGTGAACATGGACGGCACGGCTCTTTACGAGGCCGTTGCGGCAATATTTATCGCTCAGATGAACGGAATTTCCCTGGGGATCGGTGAAGTCATCACTGTCAGGTGTGGTTTCCTGTAAAAAAATTGTATATCTTTAATTATTCTTAAGTACAAGCTTTTAATTATTTATTTTCAGTCTTACTGCCACCTTGGCGAGTGTTGGAGCTGCCAGTATTCCCAGTGCTGCTTTGATCACGATGCTTCTGGTACTGACTGCACTGGGATTGCCAACGAATGATGTGTCCTTGCTCTTCGCTGTCGACTGGATGCTGTAAGCAGTTTGTTAGATGTGTGTCATTATTTTTAGGTATATATTCATCGTTTATTATTACGTTCCAGGGATAGAATTAGAACGTCCATCAATGTGTTAGGTGATGGATACGGAGCTGGAATTGTCTATCACCTTAGTAAAGCCGAACTGGAAAAAATGGATGATGAACGGAAACACGAAGGTCTTGAGGCTGGCACTCCACCGAGTGATATCATCGAATGTTTAGCTCCTTTATCAACGAATAATACAGTGCAGAGTTCTGAAACGAAGATATAAGTGAAACTAACGACACAAGATGCAAGAAATTACTCCTAACACATGACACCCGATGAAGTCTTTTAGATTAAAATCGTCCTTCCATTTTGCCGATGGACGTTATTAAAATGTAAAGTAGTACGTCTGTGCAATAATTACCTATAGAAATTATTGTTGAACAGTGTGAAATCTGTGACAACCCCTTTTTGTAATATACAATATACATAACGAGCATGTTAAGTACAAACTCGAGAAAGATCGGAATAGATATTGAAAATCTCATTTAGGTATTGTTACAATTGGTAAGATCGGCAGCAATCCTTTTGCAATATGTGCTGCCTGAATGGAAGAGATAAATAATCAAACTCATTTTTAATTACACAATGCATTTTATTAATCTTATATTTACTTTTCCTATTATGTAAGGTTGCTCACTCTCCTAGAAAATGTTTTTATAATAATTTATTTATGCTACGTACTTGTTATAAAGTAGTATTTATTTCATTTATATTGTGTAATTAATAAACATATAAATTATTTATCATCATTGTTCATTACACGTACAGTTCTTTTGTTTTACAGAAAATAACGAAGAGATGGTTCTCCTCACCGATGGAAAACGATATCACTAAAGAAACAATTACTTGAATGATACATTTTGCTTTAATAACATGAAATATATTGCAGCCTAAGTATAAATAAAGGAGTTGAAAATCTCGCTTTGAATTTCTACTTTAATAAACGTGCACCATGCCATACAGGAATCTGTAAAAAAATGTTAAGGAACGTACATTGAAATGGCATTTCATCATTATTATATATTAAACTATGTCATATAGAAAGGATACGTCCAGAATAACACATAAGTCTGTTTCAGGCATTAATTAAAATCTGTTAAGGAACATCCAGATGATTAAAATGTAATCTACAATGTTAATATAAATTTGCTTCTAAAAAGACAATGGTTAAAGGATACAAATAGTCCACCAAAAAATCCATTCGTTAATAGACTGCGCCTACTGATAAAGAATTTCCTCCAATGTCCTCCAGCTTTCAAAAGCAGCATTGTCTAAGTAATTAAAAAAAAGAATTATTTCGTTATTTAAAGAGTAGTAAAAATTGGATTATACCACCATACCCATAAACCGATAACTGCAAATATGTAAAAGCCAAAACCATATAGGCCAGTCAATCCGAGAAGTCCAGCTGTACTACCGGACAAAGCTGCCATTGATATCCTACAGTACTCGACAACTGCGGCATTGTTACGAACTGCAGCTTCGCTGTAAGCTACGATTTCTGTAAACACAAAATAGTTTTATACAAATGACAATCCATGTAATTAAAATATGTTCACTCCATTAAATTTCTATTCTCACTCTATATCACGCCATGGGGTAAATGAATAATTTTCTTCATGCAATTCTTTTAAGATAACCTCAAATACTAAAATATACATTGAGACAGTGCTAGAAGAAACCACATTCTTACCACCACTTTTCTCTTGCTTTGTTCGAACTTTCGCAGACATCACTTTTGTAATATTTTAACAACGCTCATTTACATTCACAAATGATGATCATTAATTAAATTCTAAATATCGCTATTTACAGCTGACACACCACATTTATTTCTCGCAGACAACACCCATAAAATCTCTTGACAGAGAATAGCAAAGAGTGCTCATGCCCAGGTTTCACTTCTTTTGCCTACCGGCCATTAATCGAAACCATTCCACATTTATCATGGACATACTCCTAATTCCGTATCGGATATAACGTTTCCTACAGATTAGACGATTCCCTCGGTTTCGTTTTATTCGAAATGCAGATCTACATTAAGCAAAGAATTCCGAGATCTTCATTATTTTTGGAAACATCTCCAGTACGATCATTTTGCCGTTGGTATTGATATTCAAAGGGCCCGCCATGAAACACATCGTAGCCAATCCCAGGAAGCACGTTGAGTATCACATTGAACACGGCGCGTCAATGCGTCAAGCGTGAACCAATCAGAATTTTGCAGAAATAACGAGCCGGCTTAAACGCAACTCTGATTGGTTCGTCATTTTTGCGCGTTGACGCGACGCGATGTGTGATACTCGACGTGCTTAATGGAACACCAGCCATGACCGCCATTACAGGTAAAACGGATGTGACCAATCGCTAACCTCGTACTGCTAGTAACATGGCTGCGTCTTCCTTCCTAAACCAATCAATATTCTTCGAGAGTCGTACCCAAGCCGTTTGAAAAGGAGCCTCAGTATATAGCCACATGTTCCGTTCTGCTTGAATTGTTCAATTTGGCTCGACTCGGTAAACTCCTTGTAGTCAGTTGCTGCGGTTGCTGCTTCGCTTCGACGTTTGTCGATTGTTTTGTAACGGTGTTTATTGCTTCTTCGAACCGGTAATCAGTAATGACTTCGTGAATCCGAGAATTGCACGAAAACCCTTGCGATCACCGAGGCCGGAAAAAATGTCGCTGTTCAACAAACCGAAGCGTAATATACGGCGACGGCCTTTCAATGAAGAGGACGAGGATAATGAGAACAGGATGGAGACAGAAGACGCTCAGCCCGTCAAACTGAAACCTAAGAAGAAGGATAAACCGAAGCAAACGCTCCTCAGTTTCGGAGAGGAGCTCGAGGAAGGTGATTTTGCGAAATAATTAACCGCCCTTGATTCATGGACCGAAAAACCTGATCTCGTATTTAATGTCGCGAATATTCTTGCGATTTTTCGTTCGGACAGATTCTGGGGTTCGAGGATACAAACTGTGTACAAATTGTTCACGTTTAATACTGTCGTAGAATTGTTAATCTCAGTTAAGGGAAAATTAACGGTAACGCCATGTTGCAATAGGTAAGATAATTACGGAGCTATCTGTATCATGGAAGATATTAATGTTTGCAGCGGACGACGGCGAGGTTTTCAAAGTGAAGAAATCTTCGAGGAGCAAAAAACTGATGAAACAGCTAGATCATGAGAGAAAAAAAAAGAAAGGTGAAGAGAAAATGCAAATGGACCATGAGCAAGCAAACATGTCCATTAAACAGGAAAAAGATTTAGAAATAAAGACAGATGATCTAGTAGTAAGCTATCTCTATGATGTTTTATTAGTATTAGAAATTGTGTAAATCAGTTGTCTGTATATAATTATATTAATGTAGTTACATGAGATGTTTAATTTCTATATTAATGAATTGTATTTATTCCATTAGGTTAAAATAAAGAACACCGGACCTTTGATTTTAAACGGAAGAGCTGCGTTAGCAGCTGGAAAAGACGATTATACTTCGGATGAAGAAGAAGATGATAACCGTAGCAGTCATAAATTTCGCAGAAATACTGAAAGAACCGATACTATGAAAATTCTTCTCGAAAGTAAGCATTTAATTTTAAATATTTTTAGATGAATCATGTAAACATATTTTCCATATTTTTAGTCATTATGTTGAAGTGTGTGTAATATATGTATAACATCTAAACTCATTATTATAGGTGGTTGCATACCTGATGCTGCAATGATTCATGCTGCAAGAAAACGTAGACAGAAGGCAAGAGAGTTAGGAACGGACTATATACCAATTGAAGAACAAAGGTAAAATTTATCCTATCAATGAAACAACGAAAAGGAAATATTATCTTAGATTGTTCCATACATGTACAGTAACACTGAACATTGGATTGAAATATTATTTTTACAGTGACGAGAAAGGAAAATCGAGACTGATTAGAGAGGAAGATCACGATAGAAGCGATGATGACGATTCTCAAGATCGAATAGATATGACAGTTAATACTGATGCACGTGATAAAGAAAAGAGACGTGAAGCATTCCTTGCTTCTCAAGTACAAAACAGACGTATGTATTTTTTTTTTTCAGTTATCTGTATTTTTGGAATCATTGTCTTACCATCGTATTATTAGTTTCAGAAGATGAAAGTGAACATGGTAACGAAGAAGAGGAATGGGAAGCGCAACAAATTAGAAAAGGAGTAACTGGTGCACAGGTAACATATCTTTTTTTTTTTATTTTGGGCAGTATTTCAATGAGTCACCACTATCTATGTGTTTTTAATATGTGACATGTTTAAAACGGTCACAGATTGCAGCAGCACAACAAGATTCTATTATGCAACAGCAATATACCATGGGTGGAAGCCAGGTCATAGGATCGGGAGTGCCGCTGGAGATGGTAATGATGCCAGCACCACCGCCACCACCATCGATTCACCCACCGGACCCTACGAAGATAGAACCAATCTCTCCGGAAGATGTTGTCAATAAAATCCGTGGAAGGTTGTATTCAAATTACTTATTTATTAATTATTACTAACACAATGAAAAGGAAGGTAAAATCTGAAAGCATAGGCTTTCTTGAAGATCTAATGGGCGCACACTTATTAAAAGTGTACCACAAATATTGATGCATATCGCGTTATTATAATGGAGAATATTATTTTTGCCAGATTGGAGACCTTGAAAGAAATTTATCACCGTCATCAGCGGGATCAGGAACAGTTAGATGAAGAATTAGAGCAAACCGTCAAGGAACTGGATCAGGGCGAAACACGTGCGCCGCAGCTTGCTCAGCGCTTCAGATATTACCAAGAGTTGCGTGGGTATGTCACTGACTTGGTAGAGTGTCTTGATGAGAAGGTGGGTTCATACGCTGTCACGCTTTTTTTGAACATTGGGGGTTTTCACATGCAATGTCATTCAACGTTTCTCAGTATCGGCTTTAAACTGTAATGCCACAAAATTATTAATGTGCTACGGAAACAAGTTAATGTGACATCCGGTATTGGAAAATGTCAATTAAAAAATCATCTAAATATTTGGATCTCAATAAATTCTTCTATATACACATTTTTTTATTTTTGAATTAACTGATGTCAGTGGTAATTTATTTCGTAAAAGTAAAAAGATGGCACTATTTACTCCGACATGGCGTTGTTTAACAATGGCATTCTGAGATCAGTGTATGATTCTTTGCCGGGGGTCAGCATCTTCTCTGTGTTGAGATACGCTTATTTTTACAAAAATGATTGTAGACCTGTTGAAATAAGTGTTTGAATTTAAGCGTAATACTCGGTAAGTAAACGTGGACAAAGGGAAAGCCCGTAACTCTGAATGAAATCGGTGATACTAAATTTTGTCTCATTTGAATATCTCTTAATGGGTTAAAAATTATCCAAACTATTTTCGCTTTCTTAAGTTTTTGCTTTTGTTACGATACCTGCTATGTGGTTGTCTCGTAATATTTCATAACATACCTTGTCGAATGCTTTTTTTTTTAAATGGACAAAAGAGACGAACATCTCCATTCTGTTCTATACAGAAAAGATTTAAGAAGGGGCTGCACTGAAAACTCCATTCGAAGACAAAAATATATTTCTTTATTTAGTGTACGTTCCTTAATTAGCTGACTTTAATTAAAATTTTCTTTTGTTAGCTGCCTCTGGTTGTTGGATTGGAGCACCGCTGGTTAGACCTCTATGGAGACCGTTCAAATGAACTCATGGAACGAAGGCGACAAGACACGAGAGATCAAGCCGAAGAGATCACCACTGCTGCGAGTCAGTTATTTTTTCTCATTATATTCCGTCACTTAGGACATTATCTACGCATTGCATTTATTTAAATAAAACATTTAACTTAGACTTGCGTAACATTATTGCTACTTAATCTACTAAACCACGCATTGAATATTTGTGAGTTTTCATTAACCGAATGATTTTGTCATCATTGAGAATGTTTCATTGTTAAATTATGTCAAAAAGAAATCAATGTTAAACTATGTCTTTTTTTATTTTGACAGGAGGCCAAAACATACGAAGAGGACCAGAAGATGATGCGCGTATCCGCCGTGCTACAGAAAGGGAGGGCAGAAGAGCTCGACGTAGAAGAGCCAGAGAACTGGTTCCTACACTGCCGAAGCATATCGATGGCATGTCCAGTGATGACGAAGTCACTGAGCAACAAAATCTCGCATTTAAGCAAGCGAAAGGTTGTATATTGCAAATATTTCCATCTGATTAGCAGTGGTATCGTTGGATCACTTGAAAAAAAAAAAAAAAAATGTGGAGGCATTAAAAACACTTATGCTCCTAGTAAAGCGTTAATGTTATTAAAGAATTTCATATTAAATGTATATGAATTTTCTTCCAGATGAAATCGATAACGACAGTAAAGATATATTTTCTGACGTCGTCGATGACTTTTGCACCGTACGAGGGATTCTTTCAAAACTGGAGTCCTGGAGGGAGACCGACATCGATGCATACATGGAAGCTTACGTACCATTGTGTATACCAAAGATTATTTCTCCTGTAATCAGACTTCAATTGTTAACCTGGAATCCAGTTATGGTATGTTTAAATTACGTTAACTGTAAAGGAAAATCGTAGTAATGTGATTTGTGCATATTACAACTTATACTTTTTCTTTTATTCTTTGCATTAGGAGAGCGCTGACTTAGAAAGAACAAAGTGGTATACTGCATTACTGTTGTACGCACTTAACAGCAAAGAAACCGAAGACTCATTAAAACGAGATCCGGATGTCAGACTAGTGCCATTTGCAATTGAGAAAATCGTTCTTCCAAAACTCACTGGTAATGAAATTATTGTACCAAACATTTTGTTCGGTTGAATGTTAATATTAATATTTTCGTACTCTTGACAGCTGTCGTAGAAAAGATATGGGATCCAATGTCAACTTCCCAGACTTTGCGACTAGTCGGTACTATTAATCGTCTCATCAGGGACTACCCAAATCTCACAGATTCCAGCAAACCTCTAGAATTGCTTTTTAACGCAATTTTGGAGAAAGCAAAATCCGCCGTGGAAAACGATGTATTTATACCAATTTTTCCAAAACAGTGAGTACTATTCTTAACTTGAGTTCCCCATAATTCTTAAGTTTTTACTTCATTCGCGGTATTCATTTCTTATAGAGTTCTCGACACGAAACACCAGTTTTTTCAACGACAGTTTGCAATGGCAGTTAAATTGCTGCGAAATCTGCTGAGTTGGCAAGGACTTCTAGGAGATAATCAGTTGAAAAATTTAGCACTGGGATCACTTTTAAATCGCTACCTTTTGGCTGGATTGAGAGTTTCCCTGCCAACTGATGCACTGACGAAGGCACATATGGTAAGCAGAAATAAGTACATTTGATTTGATAACTGTTTTTTTTTTATATATATATTAATTGTTTATTTTCCACAGATAATGAGCACGTTGCCTCGAGCGTGGCTCCAGGGTGACACTATCGATCATCTAAAAATGTTTGCTACTTTGATATATCAGTTAAGCCAACAATTAGATCAAGCAAATCCAGCTCACAAGTAAGATATTTTTACTGTATCACATAAAGATAATTTTTAGCAAACCTTAAAACCTCTTTATTATATAATTGAAATTACGTTTCAGCGAAGCGTGGGAGTATTCAAAATCCATCCTGAAAGTAATCAAGCCTTCATAACGCGCCCATTTTCATGCGCTAAAAGCGGTTTACAGTTACGAAGTTAAACTCATCAATAGTTCTATGTGGCATAGAAGGCTCATGTATATGCTACGATAATTATACACCATATATTTAACCCTCTTAATTGTGTAATATAAAAAAGGACAATTTTGTATAGCGATTATCCCGTAGAAAGGAACCGCTGTAAATGCAAAACGTCTCGTACATTTGAACTTTGTAAATAATAAAGAAAGTTAAAGAAACCGAGGTCCGTCGTAATCGTGACTTAGTTTAACCGACTAGTCTTAAGAGCGTCCCCGAGGATGCGATGATTTCATTGAATGACTACTTTAAGAATGACTAAAAATCCACATACGTTTCAGAGCGAAATTCACTATCGGCGTAGATAATGAATCAAGTGCTGATAAGCGAGCGGTCAGAGGTCATGTCTCAAACCTTTTATCCGGGAGACAACATTGTAAAGATGTGAATTACCGAAAGCAGAAAAAAAGAAACAAAAAATGTTGGCAATATGAGATGAAGCTGGTAAACCATCTAGGGAGTTACATACTCGAATACGTAGAGATAAACATTGTTACGGTTGTAGTGTTTAATTTATTCTTACAAAGTAACTGTATTCTCGAACTTACAGATTCCCAGTCGCGAATAAGCGTGACATAAGCCGAGTAAAAAATACGGTGGGAATGCGGATAGTTTACCGAGGGGGATAATTCTGACACACCGCTACACTATGAAATACGAGGACTGGTGTAAGCGTAGGTCACAGAGATATGAACCAAAGATACTCTTTGATATGAACTGTGAGGGTCATCTCTGGCTGACACGTACCCAGTCAGTCTCTGTACTGCCAAGATTTCACATCATGAGCCTCCAAGGTACAATCCATTGTTTACATCCACGTGCCTTAAACGATCTATAGCTCGTAAACAGTACATAATCAGTATCGTGTGTTTCATAAGTACACTTAACATTGTTCCTCGACCGTGACCTGTGAATTTAAACGACCACCACGAATTAATTCATTTCTCTCATTTGTTCCAGCGCATTACGGGCGTGCCATTTTACTGACTTTCGCTGTGCTATCTGGAGCCGCTTTCGCGGGAAGATTATTTTCGAAAGGGAAAGAGTACACTTATTCCTACGATGCATCTACAAGTTCAAGTACGTTGCTGCCAGCAGAAGCAGCTTCTTCGTGGGGTCTTAATGGGAAATTGGTCATTATTGCTGACGAGGACTCGGTTCTTGTACAGGTACTGTATATTATAGGATGTACGTCGATATGCGATAATTATTGTCAAAGTTACTGTCTCCAAATTAAATCCGTTATTTCCAGTTGCAATCGATTAAAATGAGCGCCTCTAACGGTCCTCCTGGCATCGAGAAGGATTTCGTGAAAATCGACGAACAGGCTGAGGAACTTCTGAAGCCGTTTAGAATAGACTACGACATGGGGTACATACAGAATTTTAGCGTGGGAACCGAATCTCCCTGGGCCACTAATATTAAGCGCAGTATTGCTGGGATTCTCCAGCTAGATTTAAAGGCCGTAGAGAAGAAGGTCGCATTTTACTCCCAGGAGGTAAAGGCTTTGCCACGATTTCCTGGCATCTTACTTATTAACCAGCGGCTCTATTATAATTACACGTATTTCCCAGATCAATCATTACGGACAGTGCAATATCGAGTGCGTTGTAATCCCGATTACCGAGGACGAAAGCGTCGTTACGAAGTCATTCGATCCTCGCACCTGTCGAGGACATCCCCAGAAATATTGGAGCAACGTTCCTCGCATGGAGTGTCCCAATAATGACCAAGTAAACGCTTGAATGAATTCCTGCGCCCTGATGTATTTTATGGGTTTTTACATTCTCATAATTTTATCGGCATGTTCAAGAACCCAGTATTGAAGTCCAGCGAGCGACTGTATAAAGTAAGAGCTAAGGGAGAGGATTACACGATTCTGTTCGTCAACGCGACCGGTGGGATTTATGTACAGCCATTTCAAAGCCTCGGCGAAGCCCATGTATTATTCACCCGGTAAGCTTGCCCGTTTCTTATTCCTCTGTATGTAATTAGATAGACGTAAGAGATATCCATAGATTCGTCGTAGATCGATCTGACGTTTTAACGTGTTTACCGCACTCTAGGCAAATTCTGGAATTAACATCGGTTCGAGACGTGAATACTAGAATCTCTAAAACCGACCTACAAGCCGCAGGACTTGAACACGAACTCCCCGAAGGCGACTTGACACAAGGTAGAAGCGTTCCCGATAAAATTACTATATTTGCAACTGTAAGTGAAATGCCAAGTCGCTACTGTTATCCTCGTTTAAGTCTATTTAGGCTCCGATAGTGAATTTTGAACGTCCATCTCGGCAACATCCTACCCCAGATGACACCATTGTGCCTATGGATATTCTTTAATTCTTTTAATATACTCTCGATAATTAGAATATTTAATGGATAATCTGTATGTACATTCATGAGCTGGAACATGCTTTGAGTATATGTTAAATATTTGCATCGTGTTCCGGGAACGTCGAAGTAATTCGTAGAATGTTCATAGGAACCAGGAGTGTCATTTGGGACAGTTTTTATAATTCAAGGAATTCATATCGTGGGTTTCTGTCGTAGATACGAAACCTTCTGGACAGGCTGAGTCAACGCCTCGAGAATCCTGGATTAGATACTAAAATAGATAATTTACACAATACGACCATTTCGATACTTCTGTACTATCTGAATATGTTAGAGCGCGCCGATTTGCAGACAGTCTACAACAAAATATCCGGAACTAGTTATAAGGAGGAAACAATCAGGTTGGTGAAATAAATCTGATACGCTTCTGGTACTGTGCAGCCTCTAAGAACGTGATATAACCATATATTTCCAGGAACATGTTGCTGGAAATATTACCGCAAGTAGGGAGCAAAGAATCGGCTCTATTCGTATTGGATTTAATTTTACAGAAAAAGGTATCCCACATAAATGCGATCCAGCTGCTCACTCATTTACCGTTTCACGTTAAGAACCCGAACGTCGAGCTGCTGGTTAACATGCAGTCGCTCCTCAATTTACCGGATTACATTGCACCTGACATTCAGAACACGGGGATCCTTACTTTCGGGACGCTAATTTACAAGACTTGTCAAATGTACTGCCCGTATGAAATGCTTGACGATTACGTGCGCCTTTATCTGGACAAATTTACAGGTAAGCCATCGGCCCGGTTTGCTAATGGAAATTCGATTGCTAATTATTTCATTTCAGAGAGTACGCAGTACGAAAAGAAAATGGTATATCTGGAAGGTTTGGCGAATATACAGCTGGGCAGAGTTGTGGAGTTCCTTGAACCGATCGCAAGTGGTGGAAATTCTGAATCTCGCCATCTACGTTTCCTTGCGGCATGGTCTTCTCTACCGAGTGCTCCGTACAGACCGGATGTGGTAATTAGACTTGTTCGGGATGCATTATTTGAATTTATTCGTATAATTCTTCTCAGTCGAATCTGTCGGCAGATATATCCAGTGTACTGGCCGATTTTAGTCAATCGAACCGAACATTTGGAGATGAGGATAGCTGCCATGACTCTCCTGATAGTTTCCAATCCATCTCCCAGTCGGCTAATATCACTGTACTGGTACATGCAAGGAGAGCCTAATCAGCATCTGTACAATTTCTTTTACACCACTCTGAAATCCATGGAACGCACGAATTACCCATGCTACACTCACATGTAAGATATTTCCCGGGCACGAAATTACATAAACGAATTTATATGATTTTCTTTCTCCTACCTTCTTATACGAAAAAATGGAATTTAAAAAAAAAATGCGCTTATCGTATTTCTCATTTCAGAGGAAACATCGCAGCACAGTTTATTCGGATTTTGCGGAAGCCACCCACCCAGCAGAAAATCCTTACAGGGAATTATTTATTTGATTATCAAGACACTTCCAGGCATTTTGGAGCAATGTTGCACGGCATTGTAATCGCCGACTCTGTTACGAACATCCCCACAGTGTTGCACTTAACTCTGAACAATCACGGGATTGGTACAAACCTAAACCACGTTTCTGTAAGCCAGACGTACCATAATAATTATTACATTGTCAATTACAAAGTAGATAATGCCTTGGGTATCGTTCTTCAAGCTGTACATAAAAGCGGAAGGTCTTCTGTACTCATTGTCGACATATCAAGATAGTCCTACCCGGCTAAAGGACATATTGAAACAATTCATGCGTCATCAAGAGGTCGATCATCCGGTGCACTTGGAAATAATTGCACGCGTCCAACAGAAGGCGGTACTGTGTCTGCATTTGAATCAGACCAACATTGTAAAGGCATTTAAATGTACGTAGAGGACTGAACTTTAAGTTCAGACAATGTTTCACCTGATTTCAATTACGTATTTTTGGTCCTTTCAGTTTTGGTCTCGTTGCCAGGAAACGCCTACCATATCTATCAGAATATGGAGTTCCACATTAATCAGCAGCGTATTAATGTGCCATTAACAATTGAATCCGTCCAAGCTACCGATCTTGGAACTAATGTTCGCATCGCGGCGACGGCTACGTCGCTATTTTCAATGAGAGGGAACTTTACCCACGTATTCACAGGGCGAAACAACCACGTAGTTTTACGGTGAATATTTATATATTTATGAAATACCTGGGTGGATCTGACGATACGTCGATTACTTTCAGAACGTCAATCCACGGTACTCAAACAATAGAAACGTACAATCCATTGACTGATTTATGGCATGGGGCTGAACGTACACAGTCATTTCATGCATATCTGCCGTTTAATATCACAATAGGACTCGACGAAAAATTCTTCGTTTCGTACATGACACCTAAAGGCAAGTAAGACGGGAAAGATATATGAAATGAATATTTTATAACGCAAACACGTGATCCCAATGCTTCAGAATACGTGAAAACTGGTATAACCGGCCATGTAAGAGTGGTCACTAATATCAGGGGTGCAAAAGTAAAGAGTAAATTGCAAGCGATATGTCCTTCGTGCCCGGTATTATATACTGTAAGGAAATATGCTCCAGAGGAATCAACGGTAACGTTAATTATTTAAAATAATAGCTCTAAGATATTTGAAACGTACTTTAATACTGTGATTATTACATGAAGAATGTAACCATCTTTGGCACTAAAGCCCCAGAATTGGGAGGACAACTGCACGTAAAGATATTTGACTGTGAAAATGATATTTTCCAAAGTAACGTGGTCGTCGACATGTTATCATCGCATCGTGGGAATTCTCGGTAATTTTCCTAGTGATTATTTTTTTTTTATATATATATAATTCTATCTCTGTTTGTTATTTTGTTTCAACTGAAACGTTATACTGCAGAATCTGGCCTGTTGCTCAATCTGCTCTGCTTGGACTTCATCTCATAGATTATTTTACATATATTCCCCCGAAGGGGAGCTGCGGAGTGGAAGTTTATATTGAACCCTACGATCTACAGTCAACTGAGGTGAATACTGAGTTTATTAGTATGATACTTGTAAGATATATAATTTTTATTACACTGTTAATAACGTGTTTAAATATAATCGTTAGGTAAGATTCGAATACGTCAAAAGTGAGAAGTATCACATGTTCTCCATAATACGCCGAGAGCTGGAAACAAAGAGTATCTTTCAACAGTGGAACGTGGCAGTTCTCTACGAACCTACAAGTATGATTTCAGACGTTATTAAAATCAAAGCAAGTAAAACAATACCGGGAGAAAAAGTCATGAAGGTAATGTCTAAACTATTACTTATCGGTGAGCCGAAACTGAGGGTCAAAATATGAAAATTACGAGTTAATGAATATTCTTGTCATCTATAAATATTCTACAGGTCTGTGTACAGTGTGATAGAGAAATTCCTTGGGATTGGGAATATTTAAGCTTGACATCGACCGAGCCATCTTCCATGAAAATAAATATTGTATGGGGTCCATCCGACACCGCGAAAGGAAAGTGCACTGGAACAAAGATATTATTAAATTTACGCGGTGAAGTGACAAACAAACAGGTGAAGCAAAGTTTGGAGGACAAGTGGCCGTATAACAAATGTCGAGAAGAATCGCGAGGGAAACAATTCGTTCCATACACCGAAGCATGTTATCAAGCTTCCAAAGAATTATCTACTTTGCGAAAATATGAAATTTTTACCGAGTACGAAAATGTAAGTCTAATGTTCTATGTCGAGTATTCGTTAACTTCCTTTAGCTAATTTTTCATTAATTCACGTAACAGGTCCCGACGATATTGATAAGTGCTGCGTGGAAATTTAGGAGCTTTTATAATTTCATCGGTGGTAACACCAGTACTTCTCAAGCTTCCGATCAATTTTCGATAGTAGCAACGTTCCCAACGGATTCAAACACAGGACAATTGCAGTATAATATGGACACCGTTCCAATATTTTACAGTTCCCCATTCATCAGTTTTTTTTTTACTCGCAGTCGACTGCATAAGTACACCGACAATCCACTGCTCGGACCATTTATAGGTAGAATGCATTATTTATCTATATTGATTTTTATATGCAAGTGTTCAACCTTTTTTTATTGGCATTGATAGATGTGTGTGTGCTAAAACCATCCACGGTACAAACAGTTCATAACATCAGTGTTCCCTTGCGAAGAGATCGAGAAGCAATGATACTTGGACATTCTTACGAAGACAACCCTAAGTTTGTAGTGACTGCAGTTAATACACCATCAGGAATTATTCTGAATTTGCACGATGATACTGACGATATTAAAATTATGCCACAAAAGAATGGAGGTGCAGTCTATAATTACACTTCGGAACTGCCACTGAAACGCGACTTTGAATTTCACACAATCAATTCTAAAAGGTAAAATATTATTATTACTCTTACATCACGGTTTCAATAATATATTTTTCTTATTGTTACAGTTTAAGACTAGATGGGAAAACAGTTGACGTTATGTTTGTAAATTTAGTGTTCATACATTGGACTCAAGAGCAGGTATTCTTGTTCTTCCCAAACTATATTCGAGGATTTACTTGTGGTGTTTGTACTGCACATGACTTTGACACTGCGATCTCATACGAGAAACTTTAAAATAAAGGTTTTATAAAAATATTATCATTTAAGTAGAGAAACAAACTAAGACTAAATAATACAGTAAGTTTGTTAGCAATTTCCTAATACCATGCGCTATGCAAGTTCAAGCATGGGTTTTGTAAAACTAAACAAAACTATTTCAGATTTTCGTGAACATAAAATAAAATAAATATTTGTGCCTAACAAAACTAATCTGTTTGGATGAACTTACTTCTCTCACAATATATTTAGATGTTCATTTGAACCACTATATATCACATCACTAGACGTTCTTTGTAAGGCATCCATCCAAATGGTGATTCATCTCTTTCTCCCAGATAACTTCCATACAAATTGGGCAAGGAAATTTAGCCACCTGTTCTGCACTTTTGTCCTTCGTGTTAAAGTCAGTGAACGATGAAGATTCATCATTAAATACACTTGCAACACAATCTTCTAGGTGATCTTTCAAGGGAACCGTGGACTCAATAATACTGTTACAAACTAAACACTTGTACATTTTAGATGAAATTGTTAATGATTCCTCTTTGCCTGAAAGTACAGAATCACTAACAGAAGACTCATCCAAACTGATCAAGTTTATACTATTAGGACTATCCGTTTCCATAAATACTCCCAGAGTCAGTGAAGACCTGTCAATGTTATCAGGTTTATCATCTTGTATACATTCTTGAGTCAGCATCAAATTTGTTAGACACTCGTCAAGATGTTCATTAATTTTTGCACTTAGAACCGGTACATTGCATGTTGGGCAGTTCACTGCACTTTCGGAGTCTGGATTATCATTTGTTTTGAATTGCCTTGAATCTGACTGACTTTCATGTGAGCCTTTATGTCTGTCTGTAGTATCGGAATCATCTATTATTATTACTGAGGAACTGCAACTGCTGGAAGGGAGACAATTACTGCTGGTGGATATCTGACACGATGTATCTGGTGTAGCGTAACTCTCTGTATCACAAATCGATAAGCATTCGTCAAGGTGCTTGTTCAATTTTGCAACCGCAAACCTCATATTACATACAGGACAATTAACGTTTTCATTATCCTTTTCTACATTCACTTTCAACTTTTTATTAGGAACTTCTGTACTACTTAAACTTGAAGCAGTGCGTAAAGGACTCTTTAAGCCTTTCCGACTTTCATGTAACAACTTTTGATTAACGTGATTTAAGTGAGAATTTTCAGAGTATTTGTCCACCAAATTGCTCTTTCCTGTACCTGAACCACCAACAACACCAGAAAACAATAATTTTGGTGTTGATTTAGAATCAGACTTTGGTGTAGAATTGCCAATAGGTTTTATAGTAGATAAATTAGTTGGTTTTGAATCCCTGCAGCCATTCGGTCCTCCAGTACCCCATCCAAAAACCTTATTTGCATTACTTCCAATTTTCATTATTCCTGCAGGTGGAATTCCTTTGCTCTTGTCTGGATAATCAGTTTTATTTTTAGTTCTATTTATATCATGAATATTGCCAGTTTCATTCCGAGTTTGTAAAGATGTAACTGGGGGTCTCATTTCTGTTGGAGGTGTAACTCTTTTATCAGTCGTATCAGTCTTTATCAACCAGTTACTTAGCTTCTTCCCTTCTGGTGTACTAGATTTAGAATCTTTACTATTAATTTTTTTCCCCTTTATCTTTGGTTTCTCGGGCTCGCGAACCTTAATGAATTTTCCTCCACACGTAAGTTGATGCTCGTTCCACCAAAAATCATTTCGTCCTGGTGCTCGATTCATCGATCGTCGCACAGTACCAAAATAAGGTGCTTTATGTTGGCAAGGTCCGTCGCATCTCCACCAGTGTTGTTGATATAATTTAACCTCCTCGTGAAAACTATGATAAATCTGTAGAAAAAATGCACGTTGACATTTTCTCAAATTTATAGTAAGAATTGATTTTTTTTCAGACAATTTTATACTTTTACCGTTATATTGGTTCCAGCTTCTTGATTTATTCTATTCATGTGTTTACAAAACTGTGGACCATGCCCATCTCTATCTCTGTCATTATTTGTCAAAAATAAATACCCATGGATCATCTCATGCTGTTTGAAAATTAATTTAAACAAGTAATCAGTAGAATATCATTACTAGATCAAAATAGATTAACATTACTATTGAACAAGTAAAAATTTACCAAAAGGGTTTCGACAAGGTCTTTTCTTGGTCTTAATTTCAGTAATGGAGCACTGAGTGCAATGACACACTGCTTATTCCGAGGATGAAAACTACAAATCCCTGCACAACTGTAGAGCATGTTTTCTTTCACGTAAATGAATTACAAATTAGTGTTTTTTAATACTTGACAATGGAGGAAATATGCTTACGAAGTCATTCTAGGACTCCACCGAACTTCAACAGGTAATAGCTTGTTCCAAAAGAAGCGTTCATTAAACTGAATAAATAAAGTGTAGATGTTTGGAGTGGGATCTATGAGCTCCAAGGTACGATCAACAAGAGTTCGTGGTTCGTAGTTCTCTTTGTCCACCTGGAAGATATCCTTCATTTTTAACGGTCCAACTATTCAAAAACCAATTTAAATGTGAACAGTATTCAATATACTAAACTAATTTCGTAATATCATACACATTTTTCAAATACCGTAAAGCACAAGATAATATAAATCTGTCTTACATTGCCGTTAAATATAGCATTTTCAGTTACACCAACACCATTCAGTTTTCGATGCAGATCACGAGCCAAGACCTGATCTACAACTGGATTCATCGTAGCTACTTTTGCGGAAAATATTAAGCATTAAAAGTACTGTGTCAACGTAAAAATAAAGGTACAGATCGGACCATGATCAACCTAAACATTGGCTAAACACAAAGACAACTAGTCCAACTAAACCTGACTCAACCTGTCATAACCTTAAACTACATATATCTAGAGATACAGGGTTCGAAGCTTTTATGAGGGGTTCATGACTTTTTCAGCCAGTTTTCGAGCTGCCTAGCAGAGATGAGTTGGGAGATTACTTACGGGCAGAGACTAGCTTCCGGTGAATTTTTTTCACACCTGCGACCACAGTAGATCGGAAGCAATCGGAAGGTTGTTCTCTTCAAATTGATATCTCGGTCCACCTAAAGCTGAAAGGGAACACAAAGACACAAACGAGACCATTGGGAAAGCCAGAAAGAGGTGGTAATAAAACAGCTGATGACTTACTGAAATTACTAAAAGCCAAGAATATTCCGCAGTACATACATACATACATACAGAATGTTATGAAACTTTTATTAAGTGCACAGAGTAATATATTTTTGATCACTGTTATATCATCGTTAGAAATAATATAATAACCATGTCAAATGTCATCTAAATTACTTTTATGAATGTGCGTTATACTTGTAGGATAATATTACTCGTTATTACTATTACGTCTGTTGTCTCTTTTGTTACCAGTTCTGTACTTTGATCTTTGATTGAATATCCATGGGAATGAAGTCATTTATAATCGGTCAGTGGTATCAGAAAATAAAGGCACAACAATGAAAATGTCAAAGGAAATTCCATTCTAATACTGTAAGCTTATGAACAGTTTGTTTCTGAAGTATTACATTTATTTTGTATTAGATAATAACAGGTTTTGTGGGATTAATTATTATATCATGTAAATATTTTCAGAAAACGACAGCAGTAGGATGTGAAAATGGAAGTTACTACAGTTGGTGGAATTCCAGTAGAATGTCTGTCGGGAGAACTGGCAGGCATTTGGTCAGGCTGGAAGAATCTAGGAGAACGTGAAATTGTGAGAGAAGCTTCCGCAAAAGGTACTCATATCAGTCTTGCCTATAAATGTCTAGCTTGTCGAAGACAGTGTAGCATCAAAGAGGCACAAGAATATTTTTCCAAAGAAGTTGACATTTGGGTTAATGAATTATTAAGTAAACAACAAGTTCATAAAGCTTCTCATATTTTAAGGAACATGGTATGTACGTTGTATAATTTGATGTTTGTATAGTTTAAGTTTCGGTTTTATCATGCATTTTTATGTTTATCAGGGCAAAAATTCTATAGACTACATAAATAAATTTTGTATAATGTGCCAAGAACCAAAGCTGCGAGATTATTTGGCTGAATATTTAGTAAATATGAAAGGATTCCAAGATGTGCAGAAAGAAGCATGGGACATCCTCAAAGTAATTGGCGTGTATAAAGAGAAATTTCAGTAAGTTAATTATAATTACGAAAAGTCCCGGTAGTGCTCACTACGTCCTATACATGCACTGTACATATTGGTTTCAGCTTGCAAAATGTGTCCATCTACAAAAAATCAATACAAGAAATTATAAATATACCAGAAGATATAAAAAATGCCCTTTGCACCGAATTATGCTTTAATGTATTTGACTTGACCATTAGTAAGAAGTTACTGGGTCCGGAAGTATGGAATTATTTATTGCTAAGTAACAGGATCAATATGCTTCAATTTTGGATTGACGTGAATTATTTACAAAGCATAACTGACAAAAAATTACAAGAATACTCCAATGAAGAATGTGAACTGTTTAAGAATTTAAAAATTACTGACGAAATGATTGAGTCAGTTGAAAGTTCTCGTGCATCCTATGTGGGTCGGCAACAGATTCTTAATTATTTGACCAGGTATTTTTTTAACACATCATCGTACACTTTCTTGCATCTGTAAATGAATAAAAAATTGCATCATTTCAGATATGGCGTCTTCAATAAAAAGGAACGAATTAGTATGAAATTAATTTTAGCAAGATTTTTCAACAGTGGGGTAACACCATCTGAATTCGAAGAGATACTATCTTGTGCTTCGTGTAACCTTGATAAATCCACATTTTCACGAAGATTAAATATCTCATTATATTCTAAACAATACCTTGAAGAAAATAAGATGAGCGAGATTGACATGAAAAATGAAAAATTATCAAATGCACTCATGCAAATGTGTACCGCAAACGATTCCTATGTTGATGCTTTAGAGAAGGGAATTTTAGAAACTGTCTCTTATATATCTGATGATTATGACAAGTTTTTCAAACAAAATTATATAATTGCGCTAACGCTAGTTTGGTTACAATACAAAAAGAAATCTCTTATAGTCCAAAATACAGAAGGACTAACCGAAGAAGAAATTTTGAAGGATATTTTTCTAGATGAAAACGGTTTAGATTTGAATAATTTCTCATTGTCACATGATATTCTGCAGAATATATTAACTAATGTGCCAATTCTGAAACGGTCGATGATGAATGATTCTTCAGTAAAAAGTATCACCATGTATAAACTATTGAACGGTTACAAGAACTTGAATGCATTGCAGTTATTTGAATGGCGTCAGCAGAAACAAGCAATGCCTAATTTCGCTAGTGCGTATCTTGTTAAAAAGTATGGACACAAGGAAAGATTAACGTATATCAGTTATATTAAACAATGTAGACCTAACGTGGCAGCTATCATTCTTCAACAGCATCAGGAAAAGTCACAAGGAAAATTAACTTCTAAAATGTAATTCTATTGCATCAAGTATACAAATTATTCTATCGATACATTTAGGAGCAAGAGATCGATAACTGAAAATATTTCTTAAAGGAAATCTCAAGCAGCCTTTGATGCCCATATTTTTGGACTGAGAAATTTATCTAAGCCAGAAATCGCCTGTAGCTGTGTATCTTTCATTGAGATATTAGGAATGGATTCTGAAAGTTTAAGACTTCACATTACCGTAGCTAATTACATTCGAAGTGCCCTTAATATTTCTATAGGTCAGTAGATATGTTATTATTATTAAAAAAAAATTGATATTTTACTAACATTAGTGAATGTATTTCATTTCAGAGAGCCTTCTAGAGGCAGTCTTGTACCAGTCTGAAAAAGCTTTGAAATCCGTCTTGTCATACTTTGAGAAAAGTCTCGTTTCACGCCTTACAATACTCTTGATCAATGATTCTGCACAGTTCGTTTGTGCTTTACGAAAGTGGGAGATTCTCGTAAGATTTGCACAGATCCATGGTGCAACGTTACCTGATGGCTTACTCAAATTTCTAGCCAATCACAATTTTTGGTTTGAATTTCTTCTGGTTGGACAAATCTTTGCATATCCTGTAGATCAGGTACTATATCAATTTTACTATAAAATTATATTTTAAGTTTGAATTAAAGTTGACGAAAGTACCATAGTCGTACACAAGTACCTCACTTTAATAATTAAAACATATATAGGTCTAATTAAAAATTAGTAACTACTATATCGTCTTATCATGCTATTATAGATGATGAAAACTACTAGATACTTCCAAGACTCAAACGTGAGAGATCATTTAATGGCGGCTTTGGGTAACCCTCGACTCTTGAAAACAGAGCTGATAGTTCACGAAAATCAGAAATTCAAATCCAGGGATCCACGACAGCTACTGTTTCCTAAAATAGGTCTAAACCAGCCTGTAAGTGCTTTTTAACTATTTTTATTATTACCTTTCAATTATAGTCTTTTTTTATTTTATATATTTACAGAATTCACAAGATTCACCAAGTTCCAGTTCTGCAACATTTCCAGATCTGAACAAATTTACGGGATTCAATTCTACAGAAAGTACCCTTTTAAATTGCAGCACATATGCATTTACTAACGATCTATGGTTTATTATCTTAAAATGTCACCAAAGTCAAGATCCACCTGGTGCTCTAGTAGTAGAATCCCGTTTAAATTCTCTGCCAATCTTAACAGTTTTGGCTGCATGTTACGAGGTACGCGATCAAATGAATATATCTACTGTAAGAAAAAATTACAAAAGATTGTTTTATGCTCTTTAGCCATTTTCCGCAATTTCGTATTGGTACTCATGGCTGGTGATATCGGTTAAAAATAAGGAGATTGAATCAGAGTACGAACAGTGTATGGAACATCAAATGTGGTCAGCTGATAAGGTGTTTCACTTATTTCAAATTATGGTCTCCCATGGATATGTTGATACTCTTAATCGCAGTTTTCAAATATTTATGCCAGTGAGTTGGTTCGATATCTTTCTGCCTGACCTATAAGTGTACTTTTTTACATGGTAGTACTGTAACGCATGAATGTAAACATTGCCCCACAGGAAAATCCATTGCGTCCATTTTTTGAGTTTCTTACTCAGTGTATAAAATTTGGAAATTTCCGTGAATCGGAGAAAAGTTTGCTAGACTTTAAGTCCGGCTGTTCCACACTTAAATGCAATGTAAGTTCAGTAATAACTATAATTTTAAGTGACAATATGTTTATAGTACTTGAAATGTATTACCGATAAATATGTATTTCTTCCTTTTAGAAAATTATTGATTGGGAATGTACAGATATGACTTATTTAAAAAATGTTTCCTGGATTGCATCCGTCGCAGTCAATTGCATCGTGGTGGCCTTGGCACAAAGTTTCTGCAGTTCATACATGCAAATTAAATTTCTCGAGGTGCTGGTAAAGCTGAATTTTAATGCTGACCTTCCAGGTATTCACACTATTTTTGTCTTGTTTTTTATAAATATCCTTTGTAATGAAATATAATTGCGTCTGTAATTTTTCAGTCGACGCCCCAGAATTCTCGAAACTTTTGGAATATATCAGAATTCTTTTCAAAACGGGTATAACTCTAAATTTTCTAAACTATGGTGATACGAAAGCTCAATACAATTACGAGTCCGAAGTTGAAAAATGTGTCAATGACTTAATAATGGAAGAAAACTATACGAGTGCTTTGCAACTTTCAACTGTAGCAGGAAAAGATGTTTCTCGCGTTATACTTGCACAGGTAAATGATTACGGGAATGTTTAAAAAAATATATTATCAAAGTCGTACCGTAGACAATTAAAAGTAACCATTAATTGATTTCAGTATCGCAAGGCCTTAAGAGACATTGACAAAAGTGCCTGTGGGATACCAGGATTTTGGGAACGATGTGCAACTGATTTTAAAAAATACAACGTTTGTTTCGAACAAGCAGCAGAATTTTTTGTCGAGTATGCTGAGAAGGTTTTATCTCATAAAGAACGGTAAGTCTTATTTGTCAATAGTGAAGATTTAAACTGCTGGGATATAGAAAATAATTAAATTGTACGACTTCTCCTGACATTCATCTAGGTACAAAATACTACGATTAGCGCTGGACAATTTGAGAGGAAACTCAGCGGATCAGAAAACGATAGACACGGTAGAAATGGCAATGTGGAAATCGTGTGTACTCGCGGGACCTGAAAATATCGAAGTAGAGAATGAGTATGGTATTTTTAATAAACTAAAGACTGAACTGTTATGCGGCTTAACTGATTTACAAATCACGTGTACTTTGAGCAACGTAGCTGAGGAAACAGCTGTCGATACTCTGATAAGCAAATGGATCGATGCGGATAAATTGGATGTTGCATTAAGGATTGCAACCTTTTTCAATTACAAGCACATGGTACGTATTAAAATCATACGTCCATATATCAATCATAATTAATGTATATTCCTTTTTAAATTAGGATTTGCAAATATTGATGTTATGTCTAAGCTTAGCTGAGGGAGAGATCTTGCCCAATGAACTAACTCTGCAACAAAAGGCGTTATTAACCGTCAGCAATAAAAGTAAATTGCAGAAATTTGGAACACTTAGGAACCGAGGATTGCAAAGGCACCATTCGACGCAGTCACGTAATTACTTTCTTTCCTTTCATTTAAATGTTTAAATGAAAAAATAAATCCAGGTTTTGTATCTATTTATTTTCTGTTACTGCAGTAAACGTGCTTTCGACGAAATCAAATCATAGCGAGAGTCCTGAAAAAGGGAGTGCTACGACAGCTGTTCACCAAGTTCGACTTGATTGTACGTTATTATTGGAAACGTTATTGGAAAACCTTCAACATGGACTGAATACGGGCACGAGGATAATATTATGTTATAGACTTGCTACATACCTGGGAAAAAGTTACCAAAGCTTATTAACGTTAGAAAATCCCACTCAATTTTTGCAAGATATTATAAAAGGCCACGATGAACATAAATTCGAAATTGCCCATGATATAATTGTTGCTTATCACATAGAAAACGACGACGTTGCGTATTTGTTGGCTGAAAGAATTGTAGCCATTATAACGTCGTCAATTGAAGGTATTAAACTGAAAATCATCGAAATCTTGATTCATTTTTTTTTTTAATAGATATCATTTTTATATTTCCTTTTTCAGATGAGAGCGACGAGTTTATAGTGTTAAATAGTTATCCTTTGGACGTAACACTTAATGCATTCATAGAATTATGCAGTGAACCATCATTGTTAGGACAAGAGTTGTTGAAAAAGGTTACGAAAATGTTAGGCCGTTCGTGCGGCGAAAAACGAGACAGTAAGTGGTTGAGTTAATTAATCAATGGTTTAGTAAGTTGAAAAAAATACGTAATTCTTAGCTCGAATTTAATTACAGTTTCAACTTTAAAAATCGCAGTAGAGATCTTAATAAAATCCCACGATTGTTTTACGACGTCTTGCAACATGGAAGGAATAGCATCTATACTACGAAAATGTCAACAAGTTGCGAATTCCTTAAAAACGCTTAAACATTGGAGTTTATTGGTATAAGAAAATTCTCTAGACTTGAAAGTATCTCGTTCTAATTTATTTAATCTAAAGCTGCATTTTTTTACAGGTACGCCTTGTGACCGGAGTTGGTAGATTTACAGAAATGCACTATGTTTTCCAGATTTTGAAAGACCACTATCAGTTCGAATTTCTTTTAGGGAAAGGTCTCGATAAGGTAATCTACGGCACACTTTTTTTTTATTCGACCAATTAATTTAGTTTCTTTTCATCTTGAAGTCCGATAAATTATTTTCACAGGTGCCAGGATTGAAAATGGCTCTCCTAGAATTTGTAAAACGCCAGTGCCCGAATGACAAAGATCTCTTTAATCTGGTTGCGTTACATTTTCGTCTATATTATGAGATTGCCATTATGTGGGAAAACGAAGCAAAAAAATTATTAAATGAATTAGTGACCGAAGCCAGGAAAGAAATGGGAAAAACTTATTCATCGCAAACGGATCTGAAGCTTACGAAAACTGAAAGTATTCTGAAAAGATTAAACCTTTTGATAGCGAATTTCACACACGCTGCAGAATACTATTTACAGGTAAACTAGACTAACGAATCATTTTTTTTTCCATCGTAGTGACCGTAATTTTTTTCCTAGGATAAAAAATTGAACTTGGCATGTCGATGTTCATATCAAGCACAATTGATAGCTTTACAAGTATCATTATTTGGTGCAGCATCGCAGGGTCAACTAGTTGCTTGTATACTAGACCTAACCTCTGAAGAGATTGAAAGGACCATTTGTCGTGATTTAAGCTATCCCCAAGGACTTATAATTGCTCGCGCTTATAATCATCACGTAGACTGGGCAGAAGCAATTTATACTCATTGCGTGATTAAAGGCGAAATGCGGTATTTGAACGATTTTTTAACATCGAACAAGCTAACCACAGTAATGGTCCGAGACTGTGCCCGGAGGTAAATAAAAAAAAATATATATCTTAATTTTATTTGTTTCTATAATTAATTTTAGTCTAAACATCAAAAAATATTTTAAACAAGCTTTTGTAATATTTTCGGTTGACAGGTATCAGTTAGAAAAGGTAATTACGAAATCAATGACAGAAAACATGGAAGCTCTCGTATCCCAATTAGTGGATATCGAATACAAGTACATGTTAGCTAGCCAGCTGGGATTTAAAAGGATCATTGAAAACATGCTTGGGAATGCTGTTATCTGTGCATACTTAAAAGACACTGTTTGGGTAAAAGGTTATGATGCTACAGAATTTATAGGAGAAACATTCGGTAGTTGAATGATTAAATCCTTCGATTATTGAAAAGAGACACATATTTAAGAGTTTTTATAAACGGTGAATGTAAGACACCATCGACAAGAAGTTTACGTATAAAATTGTTATTACTGTTGAAAGAGAGTCTAAGAAATGTGCTATTTTTAATAATTATTCATAAATAAATTTTCAGTATTATGTATGGAAATGTTGTTTCTCACTTACTTGCATTTGACTATACTATGCGAATTTACATTTATTGAGTTATTGCTTCTCCGATTTCCCACGTCACCATTGACATTCAAAATCTTTACATCATATTGTTTCGCAATACATTTAAATACACCATCGATCCCTTAAGAATCTGAAATAGTAAATCATTGTATCATTAGAGCAATTTTATGTAATTATACAAGGACAAAATATTAGAAAGATCATAAGTTCCAAAGCTTACATCGCCCAATACAGTCAAAGACAATGCTACTATCTTTCCAGCAGATAGTCTGGGTGGAATTTGGCAAATCATAATTACCATGATTAGTTCAGATATTTTTTTTGCCGGTAACCGGTACCAATCTATTTCAAAGGAGGTTGTTCCGATCATGTCGTACTAACAATATTATCTCATTAATATCTCAAGTTGATCCAAAAAGTTGTGTTCAAGAACGTATACCTGTTTTGCAAGTTCTTCGCTGATAAAACAGTACACGAATATATTTAGAGTAAAAGAGACAAACAGAATGACCATAATGACACACGTCACCGTATCTTGTTGTTCTATCGCCTGCAATAAACGCAAATTTTAACAGCCTCCCGTTTATCATTCTAAGCACCCTAGGTAATCATAAATTAACTTGCATACCGTAAGTAAGTAATACACGACAAGACAAATTATGGCACTGGATCCCAGACATTCCACCAAACAAATTTCTTTCAACAGCGACACCGTTTTCTTCGTAAACCTGAAAAAATTGAGAAACATCACAAGATTCACCACTTGATCCTGCCGTTTAATGTCGAAATTGGAAGTATCCCCAACCAGAAAAACGGACATTTATTCACCTGATTATCCGTACGTGAGTCTCGATTATAGCAGCCCACCTGTCGTTCAGGTTTCCATGTATCTTCTGTTTTCCATCTACAAGATCCTTCAAAAGTAATACTATTATTTGGCATTGTCCACAGATATGAGAGACCAACTTCGCAGCCAGAGCGGAAGCCCCTACCGAGGCAGTACAAATTATTGTTATCAGTACTATCTGCATCAAATACGAAATCTCATAAATCGGTGATGAACGAAAGTCGAAGGTGCCATAATAAACGGGCAGAGCTAATTTCCTCGTAGTGACGTTGCTACCCGGCAGAAGTTCCCCAGTGAATAAGGGCTTCATACTGGTATATCCAAGGGTTCCACTGAACATGAAGATAGCACAAGCATTTGTGCACCTGTTGGACCATTCCGTGGCTCGAAGCATGATTTTGCGTTCTTCCGACAGACGCACATTTCTCCAATCCTCGGACATCAGATCAATGCAGAGTCCGATCTCTTTCTTCTTGGTCAAGATGCACCAATACTTGGCAGCTCCTGTCAGGCAGTAGAACAATGGTCCAAACGACATCACCTGCGTACAATTTTGGAAAAAGGAAATTAATTATCCCATGAAAATTGATAAATCACCGATCGCTTCTATTTAGCCTCCGATGGCTGCACATGGACGTTCAAATCTTATCTCGATTTCGAGGTAAACGAAGAGTAATTAGTTTTACTACCTGCACCCTGATGCTATTCTCTATCACGACAACCTGGAGAGCAAAAGGAACGATCACGATGGCTCCTATGATGACACAAGCAATGATAGAAACGACCATCATGACATTTCCCATTGACAAACCGGACTCTTTGGAACGCCACAGACCGATCGACTTCAAGAGGAAACGCAGCTTTTTTAGGTCTTGCTCGAAATCGACTTCGTAAAACTCATTGCGAACTGCTACGGAATCTACGCTATTGCCTTTTGAAATCATGCCGACGGAGTTCTGAATTGTCGTCGACTGAGGACGATTTTTAGATTGAGGGAAAAAGATCTCGAAAGGGTCTGCGCGTTTTTGCGGATTTACCCGAAGATGACGGCCATGTCTGGGGGCTTTTTATGTTCGATGCGATGGAGATAATGTCGAGCAATTAAATATTAACATGTCAGCATAACGTCCTTTCGTGTCTACCCCAAGTGTAGAGACAGGAGAGTACGCTTGCATCATTGATTACAAACCATAGTCTTGCTATTACGAGAAACGGACAGTCTCGGAAAAAGTGGCCGAGAGACGGAACGGGTGAGTCGATAGCATTTTTCAATACCATCCATAATATTTCACAGTTTTCATGAATTTTAACAATGTGCTTCTCTCATCTCAAGTCGTCGATGTGCGCGCAAAAAATGTTACCTTAAGATTAGCACGGTTAGTGGAGTTCAAGACAACAATGTGCGCTTTTTAATAATGGCATACGCTAATCCTTACGATTGAAACCCCAAGTGTTTATAATATCAGTTCTCGAAGTACATTTAAATACAACATGGTGGCCTTAAACACCTGGAACAGAAAATTTCCCCGGTGAGTCTATTAATGGGAAAGGATTTTTACATCATTCTTAGAGTATTAAATATTGAAATTATACTAGTCATTGAATTATTTCAATTGCAGCACTTACGTCACAAAACACACTCATGGACAGCTCGGATATCTTCCCAGCGGTCAGTTTGACTGGAATGTTACAGATGGCAAGTACTAAAACGATTTCTGACGCCTTTTTTGACGGTAGACGATACCACTCGATCTCGTAAATCGCTGCTCCAATCATTGCACACTAACAATTTCGTCTTTTAAATGAGAGGAAATTTTGTGAAACACCGGGAAAAAGCCTACCTGTTGGGTAAGCTGTTCACTGATGAAACAATATATAAATAGATTCAGGATAAAGGAGATAAATATGAGGCCAATTATGATGCAATCTCCTATATTATTTTCTTGCAGGTTCTGGAAAGTATCGGAATTAAGCTTACAGGGGAAGAAAATTTGAGAGTTCATTTTTTATACGGAAACGGAATTCTCTTCCGAGGAAACAACCATTCCGAGAGGATGGAGCGGACGTTTAAAAAACATAAAGTTTTGGATAATCGATTGCTTTTTTCATTCGCCTACCACGATCACATCAAATCCAAGGAAGCAAGCTACTGTGCTACATCCTAACAGTTCCGTGAGACATATTCCTCTTAGTACCGACACGACGTCCTTTACAAATCTGCAAGGTACAATAATTACTACCGCGACGTATTCTTCCGCAAAGATTAATCCAATATATTAAGTCACGACACCAATATAATTACTATTTGTGCACTATTTTACCTTAGTACCCGTAAGTGAGCTTCGATAGCGTAAGACCACCTCTCGTTAAAGCTCAGATCTTGTTGCTCGTCTCCATTGATAATATTCTCAAAAAGGGACCTCACGATCCGACACTGGCCACAGATGTGAAATACGAGTTTCGCAGTGAGAGCACATGCAATCAGGTAAAAGGTTACAGACACGGTCACGCACGCTACTTGCGCAACATAAATTATTTCATAATTCGGCGAAGGGCGAACGTCGAAGACGAAGTAATAGCAGGGCATCGCCGGTTTCCTCGTGGTGATATTAGGCGTCAGAAGGTCTCCTGACATGACAGGGATCATGGATGCGAAGCCAATGCAACTAGGGAACATGACGATCATGCACGTCCGGGTCAATTGTTGGCAAAATCTCGAGCTTCGGAGCATGATCTCGCGGTCGGACTCCGTGCGGACATTCCTCCAATCTTCGGTAATCCACTCGATGCATTTGCAGAGATCTTTCTTGCGATGCAACATGTACAAATACTTGGCCCCTCCTATGAAGAAACCGACCAACTGCGAAGAGTATTGCACCTGTGGAAAGAATTGAACGTCACGTGACACAATTTAAACATCGAATTAAGAAAACAAAAGTGCGATTCCGAATTTCCACGTTTTTGATAATCCTTCGTTAATTCCTGATATAAATTCAGATTCACATTCGAATTCGCACTGGGAATACATTCAGAATCCCTGATACAAAAACCTATGGAAAGCGATTACTAATAAATACATTGTGATAATTACGGAACTCTGTTTAGCATTTTCCGCGGCTTGATAGTAACTTTTGTCCCTACCAGCGACTTAATGTCCTCCTCCATGAAAACGAGCTGTATGAAGAAGGGAACGACCACGACGACGTTCAGAAGAGTGCAGGCTGTGATAGAGACGAGTGATATGAGATTCTCTCGGGATGAATTTTCAGATTTCGAGGACCACAAGCCTACCGACTTCATCAAACTTCTTATCAGATGGATATCCTCCTCGGAGTCGGGTTCATGGAACTCGTTATGAAATTTCCCGGAATCCGAATCACTCTTCCTGGTGATCATTGCGAGATCCTCGATCCGATATCAACTGACTGATAAGAAAAGATTCAAGAAGGCAGGCGCATCTTCGCGACTTCACTCGAGGATAATGACCGTGAGGGGATTTCTTGTGGGCTTTACTCGTATTTTGTGGACGACGTGCTGATTAAAAATTGAAACGTTAGCAGAAGGTACCTACGGATATTCGAGACGGGAGTGTAAAGACGGAAACCTTGAGGGAGATACATTGATTATTTCTCTAGTATGCAGGCAAAACCTGCGACAGGTGGCCGCGGAAATTGCACATCCCTTGGTTAATCTACAAAAATATATTTCTCGATAACGTCCACCACGTCACCGTCGTATGACATATTGTTTATATTTTGCAAGTACGATCTGAACTACCGCGGTCTAATTTACTTCCACGAAGTCGAATTTTTTCTCACATCAAGACTAAACGATTTTTTGTGGATTTACCTGGAGATGGTGATCCTACCTGTGGGACTTTTCATATTTAATGCACGCTATTGTCAATTCAGTGCAATTAAATATTAAGATGTCACCACGCACTCTCGGGTCTGCCCCATGGCGGTGTAGAGACAAAAGATTTCGGAGCTCTCATCATTGACTTATCATTGTCTTACTAATCCGAGAAATGGACACTCTGCAGACAAGTGGTCGAGACACAGGACAGGTAGTAAGATGTTAATTTCTCTAACGATATTTATATCTTTTAACAATTTTCAGGATCTCTCGCACGATATGCATGTCTCATCTTAAGTGACACCGAACAACCGTGGAAAAAATGTTATGCTCTTGTTACTAATCATTACGGTTGAAATCCCAAGTGGTTACAATAGCAGTTCTCGAAGCACATTTAAATACACCATGGTAGCCTTAAACACCTGCAGCAGAAAATAATTACGGTTATTTGAAAATTTGGAAGGAAGAATTTTTACTACCCTCATAGACTATTCTATATTGAAATTAAATTGGGCGTAGAAATATTATTATTCCAAGACTTACGTCACAAAACACATTCATGGACAGCTCGGAAATCTTCCCAGCGGTAAGTTTGACTGGAATGTTGCAAATGGCAAGAATTAAAATGATTTCTGACGCCTTTTTTGACGGTAGACGGTACCAGATCCTGTACGTCGCTTCTCCAATCATAGCGCACTACCAATATTGTTTCTTAAAATCATAGCAAGTTTTGTGAAAGACCGGGGAAAAGCCTACCTGGTGGGTAAGCTGTTCACTGATGAAACAATATACAAATAGATTCAGGATAAACGAGGTAAATATGAGGCTAAATACGATGAAACCTCCTGTATTATCTTCCTGCAGATTCTGGAAAGTATAGGAATTAAACTTACAGGGGAGGAAAATCTGAAAGTACATTTTTCTATGGAAACGGAATACTCTTCCGAGAGGATAAAGCGGACTCTAACAAATATGAATTTCACGAAAATCTATTTTTTTTTCATTCGCCTACCAAAATCGCATCAAGCCCAAGGAAGCAAGCGACTGTGCTACATCCTAATAGTTCGACGAGACATACTCCTCTCAGTACCGACACGACGTCCTTTACAAATCTGCAAGATACATCAACCACTACCGTGAGGCATTATTCCACAAACACTCATCCGATTCTATCAGCTGGAATATTTTAAGTCACGGCACCAATATAATTACTAATAGTGCATTATTTTACCTTAATACCCGTAAGTGAGTCTCGACGGCGTAAGACCACCTCTCGTTGTAGCTCAGGTCTTGTTGCTCGTCTCCATTGATAACATTCTCAAAAAGGGATCTGACGATCCGACACTGGCCACAGATGTGATAAACTAATTTGGCAGTGAGAGCACACGCAGTCATTAAAAATGTTATACAGACGATCACGCATGCAAATTGCGCAACATAAACCACTTCATAATTCGGCGAAGGACGAACGTCGAAAGCGTAGGAATAGCAGGGCAACAACGGCTTCCTCGTTGTGATATTAGATGATAACAGTGCCCCTGACAGAAGGGGGGTCGATATTGAATACGCCACGCCACCAACGTACAAGATGACCGTACACGTCCGGGTCAATTGTCGGCAGTATTTTGAACTCCGGAGCATAATCACGCGGTCTGATTTCGTGCGAACGTTCCTCCAATCTTCGGAAATCCTGTCGATGTAGTTGCAGATATCTTCCTTGCGATACAACATACATAAATACTTGGCCGCTCCTATGACGAATCCGACCAGCGGCGACGCGCTTTCCACCTGTGGAAAAATCCAACGCCACGTGAAAAATTGTATTTAGTGGATAGCACTATTTGACGTCTCCGCGACTTGTGACTCATTTCTGTCACTACCTGCATTCTGACGTTCTTCTCTATGAAAACGAACTGTATGATGAAGGGAACGGAAACGATGATGGTTACAAGAGAGCAGGCTGTCATAGATACGAGTGACATGTATTTCTCTCTGGACGAAATTTTACTCTTCGAGGACCACAAGCCTACCGTCTTCATTAAAAATCGTAGCATACGGATATCCTCCTCGAGATCGGTTTCATGAAACTCGTTCCGAAATTTCCCGGAGTTCGAATGACTCTTCTCGGTGATCATTGCGAGATCCTCGATCCGACATCAACTGATAGTCTTGACCGCCGATAAGAAAGGATTTAAGACGCGCAGGCGCGTATTCGCGACTTCACTCGAGGATAATGACCGTGAGGGGATTTCTTGTGGGCTTTACTCGTATTTTGTAGAGGATGTGGCCATTAAAAATTGAAACGTTAGTAGAAAGTACCTACGGATATTCGAGACGGGAGTGTAAAGACGGAAACCTTGAGGGAGATGCATTGATTATTTCTCTAGTACGCAGGCAAAACCTGCGACAGGTGGCCGCGGAAATTGCACATCCTTTAGTTAATCTACAAAAATATATTTCCCGATAACGTCCACTACGTTACCGTCGTATTTCGTGACATATTGTTTATATTTTCTAATTTGTTTTTCCTTCCCGGAGGTTCAATTGCAAGCAACCGTATTTTTAGTTAAGACCGTAAATCACAGATCGAAATTATTTTTGTTTTTCGAGATTTAACGTAAAATGTATTGGTAGTGGAGATCGTTCGGATATTGCTGAATGTTAATAGAGCTCCAGAACATTTGTCTGCTCGGTTTGTTCTCATAACCAAAAGTAATACTCGACCATAAGGTGATAGGATTGCGTACCGTATTTGCGGTTTTACCTAGAGATGGTGATCCAACCAGGGGTCATTTTACATTTACTGCACGCCATGGCCAATTTCGTGCAATTAATTATTAAGTTTTCACCACGCACTCTCGGGTGCGTACACCCATAGCGGTGTAGAGACAAAAGAGTTCGGAGCTTTCATCCTTGATAAGAAATCATTGTCTTACTATTTCAAGAAGTGGACAGACTCCGGACAAGTGGTCGAGAAACGCGACCGGTAATAAATTGATAATTCCTCTAATAACATATATCTTTAAAAAGTTCTCAGGATCTTGCGCACCGTTTGCGATGTGCATCTCTCATCTGAAGTGACACCGAAAGAACGTGAGAGAAATGTTATGCTCGTTTTAATTTATCATATACTAATCCTTATGATTGAATGTCCAAGCGGTTACAATATCAGTTCTCGAAGCACGTTTAAATACACCATGGTAGCCTTAAACACCTGTAGCAGAAAATAGTTACGGTTATTTAAAAATTTGGAAAGAAGAATTTTTACTACCCTCATCGACTATTCTACATTGAAATTAAATTAGGCGTAGAAATGTTATTATTCCAACACTTACGTCACAAAACACGTTCATGGACAGCTCGGAAATCTTCCCAGCGGTAAGTTTGACTGGAATGTTGCAGATGGCAAGAATTAAAACAATTTCTGTCGCCTTTCTTGCCGGTAGACGGTACCATTCGATATCGTACGTAGCTGCTCCAATCATTGCGCACTGCCAATTTCGTTTTTTCAATTACAGTACATTTTGTGAAAGACCGAAGAAAAGCCTACCTGGTGGGTAAGCTGTTCACTGATGAAACAATACACAAATAGGTTCAGGATAAACGAGACAAATATGAGGATAAATATGATGAAATCTCCTATATTATTTTCCTGCAGGTTCTGGAAATTATAAAAATTAGACTTACAGGGGAGAGAAATCTGAAAGATCATTTTTCTACGGAAACGGAATTATTTTCCGCGAAGAACCATTCCGAGAGGATGGAGCGGACTCTAACAAGTATGAATTTTACGAAAATCTATTTTTTTTTTCATTCGCCTAATTTTACGAAAATCTGTTATTTTTTTCATTCGCCTACCAAAATCACGTCCAGCCCAACGAAGCAAGCGACTGTGCTACATCCTAATAGTTCCGAAATGCATACTCCTCTTAGTACCGACACGACGTCCTTTACAAATCTGCAAGGTACAATAATTACTACAATGACATATTCTCCCGTAAACATTCATCCAGTTCTTTCAGCTGGAATATTTTAAGTCACGGCACCAATATAATTACTAATAGTGCATTATTTTACCTTAATACCCGTAAGTGAGCTTCGATAGCGTAAGACCATCTCTCGTTGAAGCTCAGATCTGGTTGCCCGTCTCCATCGATAATGTTCTCAAAAAGGGATCTCACGATCCGACACTGGCCACAGATGTGAAATACCAATTTGGCAGTGAGAGCACACGCAACCACGTAAAAGGTTGCAGACACGGCCACGCACGTAACTTGGGCAACATAAATAATTTCATAATTCGGCGAAGGGCGGACGTCGAAGACGTGGTAATAGCAGGGCATCGACGGCCTCCTCGTGGTGATATTGTAGAACAATAGGTCCCCTGAGAAGACAGGGGTCAATATTGTGTACCCCACGGTACCGGTGTACATGATGAACATACACGTCCGGGTCAATCTTTGGCAGAATTTCGAGCTTTCGAGCATGATCTCGCGGTCGGATTCCAGGCGAGCATTCCTCCAATCCTCAGAAATCCTGTCGATGTAGTTGCAGACATCTTTCTTGCGATACAATATGCAAAGATACTTGGCCCCTCCTATGATAAAACCGATCAACGGCGAAGAGGATTCCACCTGTGAAACAATGGAACGTCACATGATGAATCAAAGCCTTGAATTGAGGAAATAAATATATAATTCCGGAATTCTATAACAATTCCAAAGTATGTCGTATGATGATTTTTTTCAATTCATGATGATCGCAACATTCGGTCAATGGTATAAAATTGTAATTATTGAAGAGCACTATTTGGACTCTCTTGGATTTATTAGCAACTTCTGACACTACCTGCGTTCTTACGTCCTTCTCCATTATAACGATTTGTATGAAGTAGGGAACCACTACGACGAAGTTTAGAAGAGTGCAAGCCATGATAGAGATCAGTGGCAGGAAATTCTCTCTGGATGAATCTTCTGATTTTGAGTCCCACAAGCCTACCGACTTCATCAGACATCTTATCAGACCGATATCCTCCTCGAGATCGCTTTCGTAAAATTTGTTCCGACCGTTCTCTGATTTCCGATGACTCTTATTGGTGATCATCGCGAGAATGTTGATGTGACATCAACTGACAGTCTTGGCAGTCGATGGGGAAATATTGAAGAAACATAGGCACATCTTCGTGTCTTCGCTTGAGGATAATGACCGAGAGGGCTTTCTTATAGGCTTTATTCGTATTTTCTGGACGATACCGTGGGCATTAAAAATTGAAACGTCAGTAGAAGGTATCCACGTATATTCGTGATGGGAGTGTAAAGACGGAAACTCTAAGGGAGATACATCGATTATTTCGGTAGTGTTCAGGTAAAACCTGCGACAGGTGGCCGCGGAAATTGCACATCCCTTGATCAATCTGCGAAAATATATACATCGATAACGTCGAATACGTCATCTTAGTATTTCCGGATATATTGTTTATATTTTGCAAGTACAATCTGAACTACCGCAGTCTACAGTACTTCCGTGAAGTTCAATTTTTACGCAATCAAGATTAAACGACTACATCGAAAGAATTTATTTTTCCTTCCTGGAGATGCAATTGCATGTAACCATATTTTTATTTATTTAATTTCTCCATTAATATTTATATCCTTTGAAAGTTTCGCACCGTTCACGACGTGCATCTCTCATCAGAAGTGTCACCGAACTACCGTAAAAGAAAGTGTTATGCGCTTTTTAATATATCATATACTAATCCTCATGATTGAAGTCCCAAATGGTTACAACATCAGTTCTCGAAGCACATTTAAATACGCCATAGTAGCTTTAAATACCTGAAACAGAACATTGTTCCGGTGAGTAAATAATGTTTGGGAAACAATTTTCACTTCATTCTTAGACTTGTAAATATTGAAATAATATTAGTCGGAGTGATATTATTATTTACTTACATCGCAAAATACAGTCATGGACAGCTCGGAAATCCCCCCAGCGGTCAGTTTGACGGGAATGTTGCAGATCGCAAGTATTAAAACGATATCTGACGCCTTTCTTGGCGGTAGACGGTACCATTCGATCTCGTACACCGCTTTTCCAATCGCTGCACACTGTCAATTTTGTTTTTCAAATTACAGAACATTTTTATGATGCAGGGAGAAAAGGCATACCTGGTAGGTAAGCTGTTCACTGATGAAACAATATACAAATAGATTCAGAATAAACGAGATGAATATGAGGATACATATGGCGCAACCTCCTATATTGTTTTCTTGCAGGTTCTGTAAAGTTTAGGAATTGTCAACTAACAGGGGATAAAAATCAGAAAGTTCGGTTTTCCACGGAGAATAAAATTCTTCTCTGCGAAAAAACCATTTCGAGAGGTTGAAGCTAACTATTGAAAATGTAAAGACTCGGTAAATCTTTTTTTTTCTATTTGCCTACCAAAATCACATCGAACCCAACGAAGCAAGCCACTGTGCTGCATCCTAATAGTTCCACAAGGCATACTCCTCCTAATATCGACATTACGTCCTTTACGGATCTGCAAGGTAAAAGAATTACTACCGTGACGTATTTTTACATAAACATTAATCCAATATTTTAAGTCACGACATCAATATCATTACAATTAGTGCACTAATTTACCTTAATACCCGTAGGTGAGCTTCGATGGCGTAAGACCATCTCTCGTTGAACCTCGGATTTTGTTGCTCGTCCCCATCGATAATATTCACAAAAAGGGACCTCACGATCCGACACTGGCCACAGATGTGAAAAACGAATTTGGCAGTGAGAGCACACGCAATCACGTAAAATGTGGCAGTCACGACCACGCTGGCAACTTGCACGACATAAATAATTTCATAATTCGGCGAAAGACGAACGTCGATTACGTAGTAATAACAGGGAAACGAGGGCTTCCTTGTGGTGACATTATTGGACTTGTCAGATTCCCCTAACAAAATAGGGGACATGAATGCGTAGCTCAAGGTACCAGCGTACATGACGATCATGCATATCCTGGTCAATTGTCGGCAGAATTTCCCGCTTTGGAGCATTATTTCGCGATCGGGTAACATGCGAGCATTCCTCCAATCTTCGGATATCCTTTCGATGTAGCTGCAGACATCTCTTTTGTGATTCAAAATGCAGACATTCTTGGCCCCTCCTATGATGAAGCCGATGAACGGCGGGGCAGATTCCACCTGCGGAAAAATTAAATTGACATGAGCACATTTAATTACCAGAATGAAGGAAATAAATCTAGGACTCGGATAAATCTTCGTTAAGTCGTGATATGACAGATATACATTCTGCATCGAAATATCGGCCACTGTCGTTAAGGTATGATAATTGAAATTGAATTGAGAAAAATTTGAAATTGAATTAACAATGTTTAACATTTCCTCGACCTAGGCGTAACTTCTGTCGCTACCTGCACTTTAATGTCCTTCTCTATGAAAACGAGCTGTATGAAGATGGGAACGATCACGGCGACGTTTAGAACACTGCAGGCTATGATCGAGACCAGTGACATGAGATTCTCTCTGGATGAATTTTCGGTTTTCGAGGACCACAAGCCTACCGACTTCATCAACCGTCTTATCAGACCGATATCCTCCTCGAAATCGGTTTTGAAAAATCTGTTTCGGACGCCCGTTGACTTCGGATGGCTCCTATGGGAGATCATTTCGAGATCCTCGATCGGACATCAACTGACGGTCTTGGCAGACGATGAGGAAATATTTAAAAAGGCGCATTTTCGCGAGTTCACGCGAGGATAATGACCGGAAGGGATTTCTAATGGGCTTCATTAGTATCTTGTGAACGATGCGGCGATTAAAAATTGAAACGTCAGTAGAATTTTCCCACGTATCTTCGTGACGGGAGTGTAAAGACAGAATCATTGAGGAAGATGCATCGATTATTTCTTTAGTATACAGGTAAAACCTACGAAAGATGGCCGCGGAAATTGCACATCCCTTGGTTGACCGGCGGAAATATATTTCCGAATAACGTCGACCACGTCATCCTCGTATTTCGGGACACATTGTATATATTTTGCAAGTACGATCTGAATAACCGTAGTGTACTCTACTTTCGCGACGTCCAATTTTTCCTTAATCGAGACTGAACGATTTCATCGAAGTGCTTTATTTTTCCTGCCCGGTGTTTGAATTAAATGCAACCGTGTTTTCAGGTGTGAAGGTAAATTATGGACCGGAATTATTTCTGGTTTTTGGCTCAACGTACTCATGTTTATGCCCCATGGCGGTGTGAAGAGAGGATAGTTCGGAGCTGATATTCCTGGTGACAAATCATAGTTTTACTATTCCAAGGAATGAACAATCTTGGGACAAGTGGCCGAGTCACGGGACAGGTAAGCTGTCAGCTTCTGTAACATTTATTCATTTTAATTGTTTTCGAGAGTTTTCGTCCTGTTTATCGTGTGCAACTTTCAGCCAAACTACGGTGAAAAAAATGTTATATAATGACGAGAACGGTTAGTAGGGTTGAAGGCAACATTATGCACTCTTTAATACGTCATTCGCTAATCCTTATGGTTGAAATCCCAAGCGTTTACAACGTGAGTTCTCGAAGCACATTTAAATACACTAGGGTAGCCTTAAACACCTGCAACAGAAGATTGACAAGGTGAGTAAACAATTTCTGGGAAAGAATTCTTACTTCATTGTTAGACTACTGAATATCGAAATTGTACTAGTCAGAGAATTATTATCATTCCAGCACTTACATCACAAAAGACATTCATGGACAGCTCGGATATCTTTCCAGCGGTCAGTTTGACGGGAATGTTGCAGACGGCAAGTATTAAAACGATTTCTGACGCCTTTTTTGACGGTAGACGGTACCACTCGATCTCGTACGTCGCTTCTCCAATCATTGCACACTACCAATATTGTTCTTTAAATTCATAGCAAGTTTTGTGAAAGACCGGGGAAAAGCCTACCTGGTGGGTAAGCTGTTCACTGATGAAACAATATACAAATAGATTCAGGATAAAGGAGATATATACGAGGATAAATATGATGCAACGTCCTATATTATTTTCTTGCAGATTCTGGAAAGTATAGGAATTAAACTTACAGGGGAAGACAATCTGAAAGTTCAATTTTCTAGGGATACGGATTTCCCGTCTGGGAAAAACCATTCCGAGAGGATGGAGCAGACTCTTAAAAATGTAAAGTTTCGGAAAATCGATTGTTTTCTTTCCATTCGCCTACCAATATCACATCAAGCCCAATCAAGCAAGCGACTGTGCTAGATCCTAACAGTTCCGAGAGACATACTCCTCTTAGTACCGACACCACGTCCTTTACAAATCTGCAAGATAGATTAATTACCACCGTGACGTATTCTAATCTACACATTCATCCAGTTCTTTCAGAATATTTTATGTCCCTGCAACAATATAATTACTATTTGTTCACTGTTTTACCTTAATACCCGTAAGTGAGCTTCGATAGCGTAAGACCATCTCTCGTTCAAGCTCAGATGGTGTTCCTCGTCTCCATCGATAAGATTCTCAAAAAGTGATTCCACTATCCGGCACTGACCACAGATGTGATAAACGAATTTGGCAGCGAGTCCACAAGCAATCACGTAAAAGGTAGCCGACAGAGCTATGCACATAACTTGGGCAACATAAACAATTTCATAATTCGGCGAATAGCGAACATCGAAGACGTAGTAATAGCAAGGCATCGCCGGCTTCCTCGTGGTGATATTATGGGACAGAAGATCTCCTGACACTACGGGGACCATGGATGCGAAGCCAATACAACTAGTTAACATGATGATCATACACGTCCGGGTCAATTTTTGGCAAAATCTCGAGCTTCGGAGCATGATCTCGCGGTCCGAATCCGTGCGAACATTCCTCCAATCTTCGGAAATCCTCTCGATGTATTTGCAGACATCTTTCTTGCGATGCAACATACATAAATACTTGGCCCCTCCTATGAATAATCCAGCCAACTGCGAAGCGGATGCCGCCTATGGAAACAATTGAACGTTACATGAACTACTTAAACATTTAATTAAGGGAACAAAAGTATCATTCGGAATTTCCACGTGTTCGACGAGTGTCGGTTAATTCGTGACATAACTTCAGAATCACTGATGCATAAACCGATGGGAACCGATCACTAATGAAAAATTATGATTACTACAGAACACTGTTTAGCATTTTCCTCGGCTTGAAAGTAAATTTTGTCCCTACCAGCGATTGAACGTCCTCCTCTATAAATGCAAACTGTATGAAGAAGGGAACGATCACGACGGCGTTTAGAAGAGTGCAGGCTGAGATAGAGATGAGGGACATGAGCTTCTCTCGGGAGAAATTTTCAGTTTTCGAAGACCACAACCCTACCGACTTCATCAAACATCTTATCAGATGGATATCCTCCTTAATATCGGTTTCATAAAACTCGTTCCGAAAGTCCGCTGAGCTCGGATGACTCTTCCTGGTTATCATTGCGAGGTCCTCGATCTGACATCAACTGACAGTCTTGACAAACGATAAGAAAATATTTTAGAAGCGCAGGCGCATTATCACGACTTCACTTGAGGATAATGACCGTGAGGGGATTTTCTTGTGGGCTTTATTCGTATTTTGTGGACGACATCGTGGCCATTAAAAATTGAAACGTCAGTAGACTCTACCCACGTATATTCGTGATGGGAGTATAAAGACGGAAACGCTGAGGGAGATATATTGATTATTTCTGTTAACACAACGCACTCTTGAGTCTGCCCCATGGCGGTGTAGAGACAGGAGAGTTCGTAGCTTATATAATTGATTAGAAATCATATTCTCACTATCCCGAGAAATTAACAGTATCGGGACAAGTGGTCAATACACGGGACAGATAAGCTGTCAGTTTCTGTAATAACATTTATTCCTTTGAACAGTTGTCAAGAGTGTTCGCTCTATTTATGATGTGCATCTCCCATCCGAACTACCGTGATAGAAATGATACGTCAGGATGAGCCCGGTTGGTAGACTTCGAGATAGCATTATGCGGTTTTTAATGTGTCATACACTAATGCTTATCACTGATATCCGACGCGCTTACAACATCAGTTCTCGAAGCACATTTAAATACACCATGGTGGCCTTAAACACCTGCAATAGAACATTGTTACGGTGAGCGTTCATTTTGCCAAAAGAATTGTTATTTCCATTCTTCGTCCATTAAATTTTGAAATTACGTTAGACACAGAAATATTGTTATTCCAACACTTACATCACAAAATACAGTCATGGACAGCTCGGACACCTTTCCAGCCGTCAATTTGACTGGAACATTGCAGATCGCAAGTATTAAAATTATTTCTGACGCCTTTCTTGGCGGTAGACGGTACCAGTCGATCTCGTACGCCGCTTCTCCAATCACTGAACACTGCGAATTTCGCGCTTTAAATAACAGAAAATTTTTTATGAAACAGTGAGAAGGGCATACCTGGTGGGTAAGCTGTTCACTGATGAAACAATATACAAATAGATTCAGGATATACGAGATAAATATGAGGCTACATATGACGAAACCTCCTACATTGTTTTCTTGCAGGTTCTGGAAAATTTTACGAATTTTAAAGTATCAGAGGAAAAAAAATCAGAAAGTTCGGTTTTCCACGGAAAACAGAATTACTTTCTCAGAAAATCCATTCCGAGAGGATGAAGCAAACTATTAAAAACGAAAAACTTTGGATAATCATGATTTTCTTCATTTGCCTACCAAAATCACATCGAACCCAACAAAGCAAGCGACTGTGCTGCATCCTAATAGTTCCGTGAGACAAATTCCTTTTAGTACCGACACCACGTCGTTTACAAATCTGCAAGGTAAGAGAATTACTACCGTGACGTAAAAATACGTAATTGTTCAATCATTTTTTATGTCACAACAGTATAATTATTATTAATGCACTATTTTACCTTAATACCCTTAAGTGAGCTTTGATAGCGTAAGACCACCTCTCGTTGAAGCTCAAATCTTGTTGCCCGTCTCCATCGATAATATTCTTAAAAAGGGATCTCACGATCCGACACTGGGCACAGATGTGAAAAACAAGTTTGGCAGTGAGAGCACACGCAACCGAGTACAAGGTTATAGTCACAACCACGCACGTAATTTGCACAACATAAATAATTTCATAATTCGGCGACGGACTGACATCGAAGACGTAGTAATAGCAGGGAAACGACAACTTCCTTGTGGTGACATTATTGGACTTGTCAGATTCCCCTGACAAATGAGGGACTATGATAGCATAGCTCACGGTACCAGTGTACATGATGATCATGCACGTCCGAGTCAATTGTCGGCAGAATTTCCCGCTTTGGAGCATTATTTCGCGATCGGGTTTCATGCGAGCATTCCTCCAATCTTCGGAAATCCTGTCGATGTAGCTGCATACATCTCTTTTGCGATTCAAAATACAGAAATACTTGGCCTCTCCTATGATGAAGCCGATGAACGGCGGGACAGACTCCACCTGCGGAAAAATCAGACATGAGCATATTTAAATACCAGAACGAAGGAAATAAAACAAGGACTACGATAAATCATCATTAAGTCGTGGTATGACCTCAGATATACATTCTGAATCTAAATATTCGGCCACAGTCATTAAAGTATGCTAATTGAGAAGCAATGTTTAGCATTTCCTCGAGCTGAAAGTAACTTCTCTCGCTACCTGCTTTCTAACGTCCTCCTCTATGAAGAAGAGTTGTACGAAGAAGGGAACGACCACGGCGACGTTTACAAGAGTGCAGACAATAAAAGAGATGAGATTCCCTTGGGATGAATTTTCAGATTTCGAGGACCACAAGCCTACCGACTTCATCAACCATCGTATCAGACGAATATCCTCCTCGAGGTCGGTCTCATAAAATTGATTCCGAGCGTTATGGGAATTCGGATGAGTCTTGACGGTGACCATTTCGAGATCCTTGATCTGACATCAACTGACAGTCTTGACCGCCGATAAGAAAATATTAAAGAAGCGCAGGCGCATTATCGCGACTTCACTTGAGGATAATGACCGTGAGGGGATTTTCTTGTGGGCTTTATTCGTATTTTGTGGACGACATCGTGGCCATTAAAAATTGAAACGTCAGTAGACTCTACCCACGTATATTCGTGATGGGAGTATAAAGACGGAAACGCTGAGGGAGATATATTGATTATTTCTGTTAACACAACGCACTCTTGAGTCTGCCCCATGGCGGTGTAGAGACAGGAGAGTTCGTAGCTTATATAATTGATTAGAAATCATATTCTCACTATCCCGAGAAATTAACAGTATCGGGACAAGTGGTCAATACACGGGACAGATAAGCTGTCAGTTTCTGTAATAACATTTATTCTTTTGAACAGTTCTTCAAGAGTGTTCGCTCTATTTATGATGTGCATCTCCCATCCGAACTACCGCGATAAAAATGTTACGTCAGGATGAGCCCGGTTAGTAGAGTACGAGACAGCATTATGCGGTTTTTAATGTGTCATACACTAATGCTTATGACTGATATCCGAAGCGCTTACAACATCAGTTCTCGAAGCACATTTAAATACACCATGGTAGCCTTAAACACCTGCAACAGAAAATTTCTGCGGTGAGTGAGTAATTTTTACGGAAAGCATTGTTACTTCATTCTTCGTCTATTATATCTTGAAATTATACTAGTCATAGAATTATCAATATTCCCGCGCTTACATCACAAAATACACTCAAGGACAGCTCGGACACCTTTCCAGCGGTCAGTTTGACTGGGATGTTGCAGATCGCAAGTATCAAAACGATTTCTGACGCCTTTTTTGACGGTAGACGATACCACTCTATCTCGTACAACGTTGCTCCAATCATTGCGTACTACCAATTTCGAGTTTTAAATTCATAGCAAAAATTTTCTGAGAGAACGAGAAAATGCATACCTGCTGGGTAAGCTGCTCACTGATGAAACAATATACAAATAGATTCAGGACAAACGAGGTGAATATGAGGAATACCATTATGCAATTTCCACTGTTATTTTCTTGCAGGTTCTGGAAAAATACAAGATCTGGAATAATTAAGCCCACAAGGGCAGAAAATCTGGAAGGTCAGTTTTATACCGAAAAGCGGAATTACATTTTGTGTAAAATCATACCCAAAGGATAAAGCAGACTATGTATGCAACTGTACAAATTTCGCGTAAAAAATTCTATGAGTCCATGATAAGTTTTCTTATTCGAGAAAAATATTTTGATCGAATTGAAGTGCCCAACTTTGGCGTTAAGTATTCAGTGACGTTTGCGCGTGTTTTTAAGTGTATTTGGCGCGGAACTCTACTGAGTTTCCTGATCAAGATGGAAAATTGTCTTATTTTTTTTTTTTTCATTTGCCTACCCAAATTGCATTGAGTCCAATGAAACAAGTGATTGTGCTACATCCTAACAATTCCGCGAAACATATGCCTCTCAGTACCGACACCGCGTCCTTTACAAATCTGCAAGAAAAAACAATTACTACCGTGACGTATTCATTCAGCTCTTTCAGCTAGAATATTTCAACTCACGATATCGATATAATTTCTATCAGTGCATTATTGTACCTTAATACCCGTAAGTGAGCTTTGATAGCGTAGGACCATCTCTCGTTGAAGCTCCGATCTTGTTGCTTGTCTCCATCGATAACGTCCTCAAAAAGTGATCTCACGATCCGGCATTGGGTACAGATGTGAAAAACAAATTTGGCCGTGAGAGCAGAAGCGATCACGTAAAAGGTTGTACACACGGCCACGCCGCTAATTTGCGTAATATAAACAATTTCATAATTCGGCGAAGGGTAAACATCGAAGACGTGATAATAGCAGGGAAACGTCGGCCTTCTTGTAGTATCATTATGGGACAGAAGATCCCCTGACAGAATCGGGAGCATGAATGAGTACCCCACGGGACCAGCGTACATGATGATCATAGCGGTCCTTATCAATTGTTGGAAGAATTTCGTGCTTTGGAGCATGATCTTGCGATCGGGATCCATGCGAGCATTCCTCCAATCTTCGGAAATCCTGTCTATGTAGTTGCAGATATCGCTCCTGTGACCAACCATACACAAATACTTGAACCCTCCTATGATGAAACCGATCAACGCCGAAGCGTTTTCCACCTGCGGAAAAATTAACGTAATGTATTTAAATATCTGAAGGAATGGAGAAAAATCAGAATGCCGAATTTCCCCGGTTTCGACGAGTCTTCGTTAATTCGCGGTGTGACTTCTAATTCACATTCCGAATCGACATGACCGATAACTGATATCAAATTGAGCTTATCAAAGAACACCCTTTTGTCCCTACCACCATTTTGATGTCCTCCTCAATGAAGACGAGGTGTATGAAGAAGGGAACGACCACGGCGACGTTTAGAAGAGTGCAGGCAATTACAGAGACGATTGACATGAATTTCTCTCTTGATGAACTTTCAGTTTTCGAGTACCACAAGCCTATCGACTTCATCAAACATCGTATCAAACCGATATCCTCCTCGAGATCGGCTTCGTAAAATTGGTTTCGAACCTTCGCCGATTTCGGATGATCCTTATTGGTAATCATTGCAAGATCGTTTATCTGACAACTGACAGTCGTGACTGCGGATGAGAAAATATTGAACAACGCAGTCGTATTTCCACGACTCAAGAATAATGACCGAGAGGGATTTCTTATGGGCTTTATTAGTATTTTGTAGACGATGTCGTGGCCATTAAAAATTGAAACGCCAGTAGAAGGTATCCACGTATATTCATGATGTGAGTGTAAAGACGGAAACTCTGAGGGAGATGTATTGATTATTCCTGTAGTATTCGGGTAAAACCTGAGTCAGATGGCCGCGAAAAATTGCATTTGTCCAATCTGCGAAAATATATTTCCGGATAACGTCGACCACGTCATCGTCGTATTCCGGGACATATTGTTTATATTTTGCAAGTACCATCTGAACTACTGTAATCTACTCTACTTTCACGCAGTCGAATTTTCATTCAATCCAAACTAAACTCCATGGCGGTGCAGAGACAGAAGAGTACGGAGCTTATATCATTGATAACAAATCAAGGTCTTAGTATTCCGAGAATCGAACAGTCTCCGAACAAGTTGTCGAGACACGTGGCAGGTAAGCTGTCAATTTCTGTAATAACATTTATTCTTTTTAACAGTTTTCGAGAATTTTCACAACGTTTACCATGTACATCTCTCATCAGAAATGTTACCGAACTACCGTGAAAAAAAAATATTATACGGTATTAATATGCCATACTAGAAAATTACTCGCGACGGGCGCCGCGGGCAGTGACGCCTTCTCAAATTCAACCCCTTAGCTGTAAGTCGAACAGGAAAGGTTGAATTCGAAATTTGATGAAACTTATGACATCCTCGACCTCAACTTAGGGGGGACATGTATCAGCGATTTTCAAAATACGAACCGGAACCCGCCTAAAAAGCATTATCTTTGTTTCGTGACACACGTACATACATACGCACAAAAAACAGCGCTTTACTAAATAGAGATACTAATCCTTATGGCTGAAATCCCTAGTGGCTATAACATCAGTTCACGAAGCACATTTAAATACACCATGGTAGCCTTGAACACCTGCAACATAAAATCGTTACGGTAAGTGAATAATTTTTGGGAAAGAATTTTTACTTTGTTCTTCACCTAGCGAATATTAAAATTATATTAGCCAGGGAAATAATACTATTCCTACACTTACATCACAAAATACACTTATGGACAGCTCGGAAATCTTTCCAGCGGTCAGGTGGACGGGAATGTTGCAGATTGCAAGTATTATAACTATTTCTGACGCCTTTTTCGGCGGTAGACGATACCATTGGATGTCGTACAGCGTTTCTCCAATCATTGCATACTGCCAATTTCGTTTCTTAAATTCATAGTAAATTTTGTGAGATCGAGAAAATGCATACCTGGTGTGTAAGCTGTTCGCTGATGAAACAATATATAAATAGATTCAGGACAAACGCGGTGAATATGATCATTACCATGAGGCAATCTCCATTATTCTTCTCTTGCAGATGCTGGAATAATAAATGAATTAAGTTCACAGAGGCAGAAAATCTTAAAGTCCCGTTTTCTACGGAGAAGCGCAATTCATTTCTGCGAAAGACCATTCCGAGAGGATAAAGTAAACATGCATATGATTACACGTGCACGCACAAATTTCCCGTAAAATTCTAACAAGTTGGAAAATTGATTTTGTTATCATTTGCCTACCCAAATTGCAGTAAGTCCAATGAGACAAGTGACTACGCTACATCCTAATAGTTCCGTAAGACATACGCCTTTTAGTACCGACACCGCGTCATTTACAAATCTGCAAGAATGAACAATTACTACTATAACGTATTCTTGCATATACATCCATCCAGATCTTTCAGCTAGAATATTTTAAGTCACGGCACCAATATAATTACTAACAGTGCATTATTTTACCTTAATACCCGTAAGTGAGCTTTGATAGCGTAAGACCATCTCTCGTCGAAGCTCAGATCTTGTTGTTGGTCTCCATCGATAACGTCCTCGAAGAGTGATCTTACGATCCGACATTGGGCACATATGTGAAAAGTGAATTTGACAGTGAGAGCACAAGCAACGATGAAACAGGTTGCCGACGTGACTACGAATACAATTTGGGTAATATACATAATTTCAAAATTCGGCGAACGGTGAACATCGAAGACGTGGTAATAGCAGGGAAACGCCAGCGTTCTTGAGGTGTCATTACGGGACAGAAGATCCCCTGATAGAACAGGGTTAATGAATACATAGCCCACGCAACCGGTGTACATGCTGATCATACATGGCCGTGTCAATTTTTGGCCGAACTTGGTGCTTTGGAGCATAAATTCGCGATCGGGCTTCATGCGAGCTTTCCTCCAATCTTCGGACATGCTGTCGATGTAGTTGCACACATCTTTCTTGTAATACAATATACATAAATACTTGATCTCTCCTATGAAGGAACCGATCAACGGCGAAGCGTTTTCCACCTGACGAAAAATTGAACCACAGGTGAACAATTGAATTATTGAATTAAGGATATAAAAATAACTCGATATGCCTTCGAGTATACATTTTAAATCGAATTGTCAGTGGTATAAAATTGTATTTATTAAAGAGTACTATTTGGCATCTCCTCGACATAAGAGTAACTTTTGCCAGTACCTGCTTTCGAAAGTCCTTCTCCATGAAAACGATCTCTATGAAGAAGGGAACGAGCACGACGACGTGTAGAAGAGTGTAGGCCATGATCGAGATGATTGACATGAATTTCTCTCTCGGTGAATTTTCAGTTTTCGAGTACCACAAGCCTATCGACTTCATCAAACATCGTATCAAACCGATATCCTCCTCGAGATCGGTTTCATAAAATTTGTTTCGAACCTTCGCTGATTTCGGATGATCCTTATTGGTAATCATTGCAAGATCGTTTATCTGACAACTGACAGTCGTGACTGCCGATGAGAAAATATTGAACAACGTAGTCGTATTTTTACAACTCAAGGACAATGACTGAGAGAGATTTCTTATGGGCTTTATTCGTATTTTGTAGACGATGTCGTGGCCATTAAAAATTGAAACGTCCGTAGAAGGTACCCATGTATATTAGTGATCGGAGTGTAAAGACGGAAACTCTGAGGGAGATGTATTGATTATTCCTGTAGTATTCGGGTAAAACCTGCGTCAGATGGCCGCGGAAAATTGCACTTGTTCAATTTGCGAAAATATGTTTTTCGATCACGTTGGCCACGTCATCGCCCACTGTACTTCCTCGAAATCGAATTTTTTTACGATCAAGACTGAACAATTCACCGAAATAATTTTTATCTCCTCCCAGGAGGTACAATCGCATGTAACCGCGTTTCCAGTTATGACCCTGCAAGCAGACAGACGTTATTTCTGTTTTTCAAGATTATTATAACATAAAAAGTAACGAAAGTGCAGATCTATCAGATATTGCTTCCATGATGATAAGGCTTCAGAATATTGTTCTGCTCGGTTTGCTCTCATAACTACAAGTAGTACTCGACCATAAGGTGTCAGGATTGCGAAACGGTCGTGTGATCTTCCTAGATATCAGCAATATTCAGGGCTGATAGAATTTAACTCTTTTCGTCTATATATGTAGATTTAAAAATCATGGCAAGCGTCGTTGGTAAGTGAACGCCGTCTTCGTTCATTCATTAAAATTGTGGGTTAAATACTTTGTTTGTGCTAGAAAACACATGGGCCGTGCAGAAGGGTACCATGACCATGTTCCTGGCAGAAATTGTTGGTACGGCAGCATTACTCTTCATTGGGTGCATGGGGTGCATCGGTACCATGGGACCTTCTCCTCCACCACCTCTCCAAACAGCATTAACCTTCGGCCTCACTGTCAACCTGATCATTATGGTGAGAATATTTTACCAAAATGTCTCATTCAATGTAAAAACTATTACCATAATATTTCTCAACTGAAATACCTGATTTTGATAGAGTAGAATCTGATTTCAGATGCTGGGTCACATTAGTGGTGCTCACCTCAATCCAGCAGTAACAATAGGAGCAGTGATTGTTGGCCTGAAGTCAATTCCGACGGGAATAATTTATGTCATTGGACAATTCATCGGAGCAACCATCGGATACGGGACCCTGAAAGTACAGTATATTTTTTTATTCACTGCAGTGCCGCTGGGAAATAGTCTAAACAAGGAAAAAGAAATCCCGCTGATTTGATACCTGTTATATTCTCTGATATTTGTAATCGTTAACAATACTTTGTTACTTTATCACGTACTCGCAGATGATAACTCCCGAAGATCTGTTTAACGATGGACTGTACAATTCAACGAGCAGTCTTTGCGTGACCGCCATCCATCCGAAAGTTTCAATTGTACAAGCCATCCTGATCGAGACATTTTGCACAGCTATTATTCTTTGCACTGCATGTGCAACGTGGGATCCGAGATGTGCACACACTACGGATTCGACTGCTCTGAGATTTGGATTTTCAGTCGCCGCAATTGGTTGTGCCGCGGTATGCAACGATATCAATAAGCTTCAATGAAAATCTTACAAACCGTAAATTAACAATTTTTAAAAGAGGAATTACATAAATCACATCTCAGGGTCCGTATACAGGATGTAGCATGAACCCAGCCCGAACATTTGGACCTGCATTTTGGAACAGCGAATGGAAAGATCAGTGGGTAAGTATCTGAGATATTCTTTTCACAATTGCAACCAGTCGAAATCGATAACTTGCGTTTCATTAACCAAGTGAAATTAAATGCTCGATGAATTTCTAGCTATTCCATAATACATATCTAAACGCCATCGCAAAAGTGTGATTTTCTTCCTCATTAATTTGGTTGTCGTTCTAATTAATATATTACAATTATAGGTATACTGGGCCGGACCTACTTTGGGGGCATTACTCGGAACATACGTCTATGAAATCATTTTCAAAGAGCAAACGACGTCGAAAGAATAATCCCAACCTGATCCTATTCTAGAAATGAAGGAACTCGACGTGACATCCTGAGGAAAAAAAAAAACAAAACTACGCATGAAACTACAAGGACCGAAGTCACTCCGCTGGAAATTATTTATTCCTACCGAAGTTACCCTATTTATTTGCGAAATATCCTCGAGTAGATAACGCATCGCAAGAGAATTATCTTGCAATTAAGGTATGGATGGATTCTTCTTACATTTATCAATAACGCATGCCATCCATTAAGCGTGTCCGCCGCTACTTTTATTCTTTTGGAAAGTTAGATATCGTACTATGATAGTAAGCCGCATAAACTCCGATAAGACTGCAGTGATTTCCTGCGATTGCACGTCGATTCCACGTGTCTATCGCGATCCAACATTGATTTGATAAATTTCGTCAAAAAGCAGAGGCGATAAGATGACTCATAGTAATTCGCGTTGATGTACTTGATTTTTTATTCCCATCAATGAGTACTATCCAAAGTAATTATCCTCAAATGAATTCCCGGAATGTACATTATTTTTCACGACCTCCTAAGCAGATCGAGTTACAGGAAAGTAAGGTATCTCTTTACTTTGGCGTATAAAATGATTCCGTAAATTTCCAGTTGAATTCAAGGTCAGGATATACAGGACGCCGGTTATCGGGAGGTGGACAGACCGGTTGCGAAAGCAGCTGTTCCTCCGAGTATAAGCGGCGTCTTTTGTTATGTCAAAGTGTATTTGGAGGCACTCTTCTTGCGCTCGAAATAACTCGAAACCTTCAGAGGAGGTCTTGAGAATTAAATTCTACCGTACGTATTTTTGAAGCTCGTCATTTGAGGGATCAGGACCCATCCGTAGGTCTCTACCGAGACGTCATAATTAGAAATGGACCTCCCACCCGCAGTTCTAAAATTACATATGTACATACATATTTACCGCGGTCGCGGCCTGCTTATGAAATCGGAACAATGAACCTGACCGGGTTTCGTTAACCCGTTGTCTTCCAAAGAAGTCCTGCCTAAGACCTTGTATGTTCTATTAAATACTAACGAGTAACGCATACTCAAACATTTTCCTTCCAAAGCATTACGATTCCGCTTTTCAGGCCTAGGAGTAAATACGTTTACGTCTCTATGAAATCGTTCTAAAAATAGTTGGCGTCGCATAAACATCGGCTTGAAAACAACCAGAAACTCTGTATTCACTGAATCACGCATAGTAACGCACTTTCCTCGCCGCGTGGATTTTTTATCAAATAAAAAACCGAAGAAAATAACCGGTGATTTTAATTAGCCTGCTATTATCGTGCCATTTTACATCTGCAGAACTAGAGTTACTACGTCATAAATTCTAACGGTTACTCTCCATACCGTAATAATTGGCGGCTAATAAAATCAGTAGTATTTGCGGTCATTTTTCAACCTGCACACGATTCGACACGATACATTTTTCTTCTTAAGGTAAGACATGACGCGCAGTACCATATATACCAAAGACCTATATTAATGCGGAGTTTCTGGTGCAGGTATCGATTCGCCGGGCTGAAACGTTCTAGAACTCCACGGAAACTACCCGAGCCGTTCCACGGCGCACTTTAAACTCCAAAAAAATCCTCCCAATCTAAAACCACCAAGTCCTCCTATTTAAATTCATCTCTAAACTATTCTAAACCAAGATAACTATACTGGATTTTTCGTATACGAAATCTCGAAAACGAAATACGAATATAACAGTCGAAGCAAAAGGCGATAACTCGCTATCTGAGAATGCTTTTCGCGGTAACTTATTTAAATACAATAAATTACGCATTCGCACGTTACATAATTTACTCTTAGGTTAGACTTATTTAAATTATATCTCGCGGTCGCAGTCTTCTCTCGATTTAGTTCCTTTTCCTGATTAACTGAGTCTCGAGTCAAACGTGACGTGGCGACGCTTCTTGCCCTCTGGTGAGATACACAAAGGAGGCCATGGTCAAAGCTATGGCCGAAGTGTGCGTTCATGGCCAAGAAACAAGAGGTGCAGGAAATCAGGGAACTGGTTGCATCGCCACTCGGAATGCTGCAGGGGGAAGAATTTTGAGATTCCGCAGATCCAAGCCAAGCGGAGTTGACCTTGAGACGAAAGAAAAGAAATTATTCCTTCGACCCGTCTCATTCCGTTATATAAGAACGTTACGGAGTAAAAAGACACAAACGAGCGTATACTTCCGTTCCTGGTTGCGTGCAGCAACGGGAAATAAAGGGAAACGCTTTCCAAAACGTTTTCCGTCCCCGGTTAGAAACAGTGGAAGCTTCGAGTACGTTCCGTGACCGTCTTGCTCCGTCGTTGCAGTATATATGTGCATCCAAGCGGCCATGTCGGTGCATCGACCTCCCCTTTCCACTTTCCGTTTTGGAAGACGATTGCTCAGTGAACTGTTCAGTTTTCCCCGAATAAGTGAATGGAAAAAGCATGGATTCCCTCGTTATGCCGAACCATAGGGTCCCTGCACTTTCATAAGCCCTGAGAAAAGAAATTCATTGAGCCAAAGAAATGATTTCGTTAATTCCAGAAATTTCACTGAAATTAAATAGTCATAATTCCGAATATTGCATACAATTTATTCGCGCCTACTTGAGTCGAATAATTATTCTTTGATTGAATATCTTTTTTCTACGGGTAGTATCAGGGAGAAAATCATTATTAGGATACATATACGTCTGTAATATACGTAATACAAGCGAAGATCGAACCTCTCTTTGTCAAAATGGCGGACCATTGTTCCGCAGCCGTGCCGGCGAGAGTTGCGTCGTATTTCCGTTTTCACATCTGCCGAAACGCACCGCTGGCTAAACTGCGCACTTTCGTATCGATAACCTTGTCCTTCCCCCTTTTGTACCCGTCCTTCCTCCCTTTTTAATCTTATTGCCCGTTGGGAGTACTGCGTAGCATTTCCCCCCTAGGGCACGCAACAGGGTTCCCGGAACGAACATTTTCTCAAGATTCGATATTATCACGCAAGAGTACCTTACAATAGGACCCTATTTGAACATTTCGCCTGAGCGGCAATAATTGAAATTCGTCACCAGAGACGAGCACATTCTCAAAACAATGGAATAATTTATTCGCTCCCATTAATCGAGGAAAATAAGCCATTAACTTTTACAATTCTTCAGATAATTCAACGTCTTAATCGCATGCGATGATCCTTGACCTATGGCGTTTTGCAAACATCACATGTTCTAATTAGTAGTGTACGCAGGTGAGTGCACAATTAAGTTGAGCCCATTACCATTCCAATTAGATCAACGCTTACATGTGTATATGCACGTCTATCATGGTTTCACGAAATGTACAATTATTACACAATTACTCCAGCGATCCCTGTACCCGACATGCTCATTTTTATCTAAAGAACGCCTGCAATTCAATCCCATGTTCCCGAAAATTCATCGCAAAACCGTCTCCGCTTCTGGGAAGAGTCCATTATATCCAACTGCGCACTTTCCCATGGGCGGCCTCGTTCTTCCCGTCCGACGAGGGCCCTTCTTTGCGAGACTCTTCCTTTTGGTCGCCGAAACTGCACGGCGGGTCTCAGGGACACGCAGCAGGCCTCCGTTGGCGTGTATTCCTGAAAATAAGCAGTTGCATAACTGCGCACTATTGTCGAGGCGTCCTCATCTCCCCTGCTCGTAGCCGGGACCGGTCGAACGTTCCAGGCCGGCTTCGCGGTGGGGAGAGAGAGAGGTTAGGTCGCCGAGCCCCGGCGTGCGAACGTGCCAGAAATCTCGTCTGCGCCGCGACCGATCAATACTGCGTACCGACTCTGTTATGCTCAAAAAACCGCCGATTGCGATGAAATACTTACCCATGGATGCAAAATATCTCACGTTTAGAAGGTTGGACAGATTCTGACGCGATATTTTACAGGAAGGCGCCGTAATTTATAAACTGGAGGCTATTGCGCGTCTACTTCGCCAAGGGCTCGGCGCAGGGCGCTTGCCGGCGTCGAGAACGTTCTCGGCACGCCGTAGCCGTCTATATAAAGCGCGTCGCCCGACCGACCGGCGCATTCGTAAACAAACCAACGCCGAGTTCAGGTCGCAGTGGACTACCGAAACCCCTTCTCAACCTCCTGGGCAACGAGGGAGTGGTCGTCAATGGTGTATCTACATAACAAGGGAAGATGTAGAAGTACGTCGAGGCGCTGTGCGGAGCGCGGATGCTTACGGTATGTAGCCTTTGTCTAGTCATTTTAGGTTAGGTTCTTTTTGCAGCGTCGAGAACTGCGAATCCTGTGGAGCCTCCCTGGACGTTTCCGTTTACGGTCTGCAATTTGTCTCGATTTAATGTTCAGATCTTTCGACAGCATTTTATTCCGCAGCTCTGATACTGTATCTAAATTTTTTTTTGGATAATGTGGTTTTGATATATTTGATCGGTTTGTGAATTTCTGCAGCTTTTGATCAACCGGTTTGGCTATTTTAAGGAGTTGTGAGTTTTGTATTTTAAAATTGAGTAGTATTCGCAATGATCGTAGGGCTTTTTTTAGAGGTCATTTTATATCTTGCTAGGAGAGGCTCCAAAGGACATTTTTTCATCATTTAACGGCATGACTAGAATATTTATGTATGCTTGCTTGAACAAGTGGAAAATTGGCTGTGCCGTAAAGTCTCTTTATAATCTCATTTAAATCTCTGCACCTATATGAATTTTGACAATGTGCTATTTAATACTATATGGAATAGATCTGTTATGGGAGTTATGAATATTTTCTAAAATGTCATAATTCAATGTATAAAACAGTATGTTGCTAAAGAAATTCTATGGTTTGATAAACGAATTATATTTTGAACAAGGGAATTTTAACGAATATGTACAGGTTGCTAGAATAAAAATGTAAGAAAAGGAAAAAAGTTTAGATAATTTACATATTCACGTCGATTATAAAATAATCTTATCTCATTTTAACATAAATACTTATTGGTGCTCAACAGTAATTTCTTGCACGTTAACTTTTTCTTCGTCACTTTTTGGGGCGGGTACTCCTGTCCTCACGATATTAACAATCCTCTCGGTCTCGTTGGATTCTGGAGCCTGAAAAATGTATAATGTTACCGTCGCACTGCCTTGAAAAGGACCATGGAAATCATACAAGTTATTTCTTTTTTTTAGAGCACCCTAAGGGGTCGGTGCTTGAACATTCCGTTTGCAACAGAATCTGGTCTGGTTAGGGTTTCAAATTGAAGACAACTACGAAAAATAGGTAAGAGATTTACGGTCAAGAGCATTCAGCAAATTTCTAATAACAAAGAAAAAAAAATTAAGTACAACTCTGGTTTAGGAGTTTGATCATAACCATTAAATGTACGAATCGTACGGTTTATGGTGTCGCTACATATGATGCATAATTTATCCGAGTCTACCTTTAAATCAACGGTCAGGGTAAATTAACCTCCCAGATAACGAAGCATTGTTAGGATGCAATTAAAAAAAAATCTTTCAAAATCGTTACTCAAAAGTGCAGAATTTAAAATTAAAAAAAACCTTACAAAGGTCTACGCTTCTAGAGGTTACGTAGCGTCACCGTTAACATGTCCGTCTCGCATATTTGTCTCGGGGCTGGCTTTCAATTCGAGTAAAATATGAAAAGGTGTACAATTCAATTGACGATATCCTTCCAATTCGATTGGCTGAATTGGCAGTGTCGATACCTCAATTGAAGTGTACGCTCGAGTCTAGGTTACCAGAATTGAAAGGTCCCATCCACCATAGTGAATATTCTTTTATTACATAATTAATTGCCCCACTGGCTGTGTATGATAATCAGACAAAATCGTTCTTTTTAGCCTTTAGCGTGGTTTGTTCAGTAAGCTCGAGATTTGTCCTCCTCCGCTCTTCCTACTGGATTGGAATTAAGCCGAGGCCCAAACTATAGTTCGCGGCGCACCGTGAATCTACCGGCGAATCCGCGAGGGTTCGCGGTTACACCCAGCTACCTTTTTGGGTGCAGTTATAGTTAAAACACCATCCGAGGACAGGCTCGAGGTAACGTTCTCGACGTTGTGGGACGAGGGCAAGACGTATCGTCTGACGAAGTGCCTGCTGATAAAGCCGTGCTCGTCTCGCTTCTCTTCGTGCTTGGCCTCGACTATAACGTTCTCGCCGACCGTCTTCACCGTGATCTCCTCCGGTGAAAATTGCTGAACATCCAAAATTACCTGCACAGACCGACATATGAGATATCATTCCTGCCGCCTCGTAAGCGCACACAGAAAGAAACCGCGACGGATTGTCAGTACCCCCGCGTTGCCCCCCAGGAGTCTTAGACCCCTCCGGAAATTACTCTCGCCATCCTAATCTAGAAAAGAAAAAAAAGAAAACCACCCGTCGGTGATCCTCCGCTCACCCCGGATGATCGTCGACGAGGACGGCGCGTACGCTCCGGCGGAAATAACCGACTAAAGAAATCTCACTTCACCAGACCGAACCCCAGGAGTCTCCTCACGCGAGTCGTCCTAGGATAACATCTGACCGTGAAGGGAGCTCTCTTCAGGAGAACACCAGGATTTTTCGTTAGAGCCTTTCGCCTCCCTAGATGAGAGCATCTCCGGCGAGGATAACACCGAAGTCGCGAACCCGCGGACACGCCGAGCGCGTTCCTTCGCCCAGAGCAGAACCTTGAGGGAAAGATTTCGCAAGCGCCCAGGACTCTGTTCTATTTTTTTTTTTCGTTCCTCCCGACGTAACCGGAAAAATTAGGAATCATGTAAAGACACCGCAAGGTGACGCCCGGTTTTCTTTCGAGCTCCTTTATCCGCGGACATTTATGTAACGCGTCCGTTCAGTTTCCTTCTTGGCCGTTCAAAAGCAACCGGGAAAGATGTAGTTCTTGGGCGCACCTACTTGTGTGAAGACTGGTTCTTTTGCTAAAGACGTGCGTTACATACAAGTAGGTGGATGTGTAAGGGGGATATCGCGATCGCGGATCCTCTCTAATTTTCATTTCTTCCTTTATACATTTGGTCCGGTCGTTTGTCCAAACCCCCCGATGGTCGCCCCTCGTGTCCGCGACGCGTTGTTGGCGTGTCCTAGGGATGTAGAGCTCTGAGAGGGGGGGGGAGAGAGAAAGAGGAGAGGAAGGAGAAAACGCCTTTTCGAGAGGCCCCGCGGGTTTACGTACCAAGTGATTTTTGCAACTAGTGAGAAAGAGAGATTTGTACATAGAAGATTTTTCATATTTGTATATGATTCTAATCGCGCGTTGAGGGGTTGTAAAGAGGTATATTTATTTTTTTACTTGAAGCACACACGAGGGAAGAGAGCCGAGGTTTTTAGCGAGCTCCGCGCGGCGCCCCGCCACGGGGGGCGGTGGGGGGGTGGGGGGCGCGGGTCGCCACTTTTTTCGGCGAGATCATTTTCACGAGGAGTAATTAAAGGACGAGGAGAGAGAACAAAGAAGAAAAAAAAAACACAAAAACTAAGGGGAAGAACAAGGAAAGACTGAATTTTCAAAACGAGTTTCGAGCCTTCACCCCTCCCCTTGCTCGTTAGGGGGGAGAGATTCTAGAGTTTTTCTCACTTCATCCGTACCTCGGTCGAGCATTTTATTTTTAATTTTTCCGAGGGGGGTGCATTTTTTTTTTTGTTTACATTCACCCGACATTTGTCTGTCAGTCAAGCGGCTCTCGCTCTCGCGGTTTCGAGCGATTATTGTAACGCGAATTGAATATCGTTCCAAAGTGCGTGTGAGGGGAAAAAGGCGGAAATTGGAATTAATTTGTCGCGCGCCCTCTGCTCGAGGAGGGCGGGATTTTTTCGAAATTGGGGGGCGGGGGGGATATATCGAGCGTTGAGAGACGCAGGGGAGGTTTCGTGGGCACCCCTTTTTCCTTTTTAACACGCGCTATGGCTATTGAAGGGAAATTCGAAAACGGGTCTTCGACGAGACGTGGGCCTTCCGGTAGTCCCGGCGACGTAATGTTCGGTTCCTTAGAGTCGTTAAGTTCGCCTTATCGCAGTTATTGCTTCCACAGTCGCAGAGCGAATACTATTTTGTACCTTTTTAAGTTGACTTAAGTGTGTACGCCGAGTTACGTTGTAGGAGGTTAAGGAGATACGCGCTCTTTCTGTAATTTTTAATTTTTAACTCCCACCCTTTTTTTTTCTTTTTTTTTTCCCCCCTTCAATTATTATCCCCCACTCTGTCTTGTATCCGGGATTTACTTACTACGAATGCGCCGTTTCGTATTAGATTTCACTCGTTGTCCAAAACCACGTGGTTGCGATTTTTTTTCTCATACAGATGACATTCGATTTTACCGCTAAAAAGCTGAGATATAGAGGAGATGGTACATGTCTGTAGGTCTTAGAGAATAGCGCTTCGTACGAGAGGAGGAGGAACTGTCCTTTTGCGCTAAGGAAACCTAGAATTCTCGTGGACCCGTACTCTCTTTTTCCGAGGGAGAGGTGTTTTGGATTTATCGAGAGGAATATCGCTCAAGTCAAGCGGAGTAAATATCGAAAGGGAGATATACAGAAGAAGTGTCGTCTCCGAGCGAGCGGCCTCGTCCCGAGGCTGCCGGAAAATTTTCAGTACAGAGAGGTGTCTAGTCCTTTTTCACGAGAAAACTACATTTCTGACATTGCAAAAGAGAGCCTACGGTGATATATAATAACATTACGTATATAATTCCCATGTAGAGTGTCCGAGGAGGCAGAGAGAGATTGGTACGAGTTACTAAGTTACATTAGTTTTAGGCGACAAGCAACTTTTAACCAGTATCGAGAGATATAAGAGACCCATCGAAGAGAGTTTCATCTGCAGATAATACTGTCACTAAGGAGGTGACTTTTAGAGAGGGAGAAGGAAAATAGAGAGAGACCAGAAACAGACGTCGAATTTCCGCAATTTCCTTGTACGGGGCGCAAGTACCCCCTGAGCTCTTCGAATAGCTCTTTGCAAGGTGTACCTCTTTAACGAATGAAAACTTATGTGTATACGTATATACATATTCCTTGTGCGTAAGATTACGGAAGTACAACGAAGAGTAAATTAACATCGCGAGGTTGGGATAAGTGATTTTCTAATTTTTTTTTTTGTATTTGCTGGAAGGGAACTTTTTGCACCAATTTTGTCCACCGGTCGTCTCATTGTGCATCGATAATACCGGAGAGAAGTAATCCTTGGCGAGAGAGGCTCGACTTGTCGGCCTTATCCTCTCCCGTTTACTTCCCACGACTTTCCAAGACTTTCCAAGACTTTCCCCAATCCACCTGGATTTTTTGCGTGTCCAACTAATCGTGTGCCCAGTCGGCGGGAAATCTTTCTAAGAGGGATATTTCCGACTGATCGAAGAGTGGAATAAGTGACGACTGTCGCCTGACTTTAAGGGGGGCCTTCCCCTCTTGATAGTACACGGGATAAGTCGCTACTTATTTCCGAGGTGCTAACACCCTTACTTTTAGGTATTTTACTGTAAACGGTTTGCAAAGAGCCCCATGACCGCGCGGGTTCGGCTAGGGTTTTAATGCTTTCCTGCTGTAATTTGTCGATAAGCGACTTCTTATCCTGCGGTGTGATGTGATTGCTTCTGTGTGTTAATTATTAGAGCTTTAGAGTCTAATTATTATACGAACAGACGGACGGCCACTGTTACGAATCTTTGGACTGTTATCTTGCCGAGCCATTTTGACCAAAGCGAAGAGACACCGACTTCATATTTTTCTTGTTTTCTTTTTTATTTCCCCCTTTCATTGGCATCGATACTAAAGATCGTTTGATAGATTTCCGCCTCGCTGGATTTGTGTGACGAGTAAGCTTTAGATTTTGTATTTTTTTTATCTTAGAATTAAATTAAAAATCGTTTGGTAGATTTCCGCCCCGCTGAATTTGTGTGGCGAGTAAGCTTTAGGTTCTCTTGGGGTTTTTTTTTCTCTCTATCTTGGAATTAAATTTTAACCGTTGATTTAGATTTTTTTTTCTTACTGGTCGAGCCGCTGATTAGAGTAGATTTACGACTTTATTGTAAGCTTCCTTCGCTGACGGATTAGACTGCGGGACCTTTGGCGACTCTCGACTTTTCCATGGGTTCATCTGCTGTAGGGTGAGTCCAAGGGAAAGCCGAGGGTTGCTTTTTGGTGTAGAGGTTTGATATTAAGAGACGTCGACGAAGGAGAATCCTCAGGATTTAGGGATATAAAGACGAGACACGGTAGTGATTGGGAGAGAGATGTGATTGGGGGCGACCGTTTCTCTTTGTTCAGGATGAAAAATATATTCCGAGGCCAGCGAAGTTTATATCTGTAATCATGGGTGTAATTACACCGCCTAGTACCATCGTTAATCATTACACCCGATCCCAAATCTCAGCAGTATATAACGTCACGCGATTCTGAAGAAAGTTCTTGAGGAAAGTTGAGCGAAAGAGCGGCGCTCTTCGGTTGCTGAGAGGCGATAATAAAAAAACGTGAATATATATATCGAAAGTCTAATACAGGTGAAAGATAATAAAGGATACATATCCGTTTCCGAAGCAAGAGTTTTTGTCCCCCCGGTCATATCGTGAACAATAAATCTCAGGTGAGAGCCACTCGTTAAGCACAAAGGGGCGGGGGGGTGGGGGAGAGTGATTAGGTGTTTCATCTGGTAAAAAATCAAATTCGAGTCCTAGGTTAATTAAAAGAAAAAAAGGGTCCGTCCTTTTCGGTGCCTGAGACCCCACGAGGGGGGTCTCAGGACACTCAGGGCTTGACATATCGTTTTTATCATTGGCATCGATTACAAATTATCGTTAGGATCTCAACCAAAAAGTAGGTTAGAGTCGCTGAAGGGGTTTACCTGTACGAGGTGAAAAATCTTTTTTGGGCATTAACAGCTTTTAGAAAAGGAAAACAAAAGTGAAAAAAGAGGCCCCCTGGTATTGATTACTTTTTTTTTTTCCCGTGCCTTGCTTTGAAGCCAAAATTTGTAAATCTGATTTCTTGTACCTTCGGTAAAATTAATTCCGCTCCCGAAAGCAGCCTTCCGTGAATTTTAATTAAACGGCGGTAAATTCTAATCAGTGACAACTAGTCGCCGAATAAGGTACGATAATTAAGAGGTAGTTTAGTATATATATACACATATATATACACATAAAAAAGAGTATCGAGTAATCGCCCGATAGTTTCGTGAACTTATAGCTCTTGAAAAAAAAGGAAATCGGTGCGCGATATCGGTGTGGGGATTATTAAGGAATCTTTGCTGATGGATCATCAGGATCGGTTCCTTGAACGGAGGCACCGATATCGCGCACCGATTTTTTTCCCTTTTTCTTCGGTTTTCAAGGGCGCCGTCAATTTTTGTGAAGTTACCTCGTTGCGTTTACTCGAACCGAACGATCTAATTGGAGGTGTGTGGTGTAGGGCTTGATAGAGGCGGATGCTGGATTTTTTAAGGTAATAGACGTAGAGGAGAGGAAGCTGATACCTTGAAAGTAAGGAAGAGTACAAAGGGTTTGCTTATAAATTTCCTTTTTCTTTTTTCTTTTCTTTCCTAGGGTCTGATTCAGAGCTCGAAGACCAGTGCGCGATATCGGCACTCCTTATCGAGGATTCTTTCCATTTTTCTCTTCTTTTGCAGCTTGTATGCAAAGATCGATTCGAGTGCCGATATCGGGCACTGGCTTTTTCAAGGGCTGTGTCGTCGAACCATTCCGATACTCGGTTCGGTATTAACGTAGATCTCGAAGAATAAAGTCGCGAAGGGATAAAAAGAAGGTAGAGAGATAAGGAAGGGACCGAGAGAGAGGCGTTAGATAGTGCTGTGATCAGAAACTTCCATAAGCCGATGTGTGGAATCTAGGCAAGATTTTCAGAGCTTTTCTGGTATATGGAAAAAGTGGAAAAAAACAAACAGAAAACCTGAATTTCCGGCACGGATTTCGAGCGGCGGCTTTTCAAGAGCGTACCGAAAATTCCGAAAATACAATACCTCCGATAAATATCCACGGGCATTTTCGAGAGATTTGGGAGGAGAGGAGCAGAAGGGACAGGGAGGGGGAAGGAGTCGCGTGACATCGGAGTTTTGTGATAACTGATAACCGGACAATACTAAAAATCCCGATGTAAAGGACGAGCGAATTCGAACTCTGCGGTAAAATTCTTTTAATTACAGTCGAATACCCACCGGAAGGGACTTGATTTAGAAGAACAAGAAAAAAAAAAAAAAACAAGAAAAGTTCCTTGATGCGCGGCGTCGATGCAACTTTTTTTTTATCAGGGTGGAGCAATCGATGCGCGCAATCCCTGGAAAAAAAGTTGCACCGACGTCGCGCATCGATCTGCCCGAAATTCCCACCGGGATGCGTTTAATTTTTCTATTTTTTTTCTTTTTTTTTTTTTTTTCTATCTCGGTCCTACGTGAGTGAAATGCGGAATTGCGGAAATCGACTTTCGCGATCGTGGACCTCTTAGGAGGATGAAAAAAAAAAATGCCGGGGCGAGAGGGGAGGGATGTGTCGCATATCCGGAGAAAACATCCTCGGCGGTATAAATAAAGCACCCTGAGTCACGAATCTCGGTGGTCGATATTTATGTACCGGTGATCTAATCGGGGTGGCGTCTTCATTCACCCTGTGCGTCGGGCTCTTTTTTTGGGATCTTCAGAGACCAAGGAATCCCGCGGCAGGAGATTCGCGATCCTTACCTGGAAGGTGTCCTTGTCCGATTTGATCGTGCTCGCGCCGGAAGTCGGGAAGATGGTCCTCCAGGGCCGGAAGTATCCGGGCGCGCCGAAGAGCGATCGCGGTTTCGTCAGAGACAGGTTCGACAGCTCCGACAGGAGAGGGTCATCTCTTGTCAGGATGCCGTCGAAGTGTCGGTCCAGCAGGCGAAGCCGCGACCGGTCCAGGTCGTCCCACCAGTCGCGGAACATGAGAGGCACCACCGCCATCTGGAATAATGAATAAAAGGGAAAACCATGAATTATATGAAACACGGACACACCAGAGACAGAGAGCAGGGTCTCCCGTCGATCGTCACCTCTTGCGGCCTACTCTATAATCCGTGAAAATGAATGAAAATGCGGAAAAAAAAAAAAAGAAACGAATGGAAGATGTGTGGAGAATGCCGGGGATTTGTATGTCTTATCCGTGACGGGATGCTGGGAGGAGAGGTAAGGGATTTGCGAAGGGATCGGATGTGGAAAGGCAGGAGGGATGAGTCTCGTGTCTTAAGGGTTACGGTAGAATACTTTACGGTGTACTCTATGGCGGTAGGATACGTTAGGGTGTATGGTGTGGTAGGATAAGCTCCGAAGAAAAATCGAGAGATATTACATTTTAAAAACCCTTTGCGAAGTTAAGGGCTGAGGTGTTTCCCGATTTGCAGTCCAACGTAGGTCCTATGTCGAGCGGGGAGTGAATAATGATAATCAAAAAATAAACAATAGGAAATCGACGGTTTTTTCATGGGATGTGAACGATCAGGGGAGACAGGGGGAGAGATCGAGCGGATTCGAGACGAGAGAGATGAATCTGGGAAGACTTGGAAATGAGGGATACGAGGGAGGTGGTGATACTTTGAAAGGGATTAGGAAAAGAGGCTGATTAGGGAATGAAAGCGCGATAACGCGCCGGAGGAAGAGAGAGAGAGCGGCTTTTCGAGATGTGACAATTCGCATGTACATGTACACGCACACGTTGATTCACTCACTTTATCGAACAACGAACTTCTTAGGGCCCCCAGCACTGATAATACAATCACAGTCTATGAGATATATATCTATATATCTGCCCCCCCCCCCTACTGTTCGACAATTTATTAAGGAATAATTTTTCTCTCGCGAGTAGCCTACCAGCAATTAGCTGCGGCCTTATTAAGATAAAAACCGGTAAACACTTCGTTAGTACACTAATTGTCCAAGCCTTATTAGCGATCTAATGGTACCGTCAACACGAGTTGCATGTTAATTGCGTTACGTTTAACCGGTAATTAATTTACGCTGTACTTCTAGTGCCTTAACTTTGGATTATTTTCTTCTTTTTTTTTTATTCCTTTTGTCTTTCTTAATTTTCTCTTAGTGCCAATCGTTGGATCGATATGTAATTATTTCCTTTCTTTCATAATTGGAGAGTTTCACGCGTATATACACGAGCACACACTAAACACACGTACACTTCGCACGTTATCGAACATGTTAACTAACTACTCGGTGCGCGGTAGTCTAGGATTAAGAACTATAAACGTGGGCGCTTATCAAGCGGGTGGTTTTTAAGCCGTAATCGGAGCGTTAACTTTGCGCCTTAAGGAAGTAGGAATTAACCACGGCAGGTGGAGGAGGGAGAGGATTAGCTAAACGTACTGGGCACCATTTCAATGGCGACGAGTACTCCGCGAAAAATCCGTGGATGCTTTCTTTCTTTTTTCTTCATCTCCGACCTTTACTCTCTATACACGCACTAAAACTAGCCTTACAATTAGTGGAAGTCGTGCGTCTTGTATCGTGTATGCTAATTAAAGGTAGTCTCAGTGTTTAAGGGATACTCGAGAGCGGGAGCAAACAAAGTTACATGTAGGACGTAATTCACCAGATAATTGAGGGCGTGGAGATGGGGAAAGATAAAGTAGCGAGAAAGGGTGTTGAGAGGGACGGCATTTCCTATTGACTGTTTAAATCCGTGCAAAACTTACATCGGTGGATATGAGACTTTTCATCATCAACGGTCGCGTAAATTCGCGACGACAGGCGAGACATCGGCGGTCCCGATAACGTTAACGAGATCGATCTTAATAATTGCCCATGAAACGCGGGGCAGAGACCACGTGTTCGCCAAACGTCAAAATCAGCTGATCGCGACAGCCGAGACAGGAATTACGTCGCCGTAAGTTTTCTCAAATTGTCCTGTACGTTTCAACTGATAGAACATCGCGGTGAAATACAATAAAAAAAGAACATCGATACTAAGAGAACAAATAAATAAATAAATAAATCAGGGAGCGTACAAGGGCGTGATTGAATAAGTATCTATCCGGATCAGCTGATAGCCGCACATCTCGAGACACCGAGAGTCGTACCAAGGCGCTTCCATTTTTTAAACAATTTGCTTAAACGCGTCTTACAATTATCCAGACTAACTCGCAGGTCGACTCGAGTCGATTGATCGATCGCGGAAGGTTTGACGCGCGCGAATTTATTAAATACAGTCAGTTTAGATGGGGAATAAAGAGAGAGAGAGGGGAATAATCATCGAAACAGGAAAGACGTAACTCGACGACCGGTGGAGGTGCGATGAGCGATTTCTCAGATACCAAACTAGGTAAAAAGCGATGCCTATCACTCGCTGATAAGACACCGAGGGAAATGGGAAAAAAAAAAAAAAATTCAAAATCGAATTCGGCTGATCGTTGCCGAATCCTTCGCGAAGCCGATCGAGTCGCGTCGTCTGTTGCGAATCCTTATCGCACTTAAGTCGTGTCTTACGATTAGTCGAGGTATATTTAAAGCAAAAATATATATGGTTAAGGATATCAGGCTCTGCAGTTTAAGCTCGCGTTATAAAATGGTGTATACCCAGCGTTAAGTATATCATTCGTATCTAAGGAACGTGCACCAGCAGAGAGCGATTAGTCAGCTAATAACCGATAATAACGATTTTAGGCGGGTCCCCGGGTTAGCCTGGCGCACCTGCCCACTAATTAGAGGGTTTAACTCCTAGGATTTATCGTGTGTTAAGTTAAATAAGCGTACGGTGTGTTGCCGACGAGGTGAACTATCGACGGGGAAACTCGGTCTTCGGTGCCGTGTACTTTTTTTTTTTTTGCAGGGCGAGATTATCCGCTCCGAGAGATTTGAGACGCAGCTCTTCCGGCTGGATCCTTTTCGACTATGATCTCGATTTGGATGCCGGGGCCTTTTAAATAGGCACGATGTATGTCCCTGGTGGGGGTGTCTGACGTTTCCGAGGAGACGCGTATGACGTTTACCGCTGACTGGTTTTCCGAAAATACACCCCCCGAAATGTGACTTCCGGTGTGTAACGATTCGCGATCTGGCGCTTCTCTGGGAATACCGAGAGTGCCAGCAGCCACGAGATGAATCTCTCTCTCCCAGTGGCCGGACATCCGACACGCGGAAAGGGGTTTACATGGTGTACCGTCGAGGAGTGTAAAACATAAACGAAAACGTAAAAAAAAAAAGAGAGAAAATTAAGGTACTTGCTCTTGACGCGAAGAACTCGTAACGCTAGGTGTATGTTAACGTACTCTCGCTAATACGATTATTCTATCGTTAGTCGTTTAAAAGCCGATTTGTCCGTCCTCGGATCGACTCGTTACTCTTGGGATTGGTTTTTTACGCGACGGGAAGAAAAAAGATGATCGCTCGGAATTATTTCCAAGTTTTTCGCGTTTTTTCGGGGGACGGATCGATTAGGTCTAAGGAGTGGTAGGCTTATCACGGATGTATTATGCGTACGGTGTGTGCACAAGAATGACTACTACTACTTATGGTATCTTATATTGACGGTAAAGGACTAAGATTTTGCGTGGACAGATTTCTTATGTATAATCGATATAATTTTCCATTTTTTTTTTGTTTCTTTCTTTCCGAGGTCTTTTGCGTACGTATTTTTACCCACCCCGATTTTGCTCTTAACTTGTAGCTACGCTGATATGTATATCCCGTTTTACACAGCTTTTAAAAACCTACGAGATACTTCGAGCTTCGGTTTTTTTCCTCCGACATTCGCGGTGATGGTTTACGTGTGTATGATTATTTTGCGCTTGGTATTTTCCCACTTTTTTTTTCTCGTGAGATTTAATCGCTTTATTGTGGATGGGAACAATCGATAACGTGAGAACACTTCGGGTAGAGTTAGGACGCATATAACGTGAGTAAAACGTCAAAAAGCTTCGCGACTTCCAATACGGGAGATTAAAAGAGGAAAGATGAGAACACGGCGAGTAGGCGCGTACTTTGGATAAGAAACGAGAGAGTAAGAATTAACCGGTAATCGTTAACGTTAGCTATTAACGGTATAAATCGTACGGTATAAACTTGGTATAGCAGCTAATATCTAGGATCGTCCTACTTGTACACCGAACAGTCCTTGTATAACTACTCGTTGAACGGCTTTTTCCCCCTATTTTCTCCTTTATCCGGTAAGGTGTTTACCAATCCTATGTGGACATCTTTTTAAGGCATTACTTAGATTTCCCGAGAGTTGAGGGTACACTTGATGATTTTTTTAGTGCCAGTCCTATTTAGACGATAAACTCACGCGATGTGTATCTATCATAAGGTAGAGTGTAAGAAGATCGGTATTAAGTGTCTGCATTAAGTAACAACTTGCGAGGTTTAGGGTCTTCGAGGTGTATTTGCAACCAGGCGTGTAGACTGGGAGGTTTGTCGTGCGTGAACTCGGGAGCCAAGTAGATTTATCCATTATGTTCCCTCGGAAGGTGTTAACGAGATGTTAATTAAGTGGCATAAAATGGTTAATAACGCGTGTTAGGGGAGGTACATAACATTGCATACCTTGCGTTGGCGTTCCAAGATGGCGGCCGCTTGGGACGCGCGCGCGATTCAAATCGCAGGGAGGTCAGTGACGTCATTCGGTGAGAAAGTTACGAGCTGGCAACGATCGCTCGACTTTGTTGCACGTCACTTGACCGTGAAAAATTGGCCAAGGCTTTGATGGTGTCGGACTGGGGAATGATAATAAAAAGAAAAGGAAAAGGAAAACGATAACGACGCGATTCCAACGCAAGGTGGTACATATATATTATCATCGTTTTGCGGAAATAACGACGATCAGTAAGAACGAACAAGGAGAAAAAGAATAATAAACGTACGAGGATTTTGAGGTCAGACGACTTTTTAACTCGCTGCCAATGTTTATTGGCCGGTCTTGAGGTTTTCATGGAGTCTCTTCGATACTGGATAAAATATTATTATACAGAGGGGTCAACCTTTTAAAATGCGTTCTTCGTAGCGATGTCTTGTATTATCGTGACCGTATCACATACCACTTTTTCTATTTTGCGCAAACAGGGCTGAGGCGAGCCCCCGACCGTGACGAACTATATTAAAGCTTGTAACTTAGTAACTTATGTATGTACAATGTAAACTCGATGGTTTATCTCGATGTGGCATTTCTGATAATAACTTGCATCTAACGGTTAACAACTACTTCTCGTACATGTTGTACATGTTGTCTAGGGCGCAACCACGAATAATAGACATGGCCAGGGCTTTGTTACAATGGCCACTGGGTGGAAGAAGAAAAAACAAAAAACACAGTTTGTACTTTCGACAGAACTTAACTACTAAACTTCTCGCGAACACCATTTGGAGATATTCTTTCGCACTCATTCACTCTCATTCATGTAAACATACGAGACTTAACGATAGCATCGATATTTACCGGCTTGAAGGAAAACAATAAAGTGAGATGTACTACATTTGTCCAATGTGTTTCAATCCGACAAGTTACCAGTCCTTATCTTCATTTCTTAACATCTGCACAGATCTCTCTTTACAGTGATACGAAGATTTAATGGAGTCTTGATTTCTTAGGTAATTAATTCTCAGTTGACAAATTATTTATTGGGGGACTCTATTATTGATTTCGGGTAAGAATTTTCGACGATGCGGTACTGTGCTCCAGAATGGCGCAAAAAAGAAGTATTCGAAAGTACTTAATCTTTCAGATAACTCGCAAGACTCGGCCCTTATCGATACCGAACAAGAACTCCGAGTCAAAGCTAAATGTTCTTCCGTTTTCGAACTTCGACCGTAACAATGAATAAATATCTAGAAAGTAATACTCGGGCTCGAGGGTGCCGCAACCAATGGTAATAAAACGAGTACTGTGTTTATTAAAAATAATTTACAAGCGTAAACTTTCCTTCTCTTTGAACTCGCGAGAACTTCCCACGTTTCGCTCCGTAATGGCTTCGAGGTTGCGATTACCACAGGACGGAGGAGTAATTATTTTTTTTTTTTAATTTTTCCCCGAAACACGCGTAATTTACGACAAACGCGCTATTTGCAGCTCCGGTAACTTCTGTATCATCTCGATATCCTGCAGCGTCGATATACCCTGTTCCTGTTAAACGAAGTAAGTCTGAATTTTAATATAAACGATGGAATAAAAAAAAATCATTACAGAGTTAAATCACGTAAAGAATTTTTTTTCCCAGTCATTGGCCTTACATGATACTCCTTCCACTTCTCGTAGTTCTGTCTCATGTAGTCAACTAATTCGGGCATATCGATGAACGCTGGAAAAAAAATGAAAATTGTGTAAATAGAGGTTTTCGTGGTGGTCGTTCGGGTATGTCATTAATTACCATCCCAGGCTTCGATCATGTCGTTGATGATGTAGTCGACGAAGCCGATCTGCGATTTCGGTATCGAGCAAGTCAATCGGTCGAACATCGGCATCACGATCGGCATCTTCTTTTCTTTTTCTTCGTCCGTCTGATTGAAGTACTCTTCGGCAATACGTCTGGCCCATTCGATGCAACACTTGAAAGGTCTTGCTGGGTTCGACACGTCGGCACATTTTATCATCATCCGTTTTACCAAGGCGACATTTTCCGCCTGCAGCAAGATGCCATTGTCCAAAGTGTCCGTGTATAACTGGATACCGCGTTAAAAATACGAAATTAGGGATATAGAATTTTTTAATTATTAAAACCATGTACCATCGATTTATGTGTCGACAGGAAAAAAAATGTATCTCACCTCCGACTGTCCATCGCCCATTTTAATACTGCACACGTTGACAAATTTGGCCAAGTGTTCGAAGTGCTTCGACATTTCCGTCGCCAAGATCATGTCTACGACGTTCTGTCGCATTAATTTATACGCCTCTCGTTCAAGATTCTGAAATGTTTAAGCGTTGATTTTTAAATATATTTGCTACCGTGGAGTTTACGGCGGGCTCACCTTGAAGATATTCACGCTATCGTCGACCAGAGTTAATTTAAAAGTCAGTGCTGCGTGGTGGGACTCTAATACGGATAAGTCGTTGTAGAGGATCGCCAACTTGTTGTCCGTGTTTGTGAGAAATTGACTGAGGAGTTAAAAGGTACTTAGATGCCAATTACCTTAGTAATTAATTTAAATTAAATTATTTTCATTTATTCACCTCGATCTTCCCGGGTGATCGATATCGTGGGCTGCTGCTGCTATCAATGCTGCGACTTCGTCCAATGGATCCAAGATTGTTCTCAGCCTCTCGGCTTGTAAAAACCTTCCGATTGCCTGTAATACGTCAGCAGCGTGGGTGGAGTTGTGATAACTGTTCTCCACGTGATAATTCATCTCCACCACCGTAAGCCAATTTTGCAAAACCTTCTCGTCGCAGTTAAGCCTTTCCGGTACGCGGTACAAACCCATTAGGTTCATTCCCAAATAGACCAGGGGCCTTAAACAGAAAAATTGTAATAAGCGAAGATTTAATTATGAATATTTCTCGGGCTAGAATTTTTAAATACCAGGTAAACTTATTAATCACGCTCTCACCTTCTTGCCGTCACTACCTCCAAGTCGAATATCTCGAATGTCCACTCGAGACTCGTGTCCAAAAGTTCCATGATCTCATGATTTCCGGGAAGATTTCTTACGGAAGCCCGATGATTTCCTTGACTATTGATCATTCGAATTGCTGCGAGTTTACTCGAGGAATCGTTTGACGATCTTCGGGAATCCCGGCAGTATGGGGGAGCCTTTGTAGTAAGGAAGGAATTTAATTCGTAGATAAGGAATTAACTTTTAAAAATAAATTAAATATTCTTCTTGAAGTCATACCGATATCAGGGCTCCGATAAAATCGGTCGCCACGGGATCTCCGTGGAGTTTGGTGTCCTCTTTCAAGTACGGCGCGTATAGTTCTGTGATTTTTAGGGTCTCGATCGCCTGAAAAGAAAATTGTAATACTGAAGGAAAGAGATATAACAGGGATTAAAAATTTCCTTGCGTTAATATTTTGAGCGAGCGCTCCGGTAAAAAAAAAAAAGCAGGGTCAGTTTTCGTTTTTGGTTGTATCAGAGTACCTTATCAATTTGCATAGCGATCTCGGGGTTCGTCGAGATCGTGTCGGCCATTGCATTTGTTAACAGAGATATCACTCTCGTAATCGGAGCCTCTAATGGCAAGTTATTTAATTTCGTCAGACTGGACCGCCTGGGTGCTGGAAAAATCAATGTTATACGTTAATAATTCGCTAATATTGTGGACTGATAAGGGAGAATGTCGCAAACGATAACTTTACTGTCGCTCCCGATAGACCTCACGTCACAGGAACCTCGACGTAGGGAGTAAAGACTTCCTCGGGGATGCTGACTCGAATTGGACGAGATCGCTCCCATATTTTCTAAGAGATAAGTAGTATCGTGGATGTAAATATAGTGCGTCGGTTTTCTGGAAAAACAAAGCATTATTCCCGATACTCGAATCGGCCATCCTGCTTCGACATAGCACGTACTATTTTTTTTTTTTCTTTTTCCGCGGCTATATTTCAAAAGGCCTTAGACGTAATTTCCTTTCAAGGTGCTCACGATACTCGATTATTGATAAGCAAACCTATTGATTGTGATTTCTTTTTAAGATACTGTAACACCGTGACAGCTCGAGGATATCGATTACCAATGATTGTACAGCTTACTTTCCGTTTGCGCAAAATGGAACTATCCTGCAGTTGATGGTGATAGTGTCGTTTCCTTTTCGCTTGCAGGTCATGTTACCTTCGAATTCCCTCCCCCTTTGTAATTGTTGGTCCATTAATACGAAATTCTCACACGTGACGATATCCGTCAAGTCTTTCCCGACCATTTCGTCTACTTTGTGCCCCAACAATTTCTCGCTGGCTTTGTTAACGAACTGAAAAAGGAAATCGGCTAATTGTCTCCTGGACATAAAATCTGGATCTTGATAAGCGATACTTTTTAAATAAATCTGCCTTTGACTTACTTGTACTGTATGACGGTCATTAGTTACTTGCACCATGTCTCGACACCTGTCGACAGCTAAGTACAATGTGTGGATCGCCGAAAGTTGATTTCTCGGTTGAACTTCGCTCGAATAAATTCCAACCATCTCATTGACCAATATTCCCTCGTGTGAACATTCAGTCATGGTCTAAACAAAATCATACCCGATAAGTACTTAATAACCGATAAATCTATAACTAAGATTAGTCACAAATCGATCATATGTCTATCCAATACGTATCGATTATAATAAAATTATTTTTAGGGTAAAGACTTTGTTCCGTAAAACAATTAGTCCGGAAGGGCGTACTCAAAATTTGGCGGAACAAAAGCTGTAAAAAAAAAAATAGATATATGTTTTGAATTTTGTACTCGTAAGTGCATTTCGGGAGGGAAATATCTCTGAGGTGGAAATACTTGAGACTAAACCTACGAGGTAGCTTAGGTAAATGTGATATCGAGTAAATGAAAATTTACTATAATCCTGCCATTTTCCGTTAGAACATTTGGAAAATAAAACTATAACGCCTCCTCTCTCTCGCCGACTTTTCGCTTAATACTGCTGATCTAGTGCTCACTCTGCTGAATCCTGTCTCCAGTAAATCCACGATGACTATTTCATCCTTACTTGACGCCGTAAGGAATCTGAAAGAGTCATTAAACAAAAATTTATCACCTTGAATCCTAATGCCGATTAAAAGTAATTCATTTCTCAGAGCGCATGATACTCACGATTTTTTTACGAGTGCTATCACGACAGTATTGTGACTACAGTTCGTAGTTCTAATTGCTCTGGAAATATAAGAAACAATTGTCAATAAATATACTAAATGCTCGATTTTTTGGTACAGATCAGTGAACGTTTATACCGATGTTTTTATACATATCGCTGTTTAGGGATTCCCGAATACTGCTACGTCGATAAAAACAAGAGTCTCCGTAAACTTTGTGAGATGCAGTCGTTCCTGATTATCGGTGGGTTTAATCGCTTACGTCACTTGGTATCATTCGTAGCTTTCTTATCGACACGTTTAAAATGCTCGCGTACAGGTAGTCAAGTGTCACACTTGAAGAGCTTTCATTTTTTAAATTTCCCGCCTCCGTGACATTGAAAACAGTCGCGAGTCGCATTCGAGGTATGAACGGACCTTAACTTAAATTTCTTCATCTCAAGAAAGGGAAACAAAATAATCGGAATTTTGGAATAGGGAAAAGGGAAAAATTTGGAGGCGGAGAGGGTATTTAGGAAAAAATTCAGATTGTTTAACGAAGTCATACCTGCAAATGTTATCAGCTTCCGGGCCCCGATGTCCCCTGTGATCGATTATCACTACATCGTGATAACGAGTGTGAAAAGCTTCCACGGCCTTTTCCAAAGTTTTCGCAAAAGTGACACTCCAGCCCAACCTCCTCGCCGCATTTCCAAGCACTTCCGATTGTTGATCATCCCTCGCGAACACTAATAATATCTGCCAATCAGGAGAAATCTGAGCGCTTATCAGTGGCAAAGAGACCTCCTCGTCACCGATATTCAAAGCCTTATCAAAAAGCGCACGAGGTGGCTCGTTGTATCATTTGGCCGTCCAGACATAGATTTCACCGCCAATGTGAAAAAAGTTACCATATTTTTGCCCCTTAATCCTAATCAACCCTTTGTTGAAGTGTTCGTGAAATACTACACTAACTTACCTTCACTACCCCTGGTACGATTGTCGTCAGCAGATTCGGCTTCAGGTCCTGAGGCCCCTTCTGAAATGTTGAAACATCCGATTTTTCACTAATGGCCGTAATAAAAAAAAAAAGTTAACACATAAAATAAGAAAAAAAAAATCCGGAAATTAGATACACGGAGGAAGTCCTATTTTCGAACGTATGACTTGAGTATCTATGTACGGACTGGTATATGCGTCAGAATTATTTCGGCTTTCCTGCATCCCTAAATAAACGAAGTGCAACGAACGAAGGTCTTGGCAAACGGCAGAAGTTGCGAAATGTATGTTGTTATTTTTTGTATGTCTCTTTTATCGATGACTCAAGGGTAGAGATTCATTCCTCGGGATTGTTAGAACGTGGTGGCGGGGATTCACCTTGACGTGCATTTTATTTTTACTCGTGAACCATTTAACTTGAACCCTTCCGCAGAACATGTCGAAGAGTCGTGCGTACCACGAGTCCTCACAGTCTTTATTGATAAAGACATCGTCGTCTCCTGTCCAGCTGGAAACGTACAATGCCGGTTGTGTCGATCGACGAGTGTAGCTCATTTCACGGGTGCATTTATTGTCAAACTCCCACGACAGTTCGATTTTTTAACGACTGCACGGCCATCGAGTGCAATATGCCAGGGGCACTCGCATTTTGCACCGAGATACATCAAGTGAACTCCGATGCGATTGCGAGAAAAAATTCATATGAAATGATCGTCCCTTCGAATCACTTTTCAATAATCCACTCCTCTCGGTTGAAAATCTTGGAAAAATCTGATCTGCGTGAATATCTAATTATTTATTTATTAATACCCTTGCACTTCTTGGGATGACGATTGGGGATTGTCTCTGCGCGGCATGTTCAATTTAAATTATGCAATGAAGTTTTAGCGATAAATGGAGGTATATATTTTAGATTTGGAAAATTTCGAACGGTACATGGTGTTCAGGGAAGTGTTTTAAATGTGTTGGAAGGATCGATCGCGAACGGTCCGGAACTTCCGCGGTTCAATTTAAATTTCCATGTCAGGTTAAATAACCCCACCGGTGGTGCCGTAATTTATGACTTCGCAGGCGCTAGTTACAAGTTACGCAAACTGGTTGATTACGAGGTATTTGCGGCTATTTTTGCCCGGGCAATTCCGCCGCATATTAATCCATCGCGACCCGTTGCTAAACAATGGGCAACGCTCGATTTGCACATTTTTCTATTCCCATTCCGCGATTTATCGGCGAATATTGCAGCCGGGTCAACTAATGCCAGACCCACACCTATAATTTGCGACCGGCGTTACAAATTACATGAACAAATTGATCGACTCGTATTTTAACCTCTCCCCTCTCGACCCTGGATTTTAAATTCCCACGAAACTTGAAAATTTCCTCATTTTCCTTTCATCCACGATTTATGCGTTCCCAGTGAGACTAAAACATGTGAATATCATGGAGCCTAATTTTATACTAAAGTTCGATTTTTAAATTCCACCATTTTTATCTATATTCCCGATTTATGCATTTTTATTGATATTAAGAATTGGGGGGGAAGTTATTGATGTTATAATAATAGGCGTAATTTTAGACTCTGGGGGTGGTTATCGAAAATTTATGCCGCGAATCGGTCGACCATGGTGTGTTATCATGGCTATTTTCATCCCGAACTACCCTGCCGTGTTCTAATCAGTAATTGTGCCCCTTGACCCGTGATAATTGTTCAAGTCTTGCGTGACAGCAAGAGGACGACGAAGGCACGATCGAATGGGGATGTGAAATCACGCCGTAATTGGAATGAAGCCCATGTAATTGCATACACGCGATGCGCGACGAAACGTCGACCTGTTATCAGAGCGGTCCGCGCGGTACTGATAATATTACTTATTTCGATGCGTCCGCGAGATGTCGAGAACTTGAGATCGCTCGATAATATCGAACGCTGGAAAATCGAACCTCGAGTTGTACTCCTGAGGACGTTGATAATGTCTTCTTCCTTACAACGACTGGTCACGAACAATCATTCTCTCGACACGGCGTAAATCTCGGAATAACGAGGAAGCACACGAAGAGTAATGACTAAAGCGTCACAGTCGACTCACAAGGAAAATATCACCGATAAGAATTTTTCTTTCATTCTTAACATGGCCCTTGAAAATATTGGCACGAGGACGAATTGTCGGATTTGCTTCTTGGAGTGACTTGGGAATTTTTGTTTAAGGGTTTTCAGGGCGTTATAATATTTTTTAAAGATGAGTCCTGGGGATTTCAACGAATGGGTGGTTGCAACTATCGGATTAAGTTTACACATCGCTTGCACGATGGAGCGATGAAATATTGATCCGAGCCTTGTCAGCGGAAGTACACGTGGAAGATATTTCAAGCGAGCCCAGCTGTCCACTTTGCGTGTTGTTATCAATACTTGATCATCAGCGATTGCACCGCCAAAGTGTTGAGTCTATAGAATGGATACACCCCCATAGTGGAGCGACAATTACCCTTCACTCCTCTAAATTGTCTACATACATCGGCCCCACTTACTCGTTATCTCACCTTGGAAAAAATTTCGGAAATCGACTTTCTGACCGCTTGGACATATTTCTTCCCTTTCAAACCTTTGGAATGGGAATTTTTTTATGAATGGTTACTCCGACGGAAGAATGAAATTACCCGCGTTGTTATAATTTAAATAATTGAGCAACGTAGGAACGTTAGGAATGATTACTAATTGTAAGTGGAAGTGCGCGGTGATAATGAAGGTCGCTGTACAATCGTAGATCATTGTCAGTCTTGTGGAACGTAAAAAAAAAAAAGCATAAACTTGAATGTAAGAAAGTACTGATTGATTCGAAGGAAGTGTCTGAAAACGATGAGGGCGTAAATTATATTTTAATATTATTGCGTACTTATGAAAATTATATTTTAATTCCTTGGGATGAATGTCGACGGAAATGGGTTAATAAAATGTCAGGATAAAAAGAGAGACTCACGATTGGAAGATAATCCACGTCTTCCTCTAACGTGGATAGAATCGCTGCTATCGATGGGGTTTGCTCGTCGGCGAAGTCGCCATTTGTTCCCTCGCCTTAACAAATTAAATATTTAATTAAATCATGATCCGATAATGCAAAAGCGACGTGTCGTTGTGCTACGTTTCTGTCATTTTAAATGATGAGGCGAATTATATATTCATCTTTGTACGTACCATTGTAGGCGAGTAATCGTTTTTCGTCCGAGGTGCCATCTTCGATCGGAAGGGAAGACTTTTCCGAAAGCGATGACATATAGACTTTCGTCTCGGTATTTCTAGATCATCTATCGTGACGGTAACACCTGGACTTGTCTTTCACTTTTCATGACAGAACGACACTTCATCGATCACTCGAGGTTTTACTCAACACAGTGTTCGAGGCTTTTCAACCGCGTAAAGTTGTGCCGAAAGAGTAATCTTTGCGAGCCTGGTAACTAAGAGCCATAAAGATCGATCCACTTTTTTTTTAAAATGATTTTCTCAAATTATAATCTCGATATGATAATAAAATTCGAAATAGAAACAGAAGCATAAGAGAATTTTTTCAAATGTCGACTTTATCAAGAACTCTTTTTTTTTTATTACGTACTCCGAAATTAATTTAACCACGCTTGCCCTCCTGACAGATGCAAAGCTCTGCAATGTTCGACGCCGATAATGAAAGTGTGAAAAAAAAAACGACGGGAAGAAAGTTTCGACAGACTTTATCTCGAGATATTCCCCTTTCTTAGCCTGATAATGTCGGATGAGTCGACCCGTAATTTCACAAAGAAAATTCCCGATTCGTCATTAATTAATCTCGAATCGTTTTATTTTCATCTCTCCCTGGATATATAAGCGGTTTCGAAAGAGAAACCTCTCTCTCGCCCTTGCGACTCTTTTCTTTTCCTGTTATTTTAAATTCGATTTTTATAGACCGCACGAGAATAACGAAAAGTGTCAGAGAGAGAGAGTGAAAGGATATAAATTTTATGCGAGGTGAGACAATTCGACACAGGCCCTGATTCGAGCCGTCATTCTTGGTGATTGATATCCGACCTGGTCGGTTTTACAACAGCGTTTTATTGCGTCCCACATTATTCAGTCCTGTCTCTGGTATATTTCAACCTGGTCGACATTAAAAGTTATTGACCATCGTATATCTCCCCTGTATTCGCTTCCCAAATGTGTAACTCGTGGAAATTCGATCGAAAGGGAACAAGGAAGTATTATCCTGAATGAACGTCATCGGGTATATTTTTAGCAGTGCGATAAAAAAAAATTCCCTACTATTAATCAGTCCCTGCGAATAAATTGTATAATAATGATTCTCTAATTATAAATCGAAGCTAAAAATTTGTTATTGAGGGCCAGGTAAAAAAAAATAGTAACGGTGAAATATCCACGACTAGACAAATAAAAGATGCAAAAAAGATCAGGTGGAAGTAGAAGTAGATAGAGATCATCAACCCACGCAGTTTTGGTCCCCCGCTCACGTATCGGGCCACTTTTACATTTCAACTGAGAATAACTAGGTTAACAAGAAGCGAGATACCAGTTTAATAGTATTTTTTATCACCGGACTTTTCGGTCCCTGTTTAGCGTCTAGGTTGAATCGATAAAATCTAGAACCAAATCCCCAAACAATGAGCGTCTGAAAATCATTCAGGACTGTAAATAAATCTTCAAATAAATCAGCCACACGAGACTCGAAATTTTACCTCCCTTGTTTTTAATGCATTTAAATTGTACAATAGGAAATGACTTCGAAGAATATAGAAAGCATTGCACTGGTAGCAAGAAACCTGCTAGTAAAATGGCATGCACCTAGTCTATTATCACTGTGAGAATGCAGCTGATCGTATTTCCTAGTTAAACCGGTCCCATTTGCATAAGTAACTGCAACAAAACTCCTCGGCATCGCAAGCCGAGCAAGAGATGATTTACAAGTGCGATACCCTTAGGCATTAACAATCGACGTTAAAATATCCGGTAGATAATTTTCGCATGGAAGCTTCTCATTTATGCGCGCACTTCCAAGGTAACCATGTTGAATAATCCTGCCCGATAGATCCCTTTTTTTTATAGAGGTTCATTCCTCGCTGCATCCTTGTCCGATGGATAAAATAAACTCCCTAGAAAATCTTCGTCACCTGAGCCACTACTTACGCATCATCCACATTCTTGCTTATCTCTACTATTTCTTGAATATATATTAAGAAACATTCAACATTTGCAAGTACTTGCAGCGCTTCGACTTCGACCAACCCTGAATTACGTATCCACCGTGTAATAATACCTAAACGACGAAGAATAATTTTAGCCGCACTCGATATAGTCCACCATTTTATTTTTTAATCCGTCACTGATTTAACACCGCCGCGGGATTTTTTAATTGAACCCTTTTCGTGTTTAATTCACTCACACATGTTGAAGGACTGGTCCCTACCCAACGCGGAAGTCGATTCCTGTTCCATCCCCAGGGGCTGAATCGAGGTCGGGAGAACGGCTCTTAATATTCCTTTGATTTATTTATTTTCTTGTTTATTTCAAGCGAACACTAAACGTGATTTCTGCCGAAACCGCGGGGAACGGCGCGGCTCGTGAGGCGTTTCGTGAAGAGTTTGCCAGAGACTGAGCCGAATCTGGTGGAGAACATTAACGATACGAGAAGTGAACGGCACGCGTGATATCCCCGACTGCATGGAGGTGAATGTTGGTTGGTGGGTTAGACCTGGCAATGTAGGAACTGTAAACCAGATCGCCGATGGCACGGTAAACGCCGATGTAAACCCCGAGTGGAACCCGTCAGCCTGATTTCGCACCCGACCTGTCCGGCTGATCCCATTTTTCCGGAAGGGAGCCAGAACATTTCTAAGACTGAATATATCAATTAAAAAATGAAATATACGAAACGAGGAACGCGGAGGTATTTTAGCAATTTTTTTTTATACAGTAATAAAAACAATGATTAATTGCCAAAAATTGCAAGCGGAGGTGCAGTGCCTGGAAATTATCAATCACTTGATTTCGCACCCGACCTGTCCGGCCGATTCCATTTTTCCGGAAGGGAGCCAGAACATTTCTAAGACTGAATGTCAATAAACAAATAAAATATAGGACACGAGTAACGCAGAGGTATTTTAGAAATTTTTTTTATACAGAGATAAACACAATGATTAATCGGCAAAAAATTGCAATTGGAGGCGCAATTCCTGCCTCGAAATTATCAATCACTTGCCTAGACTATCGTTTGGCACTCTTTTTACGGATGAGAAAAATAGCGACGTCGCAGGAACTGAGAAATAAATCAATCGGGGGTTTGATAAAAAGCTGAGGAGATTTTCACGCTCTTTATCTGAAGGTGTTTATTTTTTTGTACGGGCCGGCGAAGTGTCAAAGCTCGAAAAAGTGGAAAGATGGGGTTGATTAATTAATTAGTAGCACAGCGGCAGCGGTGAGATGTAAAAGGAAAAGAGACTGACCAGTTTTTGATGACTTCTTGATGAGGATCGAAGGCTTTTCATAGGATCTTCTTTTGTCCCAGATGTAGAATTCCTTGCTCGGGTCTTTACTCCTGTCCGAAATATCTGCAATTACGAATAACCGTGTGAGGGTGTGCGAATATATTTGCATTGCTGTGCCATTCAAGCGGTGGTTTAAATTTCGTCTTTTCAAGCACATCGATAAATCACTCGAAGTCCGTCTCTTGTATACATTTCGATGAATTTGAGTCACGAACGATGAATCTGGCTGTACATCGGCCACTTGCAGACCAGGTCAAGGAGAGAGAATCACTGTTACCCAGAAGTTTCCCCTCTCTGTACAATCTTATTGAAACTATTGCGCTGTTTTTATCCTGCCATTAATCGCTATTCGATCAAACTGGAGCACCATGTCCAGGACGATTTTTCTACATGTACAAACCGAGTATTAATTTTTCACCCAATATTCCAGATGATAATTTTTCTCCAATTATATTCTGAACACGTTCATATGTCCACTATCTTAAAATCGATGTCTTCGATACAAATGAAGTTGATCATTTTCTGTTATTGCTAAATTGGCATCTAATCGAAACCCCATTTAAAATTCATGAAGGAGTTGAAAATAAAATTCGGACTTTGGTTTATGAGCGAGTACTTGCCTTCCTTGACTAGGGAATAAATGGACTCCGGTTCCACGGTCTTTTTCCTCTCGTCGGCAAGTTTTTCCCTGTTTTTAACGCACTGGAAGACCATACTAGGTGAGCATCCCATTTTCATCGGATGACGAATTAGGCTACGGGTCTTCTTCGACTGCTCTCATCCTGAAGAGTTTATCAGCCTCGATGTTAAAGAGCTCCGTTAAGAGAAGTAGCAAGAGGCGCGATTTCCGTGAGGAAATCGAAGCACGATCGGTAGTCATGAGGGATCGATTGAGCGGTAATAATCCTCGAAAAAGTATCGATCAACGGGGTCAGTGGGATCCGAAAATCGCGATCGATCGCAGCTTCACGAATCGAGCAAGATTCCATCTGTGAGGGTCGGAAAAGGTCCCTGTCTCAGGGAATTTTGTGGGTCCAAGAAGTTCGATCGCCTTCCCAATAATTAGAGCCGATCGGTGAATTCTGGAAAATAATAATAATCATTTCTTGTCATTCCTTCTCAACTAACAATTTTTATATTCGACGCACATGCGGCATATTACAAGTCCACTAACGTCCACGAGATTTTCATTAATGCAAGCGGCACGTGTAATTGAATGGGCACAAGGTATAAAGTGTGTTGCAAACGTTTCAGGTGAAGTTGAATGATTTGGTGTGTATGAAACTAAGAATACCAATTAATCGATCACTCGATATTGATTTTATTGACGCAGGTTTTCTATTAGCGGTATCAGGCATAAAGGTTTTGATATTGAATATAAAGTAAAATATTTAACTGGGATGATAGTTAAAGTAATTTTAGAGTGGAGTGAAAAATCGTGGGCGTGATGAAAATCTTTCAGAGATCATGAATTAATGGAGGAAGAAAAAGAGTTCTGAAATCACGGATACCATTGAAGACTCGACCCGAGCATTAAAATATACTAACGACCCGATATTCCATAAAACCGCCTGATGTGCAGCCCTTATTTGGTAGTTCTTTTAATCTCGAGTTCCTTTCACCCTTAAAATTGTCATCATCAGAAGAAAATGATGCAGAAACTGCGTAAAAGTATCGTAAAGCCTTAATGGGTTTTATGCGTCCTTTACATTTTTGTCTCGCCACGGAATCTCGTTCAGGCTGAATACTTCACCGTTTGTTATTCATTTTCCAGCTTATGAATAATTCCAATCCGTGGAATCGAGCTAAATAAAAGAGAACCGCTTTATATTCGATTTCTGCAAAGATACGTGGGAGAAAAAATTTTGGCTCATGTTGATCGAATAAAACCAATGACCACTCCACGAAATTGGCACTGGTGACAGTAGAGAAAGTCGGACAGTGTTTCAGACGCTTTCGTACAAGGCCATGATTTTTTAGGGAGAGAGTAATCAACGTGCATTACCAACTTTCATTTTACCGGAAAAGTTAATTGAGACAGACCCGTAATTGCGTATGCAGATACCGAGCAGATATTCCAGATCCAAAATACTGGTGGTAAAGGAAGATTGCCCCGGTGAGATGATACTGTAAAATGGGAAAAGTGGTCATTTCATTATGAATGAACGCGAGATGAATCCGAAATGAGCATTCGAATTTGTATTCTTTTTTACTGGCGAGGGAAACAAGTTATACCGATTATGTAAATACAGAAATTAAATATAAACGTCCCCCAAAATGTGCCATTACACGATAATAGGTACAATTTATGAAATCATTAAAATAAAATTAATGCAAAAGTAATATCCACGATGCCATTGACAGTCTAAATATATATTAAATGCTTGAAATATTAACTGCTTTCGAGTGTGGGATTTCTTTTTAATTATTTCGAAATACGTACCTATTGGCAATTGCCCTTTTTAGGCTTTTACTGGCACTTGGGCAAATTTTACAGTTTGGGTATTTTTTAGGGGCGAGTTCAGTCCAATTTATCGCCACTTAAATCCTGGGCTTCTGAACTTAACACATTTTACATGTCCAGTGTCTGAATTGGAATGATCTGAAAGCAGTTCTCACATTTCGAGGTAATAAATTCTTGAAGGAGAGAAATTGCCAATTGCGTTTAAGAACCTCTTACTAGACGAACATAAGGATCCAACGTGAGCTAGCTAACTAAATACGAAATGCAGGCAGCTTCAATTAGACATTTAATCGCTCGTTACACCACGGGTGTAATGACTATTTGCCTTAAGATGTTCTCTCATTTGTCGTGACGTAAGTCATCTTTACTTAAGACCTTATCAGGTATTTATCGTGGTGCGTTCTCGAGCTGTCCTCCTAACGTAGATATACGTAGATATACGTAGATATACGTAGATACGAATACCTTGCAATGCGCATCCGCCTTTACCGGACAACATTTATTTATATATACGGTCATCGGAATTCACATCCCCACAAATTATTTGGAAATTTATCTAACAAAAGTTAATGAGAGGTCGAGGAGAACGAGGCCTGACAGGCATTGAAATCTCCGAAAATCAAATGAATTAAATTATAAAATTAAATGAAAGACAACGTCAACGTTGAATACATGATGGATGGTTCCTGTATAATAATCGAAAGATATATGTAAATACCAATCAGTATTCTTTTATGCATGAAATAATAACACAAAGCTAAAATGGCCATGGCATTGTCACTGCATGCTTGCCAAAATACAGCAATATATCTTGCCCGATATCTGGTTCACTTTTACAGAGACGAGTTCGTTATCGAGTCTTATCGTGACTTTGATATCACGTTGTTTTATAAAAATGTGTTGAAAATGAGAAAGAAAAATTGAAATACCTGCTGTTTTGGGAGTCAGCCATCGAGTAGACGAGGTGGAAGATGTTTCTTCGACACTCAAACACCACTATTTTTTCACGATATGAAATAAGGAGATTTTTGATAATGGACAACGATAAGAAAAAACAGAGCCACTTTTAGAAGCTTGTTCATGATTCCCAGATTTTTCGATTTCCAATTGTTGGATACTTCCTTAATTTCCGCAACGTCTTCTGCGCGTCAGGAATAATTCGTTCTGTCAGAGAAGAACGAAACAGAGATGGCATCTCTCAACTTGGTGAAGGTAGTCTCGATTTGCATAATAGTCAAGGACGAACAATATTAACGACACAGTCAAGGCTGACGTTGATTATTTTTATTCGTCACTGACGTTTTCTTATCTTTTTCCCCCATTTCTAAATATCTCTCTGAATCCAGAGCAATAATCAATTTTTTTAACTCCTCTATTATATGGTATTTTAAAGTTTCTGGTTTCTATTCAGTGTTTATGGTGTGTATGTCTTATGCCACTATGTGCTTTAATTATATTATATTTATAACACCGGAAATATCGTCTCAATGCACTTCGCGTGAAAAAATTCTTCCAAAAATCCGAAGAAAAAATTTTTTCTTGTATACACTTGTTATCACTAAGGAGACGAGTCAACTGCTAGTGCTTCTAAAGTGTTCCACGATATATATTCAGACAAGCTCGTGTCTCTGACAGCACTCTGAGACGGCAAATATGAAGAAGGAAGTGAGATATCCCTCCAGCATCTTCTTTTTCTCTTGCAAGTCAATGTGTTTTTAGAGCATACTTTAAAGTCTTCATCTCAATGAAGTATCCGTGTACAAAATAAAAAAGTGACGTTTGCTTATTGCATGACAATTCTGTATACACAAGTAGTATATATATGTACGGTGTATCCCTCCAAGATAACGAAAAGAAAGCTGTAAATTTCGTTGCATGCATTATTGTAGTTTTTCGTCTATTCGTCTTGAAGAAATTTAAATTATTACCGTCCGTGAAAAATAATTTTTTTAATATCTTCATGGTTGCTTCTTTAAGCGCTTCTCAATTGGAAGTTGACTTTCGACTGTTTGGGGTGTTTTGACAGAAGTTTTTACAAGTTTTTCTTGCTATGAGACGATTTCACCTTTTGTGATATGTATAATTAGATGTTTGATAATTAATGTTTATGTCTAAAATCTAAGTGAATGAATGTTCAATGTTTTGAGGAACATGACTAAACCAATGGTTCGGGAACAGTTTGGAAAAACGTACGAGGTTTGTCAGAAACGGTTGTACAATTATTTCTTAACAAAATGAGATTTATTACTCTGCTATTTTTCTCTGTATCCACTTTTACTTCAATTACTCTCAAAGCTTATAACTCCACTTAGAACATTTAATATACAATAATAAATTTTATTCAACGCCCCTTTCCACTCTTCTCTATTTAACTTATTTAACTATTTCTCCACCGCCCAGTAGAAATTATATCATACAAAATCTAATTCTACTTAAAATAAAATCTGCTCACGGTTTCCATATTTTTAGCACAACTTGTCCCTTTATCTCTTCGCTTTACTTCGTATGAAAATTTTAGTCCCTTTTTTACATGGAATCTAAGATAGTTTCCTTTCTCATTGATAAAAAAATGTCTCGCGATTTATCTTTTTCTTTTCCATAATAAGGTCCTATGTCACGAAAGATGTGTAAGGCCATTATCTGCCATTCGAGCGTATCTTGACGAAAAGCGTCTTCGGTTTTGCGGAGATCGCGTAGAACTCGAAGACTGGTCGCCGATTTTAAATGGAATAGCTCGAGACCATAGTCTTTCCGAAATAGTAATCTACAGTCGCCACCGATGCAAGAAAATTCGAGAGAAAATAGACACGGAAGAGAAACTTCAAAAAGCTCGGTAAAAAAATCGTACACGGTTCCCTCGATTATGCAGCATTTTCAAATTACTTTTTATTTTTATTTTATTTTTTTTTTTTCAATGCCAAGCACACAAGATTTCGGTACCTTCTAAGTAGTGCACCCCTTTTTTGAATCAGACGTCGAAATCCTCGTTTAGAAAATTAGACCGATTGTGATCGATCCAAACCATCTTCTCTAAACTGATCCACTGATCGAGCTTCCTCCCTAGAATATTAGAAACGAAATAGATCTTCTTTGGGATAATTATTTCTCAATTCTAGACTCTTGTATATACAGCTTTAGACTCGATCCGCACCAGCGACTTTACTAAAATTATCCAATACTATAACATTCTCTCGTGAATAAATACAAACGCTGCATTTGAGATGTCGCAAATGCAGAGTTCTAGTTAGTAGGTCTTTCATTTTTTAATCTTCGTGTAAGTTCGCCATACTGCTCGAGGATCTTAAGTTTTCAGGTGCTCCGGGGCGGCCCTTTGAGACGACTTTATGGACGGAAAGTATGGTAAATAATCGAGAGCAAACCCCGCCAGAGGAGGATGGAAGTCAGGACCGACGTCGGAAAGGGCACCGGCGTTTTGACCAAACTGCAGACGATGTTTTAGAGAAAAGGGCCCGATTTTGTACACGAGTTTCCTGCTCCGATGCTTGATCGACGCCATCGCTGTCTGCGTGAGAGACTCTTCAGCTTTAACATCGCTCTCTTTGGATGGAATTCCATTGGCCCCGAAGTACATTAACATTCTCTGCGAGGGCCTTGCCAAGAACAGGAATTTAATTTCTCTGGCACTGCCCAGGTGCCACATCGCAGACGCAGGTAAAAATCGAAATTAATAAATGCACCGTTATATAATCTTTCTTTTTGCGCCGTGGAAGAAAAAAATCGGAATTATCTTTTTCATGGATATATAATCGTTGCAGGGTGCGATTTGTTATTGAACACTCTACAAAATGTCCCAAGTCTTTGCTCTCTAAATTTGTCTTCGTGTTGTCTGACCGGTAGAAGTACTTTGCCATTAGGCTTGTTTTTAAAAAAACGGAGAGCAAGCATATTGAAAACTGCATGGAACCAATCGGAATTGTCGCAAATTCAAGTTCGTGCCCATTAATTACCTGTGCCGGAATCTGATCATCAAATAAATTTCGATCAAGCACATGCGATTATTAAAATATTGTCGCGTAGAAATGTTGTAATTAAGCGCGCCGAATTTTGGACTGTTAAGCACGGAAAGTAATTCCACCTGCGATGTCTTTCAGTTTCAGGGACTGCACACGTTGATTCTGAATAAAAATAGGAAACTTAGTGACAACGGCGTGAGAGGGCTGGTAAACGTCTTGAAAGACGATTTCTGGTTAAAAAACTTAAGCCTGAGATGCTGCGGATTGACGAAGACCAGCGGGGAAGCAATTGTCGAGCTTTTGCAAACAAATAGCGTAATTACGATGATAGACCTCGGAGAAAATGAGGTGCCACCTAATATTTTACTCACTCTCTCGAATTTATTGAGGCAAAGGCAGCTGGGAGAAAGAATCTCGCTGAGGAAGCGATTAATGTCCGTGAACAAAAAGGGACTGTCCGACCAGAAGATATTAAAAAAAACCAAACAATGCCCGCGGACTTTGAAGAAAAGTCAAAATCGACACTCCTCGCAAAAGGTCGAGGTTAAACCCCATTCCTTCCGTACTTTCATTCTTACCAAATTAGAAATTACCGGGGAAATGAATTTTCCTCTTGGTCGGATTTCTAAATCCTGCGACGCGTGTTTCAGAGCTTGCAAGCAAATCGTGGAAACGGAAAGCAGGCCAAGACGAGTGGTACAAAGAAACGAAGAAAATTGCATAAAAAACGGCCCGCGAAATTGCCGAGCCGAAAGATCGTACTCGATGCTCGCAAAGGTAAGGACCTTTGTAACGACCATAGCCTGCAGGAATTGTCATTACGTTTGTCGAACGTTGTCGATTGCAACGGTACGCTGCTGAGAGATCTGGAGAAAGGCCGCAAATTGCTCGAGAGGGAGAAAAAACTCCGACTGAAAGCCGAGGATGAGTGCGACGTGTTGAACTCCGAGGTGGAAAAAGTCAAAAGTGGTATCATTACCCAGGGCGATATTCGGTCGAAGGCTTTGGAGGACAGTGAACTCTGCAAGGACCTCCGATGTGTCTTCGGCAAGCTGGAGAACATAACGGAAACTAAAGAGATTGCCAGCCTCGCGAAAGAGAACCGAGAACTCGCGTACAAAAAGAAAAAGCCGAAATTAATCGGCAACTCGATTTGCCGAATTAATGCCAAACCACCCAGGCGGAGAATGGTCAATTTTATAACCGCGTCTTCTTCGCGTAATTAAATAATATCTTCTGAAATGTACAAATAGCAGGATTAAATCTATGAAGTGTAGTATTAACGGAGAGAGAGAGATTCTTCCTAGTTGTAAATTATGGAGATATGGCTACATGGAGAATACCCTAACAATTTTTTTCTTTTTTCTTGGCAAGCGTTCGTTGCTCGGATTATTACTTTCTGATGTCGATTTCGTTTTATTGAAGTAACACAACAGTTTCAAATATAAATTGTTTATGGATCAAAGTGACAGCCTGGTACCTTAGCCGGCACGACTGAGTTTAGCGCAATTGACAAGATTTTTTTTTTTTTAGAACTATCTACTTCTCTCGGATCTTCGTGTGTAATTTCTCAGGTGATCGACGTGAAGGTACTCATTTTATCCCAGCCAAAAGATAGAGTAGAATCTCGTTGCACCTTAAATATTCATCTATGGCCGAAGTAGTAATCAATGTGTGATTGATTATCGATTGGCTCCACCGGTACAATCAAGCATCGGATCAAAGAATTGGGTACGGGAACTTCATACGTACGTGGGTCATAATTTTCTGGAATACTCAATTGGTTCAATCGAGGCAAATGACTCGTCCCGAAATGAAGGGTGCAGCCCCTTATTGAAGCGAAACACCTAGGGTATTACTATGGAAACATATTACAGGTGCTCATGCACCTTAGACATTGAATAGAACGGTTCGGAACAGTTTTACGGCTGCGACGAAAGAGTAAAGTCGTCCCTTAGTATTTTATTTGGGATTTATCCCTATCAATCATCGACTTACAGATTACGGTGACGTATATCGATATAAAGACAGTGCTGTTCGGTTTTTAATACGTGCATTTAAATTTAGGTTACAGCTTCTTCATCAATTTTTACCTTACACGTGATTGGTCCCGAGATTAATAGATTCTTCTTTTCATAATGAAATAAAAATTACGTGACATGTATAATTAATTATGCGTAGGTATTTAAACGGTATAAAATGATAGAATATCACACATTTGGTTAGAAGTTTCACGTTGACGAAGATCTGAAGTTTCTTTCCGTATGGAAAACAAAGTTTAAGGATGTCCCATGGAAAATCGGAATTTATTAAAGCACTGGTAAAGTTGAAGCAACAAGAGCTAATTATTGAGAAGGGAATTAGCAGTTCTATCGGCAGTATTAAAATCGATTCCGATATTTTACAAAGTCTCGTTCATTATCATGAGCAACTTGCTGCAGGAAGGTAATGGTGACTAAAATGAATTAGAGAAACTTTTTATTTAAAGGCAAACTGACGTAAATAATTTTATATTCGCAAATTAAAGGCAAAAAATACTGGATAGCGTAAGGCGAACCACCTCGGAAATCGTTGATGAATTAAAGTCGGCAAAGATGGTATTGAGCGATCCTAATGAAGTTCAAAAATTAGGTAAATATTGCAGAATTATCGCGAAGTGATTAACATTGAAAAATGACGTTGACAAAATTTCGTAATGATGGACACCGCGAATTAAATTGATAATGATCATACGAGCTATCAACGTGAATTAAATCCTATTTCGAAACACTTTCTTCGAATCTCATTACTTAGATGTTATCTCGTATCGGATAAAATTATTCAAGATATCGAAAAGAATTCAAGAGTTCAAAAAATCGTGCCCAATTGATGCGTTGGAGGAACAACAATTAGGATTGGAGGCGGACATAAATGAATATTCATCAGCAGCGAATAAATATGACTTGAAAGACCCTGCGAGAAGATTATTGATATCTAAAGCATACACTCGAAATAAAAGTAACGTAAAAAAATATCCTGACTACCATGAGATTCAGGACTTCACGAGTCTAGTCGCCAAAACAGGTAATTCTGTACCCACTATTTCTATTTTTGGTTAACGATGTAAAAATTGAATTCAAATAAATTTATAATCGTTTATACGTTTCAGGACATACCCAGAATTGGTCCGATGAAGACCATTTATTGTTCCTAAAATTACGAAAAAAGCAGAATAGCGTGCCTGCTTTGGTCGCTGCTATTAAACAAAAATGTCCAGATTTAACTACGGAATGCATTGTTAATCACGAAGCTTGGTACAAGTTGTATCTAAATTTGAGAGAGAAGCAGAAAAGTGCGATTGAGAAATGGAAGCGGCAGAAATCGACGAAAAAGAGCCAAGAAAATAACTTGAAAGAAAGGGAATACGAAGATATTTCGCCGGATGTCAAAGTCAATTTAAAATCAGAAAGTGATAAGGACGAAGAAGAGATTGAAGGTGATGGGGTACATAGGAAAACTTCGGTGAAAGATGTTAAGCCGAAAAAGGTGGAAAATATGAAGCAAAGTAAGAAGGAGTCTATTAAAAAATGGAGGCTGGAAAAAGAGAAGCAGCGTTCAGCGGATGATGAACGATTGAGACTATTGTTAACATCTAGGAAAACTTTTGAGGAAAATCAAAGACAGGCCAGAGTGAAGAGGGTCCGAAATATCTTAAGCGAGTATAAAACGCGAAAGTCGTTCGAGGTAGCATTATCAAATTATGAGAAAAACTTGGAAGACATGCGCAAAAGTGTGCTACAGTCAGAGGCAGCCGAAATGATTAAATATTTTAGGTAAGAAATGTTGTAATTACTATTTTAAGAATGTGGCCAATGTTTCGGAAACATGCTCAACGTGATGTTTTGCTTTACAGACAACAAGACCAGGAATATTTAAGGAAAAGACGCCATCAAATAATGCGGTCAAGAAATAAGAATGAAGCGAACATGTCTCACAGTTTGCCGCATAAGATCGAAGGATCGAGAGATCACTCCACTTTGTTGAATACCACCAAAGTCTGGGAGGCAAAATGTAAGATTTACTTGCCAATTACAAAGGAAAATCGACAAGTCTTATACATAGGAAATCTTCCTAAACGGTAATTGAATTTTTCAGTTTGTAAAAGTCTTTGAGACAGTGGGTTACTTTTTGCACTTTTCAAGTATTTCCTTGATATTTTTATAACATTTTTGTAATATCTATTTGTCGTTATGTTTCAGATCTACCAACCATTGGAGAAACGCAGAAACTATTTAATGTACAGAGAAACACATTGAACTAATGCTATGTACTGTGTGGAAGAAGTGCTGGAATTATATATAACGGAAGAAGAGTATTACGAAAACCCGCATGAAATATAATAAACATTTTTTCATATAAATATCTGACAGATCAATAAAAAAAAAACATCTATGCGACAACTTTGTGTAATTTCTTTTCCCAATATCCTTCTCCCTTTTGTCATTACCACAGCACCTGAAGTCATCATTTTAAAGTTAAAGAACTAACCTATTGAGCGACTGTTTATTGACTTAACAAGAGTCATTAAATAGACATTCTAAAATTGAGCTATTAAAAATCAGATAAATGTATTATTTGCTTCGAAAGGTATTAAAGGATCCAGAAAGGGTTTGTCCTCGTACCTTAGTAAGTAATGTCGAATATACTAAAGTAAATCACACGTTCAAGTTATCTATCAATAGTGGCAGAAATAATTTCCATAATTATTTACACCCTTTTTTTTTCTGACAGCCACAGACTCCGCGAATTTCGAAAATTAAAAAGTTCTTGAAAAATCTAAAGCCATGGTCGTGGATTGTGCTTCTCTCGTGTTTGGCTGTGATTATTGCAATTCCAATACTGCTATTGAATTTAATTAACATTCATCAAGAGAAGCCGAAAATTGCAAGACTAGACCGAGAAATAAGAGACATCGATATTTTAAAATGTAGGAATACCGAATTGTATGGAGTTTGGGTGGCTGGTATTGATTTTATTAAATAATATTTTTAATGTAAAAAGAGGGTATATAACAATGCATCGTTTCCAATCAATTTTACTATTTCAGAGGACATTTTTGTATACCAGGACTCACTTGCATTTGACATAATAGTTTACAACGTAACAGAAAAGGCGTCACAGGTTCTGATAAAAAGAAACGATTACGTACGTACTTTAATTAAATACAAGATTTAATGAGAAAAAAATATTGTATCAGTGAAACATTGTATAAGAATAATATGACAAGTCCCGAACACTTATTTGTACACGACACGGAACCATAAATTGGACATCCACTTTTATCGGAAGGATCGCTAAATATACAATATTGAGGGGATTACGATCCATAAAAATTGTTAAATCTTCTTACAATCCCACAAATGTTTTAATACCTCACATATCATGACTCATGACGTGAGTTTATCGTATTTGTATGACGTTTTCCGTAGTTGCCCGATGACATTGTCCATGCTCTTCCTGTTCGCATTGCACCTGATTTAAGTTACATTTTAATATGCACAGAATCAAAGAATTTTATGCGTACTGTAAAATGCAAATATAATGCCGTTAAGACTGGCTGGAGGTAAGAAAGTTTACATGATTTATTGACAAGTAGTTCGCTGAAAGAAAAAGGTTTAATTAAACAATTCAATGAATTTTCAGGAAAAGAAAGACTCCATTTTTCGGAGGCAGGACGTGTACATACGTCGAGTTTTTTTCAAATAAAAATAATGATCTGATAGTGATATCAGATTCGATAATGTATTACCTGGATTCACCTGTTTCGAAAGGTAAAATTGTGGACCCCGAAACTGCTGGAATTCATCGCCAAGGTGTACCTGATATCCTCTATGAAGGTGAATGTTTTTTTTTAATCCTAAAAAGTCATTAACATTACATTTAAAATCTATATCCAGCATGATAAATTATCACAGTATATATTAGAATGACGACACGTGTCATTAATTCAGTACGTGATTTTTTTAAAATCAATCAGCTGATATAACAAAACGTGATAATTTGGTCTACATGGCTCCTTCCGGCTCGTGGTTAATGTACATATCTTTACACCCAATGGACGAAGAATGGAAAGATCGTTACATGACACACTACTCGTTACACGGGAGTAAACTCGAGAAATACAAGTTCCCAATGGTAACTAAATACCTGAACGCGAAATTGAAACCATATCTCCTTAATATTAATTATCAAAAGGCAGGTACCGCAGTGTCCAAAATGGACGTCAAAATATGGGAGAGAAAATCCTTAACGACGGTGTCCTCGATAATAATTGAAAGTGTCGATCTTTTACAGTAAATATGCCTCCGTGAAGAACCAACTGCCGGTATATATTACTTCCTCCATATGTAAATCCATTTAATTAATTTTCAGATCCGGTTACTTTATCTTCGCCTCTTTTAACGAAGAAAAGTTGACGATGACATTTACGGATCGAGAGAGGCGGACCAGTTACTTCGTTCAATTAAAGAAGTCGGGCTCGTATGAAGTTGTAAGTCCTGTAAAAAGTAATGAAAGTTATTCCTTTCGGAGTGCAATTAGTAATATTAAGGAAGATTTCGTGGACTACAGTTGTACATCCATAATTGGCCGCAATCTGGGTGGGATGAGATGTATCCAGAAATGTTGGCAGGTTCGGACAACGACCTCATGTTAATTCTACCAATGACCGTGCCTCGATTAACGCACGTCAAGGGCAATAAACTTAATTTCTTAACACCAGAGTCAACATACGTGGCGCAACTTTTGGCCTGGGTCGATAACGGACTCGCGTATGTGTTTTTTATTTACTGCTCCTTAATGGCACGTTGTTTCTTTTATCACTCATCGGCGCTATCTGCCTTTACAATACAACATGGAAACGAAATAAAGATTTATCGGGATATAAAGCATAATAAAGAATCGTTGCGTTTTTCAGATATATTCTTGCCGCTCCGGAAGCGGCTGAAAGAAAAGTCTATTCCGTTAAATGGAGGACGAAACGAGAGGATGATGTCAATAAATCGATCACTCCTGTCCTAGAGTGCATATCTTGTCCGAAAAAGTGCGTCTAATGTATACTTAAACCGGTGGAATTTTTTTTCCAGGGTTTAAAGAGCTGTAATTCTGTCATTCTAGGAACGAATCGTGGCCCGAATGTGCTTACGCTCGTGCACTGCCAAACCCTACAAAGACATTAATTTTAATTGATTGTTTAGGTCCAGACATTCCAAGGCAAGTTGTACATACCTCTGATCAGCATGTAGTTTCACTGGCCTTGCTTTTTGCAGAACTTGGATTTGGGAGGCGAAAACCAGCAGCAGGATAGTCTTCCTTGACAATCGTCCAATGATTCAGGAAATTATGGCAGGGATTTCTGTACCTCGATATGAATATTTGAAGATTCCTCTTCTAAGTGGTTTCCGGGCGGATGCCAAGCTTACTCTTCCAGGGCGTTTCCAGAACGAGTACAGCAGTCTTAATCCCTTTCCAATTATTTTTTACATGCAAGTAATCCAGTCCTTTCTATTTACATAGAATTATTGGGTCACTAAATATTGAAAAATGTGCGACTTCCAGATTGATTTAATTTATTTCTCTCCAGGGATCCAATACCTGGTGAACAACTTGTGGACAAAAGATGGCGACTCGATTGGCACGAGTACGCAGCCACCAATTGGAATATCGTCGTCGTTCAAGTGGACGCAAGAGGAGCTGGTTATCACTCAATGAACAGAATTTATTCCGTGAAAGGCCGTATACCTGAAATAATGGTCAACGATCAGATATCTGCAATTAGGTACAAGAAATCCTTACAATCATGGCGGCCGACATGCGCGTTGGCCAAGAAATTTAGCCCCAGCTATTTTTACGAAATAAAGTACCACGGTAAATAATCAGTACCTTTCAGATACATCGCAAAAAAGAAGAAATACTTGGACATTGGAAAATTGTTACTGGTCGGTGAAGGTTTAGGAGGAACAATAGCGCTAATCGCTGCATCAAAGTTTGCTCCCTTCATATCGGGTGTGGCGGTTTACAATGCGCGGTTGAATTTGCATAATTCAAGTAAGCCTGCAACGAAAGTAACTACTCAGAAACTAAGTGTAAATATGTACCCAGCCATAGGGTTCACGGAAAAGTTTATTATCCCTCCCAAATCCGAGAATCTGAGCGACTTGGCCGCGTCCTGGAACAATACGTACACGTATATATCTCACTGCTTAAATAATCAAGTATGTCCCTGCGAGGAATTTTACCGACTATTATACTCCTTCGACCCAGCGCTGAACATTCACACAATGGTGAGATTTATTGTATAAATTTTTTAAAGACCCGTTGAACGTTTAATCATTGCTCGAGGGCACTCGTGACAACAAAGGTATACCCCGAGGAGTGGACGCCGGATTACATGGGAAGTTCCCGAAAGCACTTTTACTTTATCATGGTTAAACAAGCATGCGACAAGACCGTGTGCCATCGTCAATTGTCCGGCCAAAATGCCTCGACTGATCCCGAAGAGGAGGAAGAATTTTAACGAGGCACGAGACCGGCATAATAAAAAGAGACATGCAAGAGAGGAGATCGGCCCGGAAGCGGCGGCACCAAATGAAACATCACCTTGATATATACTTATATTTATTTTCTTTACGAACGTACCGTGTTTCTTTCAGACGATGTACATAATAAGTTATGAGTAAACGAGCGTTAAGTCTTATCCAGAACAACCGCATCCATTTTAGCTTTAAAACGTTCTTTCTTTAGGTACCACTACACACAAATTTAATTTCGCGTTATGGATAACATTAACACTTGCCGGCTTTACTCAAATATATAATATACTTTCTATTAACCTTCTGTTTATTAATTGATATTCTTTAATTAGATTACCAAATACAAAAACATAGGTGATACAGTAATGTGTTATGATACAGGCGCGCGTCCCCGTAGCACTGGGTAGAAGAGAGTGTATGTGTATGTGTGTGTGTGAGAGTGTATCTGTGTACTCGCGCTAAATCCGTCCCTTACGCAGTGCTGCGCGACGACCTCTTATGGAAATACTTACGAGTAGAGTGTGTTCCTTATCGTCTTAAATTATACGTAGAAATATAATTATTTAGAATTTAACGTACCTTCCTATAAGTTTATTACAGTGAACAGTAAAATGTTTAAATGAAACGCGCCCCGCTCGCTCGCCCCCGACTCGCCATTGCGGTACCTCCACCCTCGCTCGCCTCCCCCTTTCCTCCCTCGTTATCTCGTTAATCTTCCTCGGTATAATAAATATGTACACGTGAAAATTTGTACAGTATAGTTCCCCATTGCGTCCTACCCATTATTGTTGTCTTACGATTATAACACAAGATATTTCCCTAGGTCGCGTGTGACGTGACGATCAAACCGTGGTCAGATCGCGGGGATCGACGGCCGAGGATCGTCCGAAGGATATCGACTCGTCTCTCCACCGCGATACGGAGTGTCTTCGATTCCGTGCTCTAGTTTTACCGTTTATCTGGACGTTTGTTAACGCTAATCGCGAAGCATCGGCGAATGGCGGCTCAAGGCGAGGTGATTCCGGCGTTTCCTTCATTCCGCCCTTTTAATACCTTATCCGAGAATCGAGCCTAAGCTTAAGTCGTTCTAAAACGAAAAACCAAAAAAATAAAAAAAAAATAAAAAAATCATGATACTTCCATCAGCAAAGATTTCCTTAAGTGGTAGCATTGCACGAGTAGTAAGCTTGCCAGTAATGAGATCGTGAGTTTGACGTTTCGTTAATAAACCAAAAAAAAGAAAAAAAAGGAAAAGCAACCACGTGTCACCACGTGGGAGCTCGAACGTGCCCAGAGAGAAATGACCGAATCTCCAGTAAATACGATTCTCTACGTGTCTTACTTTTTTTTCCTTTCGTTCTTTCCTAAAAATCCTAGCGTTGCGCAAAAACGATAATAATGTCGAGGTAATAGTACGTGCAGCTTCACGGGCTTTGAACTATAAATAATTTAAACTCCTGGTACGAAAGTAACCCTAAAACCGCGCGAGGTCTCCTCCGCGTAATCTTACTCCCCTAGGCGTTAGTTAATTAGTAGCGATCCAATCACCGAGAAAATACGTCCCCCACGTTTCGAGCCTCGGACCTGAAACTGCACATAAGGTCGCCCCACGTTCTAAACCATGGAATGAAACCGAGCTAACATTCTTCTTCTTTTTGTTTTTTTTTTCCTTTTCTTTTCTACGCATTCGACATACAGTTTAAAGGGCTAAGTGGTAAAGTAACTAGAAAGCAAGCGATTCGTCAGTCACGGCGCCCCATCGGCACAGTCTCGAATCACACCCCTTGAAACCGTCATCGACATGCTCTCATACCGAGAATATATTTTACAGGATCAACAAAATCCACATCGACGGTATGCGCAAACGATCGCGTAATTTCGTTGATTGAAGCCTTCGTATAAATTAGTCTAAAAGGAAAAAAAATATATATATATATAAAAAGAAAGACGAGCGAAAGCGAATACTCGCCCGACGAAGACTAATTCGAGGTTCGTCGAGGGAAGGTCCCTTTGCTGATCCGATAAAATGATTTTCCGCTTGTACAAGACACGTCCGCGAAAGCAGCAGCTCGGGACAACAGATCGAGTTTTAACGAGTCGACGTAACCGCAGTCGGTACACCTCAAGGCGGAACGGTTAAAATTGTTTTTCCTTCCTCTTTCTTATTTTGTCTCGGCAAAAAGCGTCCGTTTGACTCGTCTTAATGCCTGGCTGCCTCTAAACCGCTTCGAGAAGGTACCGCCAGGTCGGCTCGTCGCTCCTTGTTCTTGGCGTAAAATGAAACGAGACGATCTCTAACGCGAGCACTCCAAGGGCCGAGTGCCCGAAGCAAGCCGCGTGGATTCCTGAATAAATAGAGATTAATAGTGAATAACAAAATTTTAAGTATTCCTCGTTTCTAACGTTTACCGCTGTATAGTTTGTAAGAAAATAAGATACTTTACTTGGAGTCTTTATGTACACATATTACAAACAACGTTTCCTCTCATTACCTTCATAATGTATAGGTTCAGGTGCGAAGGGCCGCACGCCTCTATGATACACGTTTAGGAGTTGACAACTTTTTCCCCCGGGTCCGCCATTAAACCCTCGTTTCCCATCCGGGGGTCCCCCGCGTCGTTCTCCTGCGACTCCGCCCGCTGCAGGCCGACCTCGACTCGCAGTCGCGATAAGTGTGATCCTTCCCTTCTACCTCCTACAGGAGCCATCTCTCTCATCGGAATCCCCTTACTCTATCGAACGCTGGTCCTCTTTAGAAAGAGAAAAATCAACATACGGGCAGCGCACGCAGCCGCATCACCTAGTACTATGTACAGTTGATTCTCCGGATGGTTCGTTAGCGAGCCGCGGCTTCGGGGCTGACTTTCGGGCAGCCCGACCGAGGAGGTGCGGACGAGAAGGCCCCTGCTGGTGGACCTCGCGCATAAGTTGCCCGTAACTGGGGGAAAGTTACGCGCGAGACTTCTAAGAGGACTCCGAGGGTGCGATTCCTTATCGGTGGTTCGCGGGTCTTAGAAAACATACGAAAGGAGCCCGGACGAGCTCGAGGCGAGGACGCCGAGCCGGAATCGCATAGAGTCCCCGTCCCTGGCGCCTCCTCGGTCGTGAAGCAGCGGACGAGGTCCTTGCCACGCGACCGGCGACGAATCCCAGACGTCCATCGCCGATTGGATCTTCGGGTCGCTCCCGGTGGACCTCGCATTCGGTATCCCTGTCCACGGTGCACCCGCTTGGCGCGCTCGGCACCGATAGGTCGCGATTCCTCTTACGAGGAATCGTATCTCACGGCTAAACTCTCGGCCCGACGAGAGCCCTATATGTACACTGCACTCACACTAAGAAGTCGGGGTCACTGTGATCGTCGCCGCTGTCGCTGGTGTCGGAGATTCTTCTCCTCTTCTTCTTTTTGTGTTTCTTCGCCTTCTCCGCTTTGTGAGACCGGTGCTTGCGGTGCTCCTTGAAGTCCGTGTGCGCGTGTATCGTGAGCTTAGGTACCCGCGGGGAGGTGGATATCGAGTTGACCGAGTTGTTGGGATGCTCGGTGGAGTTGAGGTTGGGCTGGTGCTGCTGGATGACATCGGAATGGGTGACCGAGCCATCGGCGGCAACCTTGTCGGGTTCGGGGTTGGCGAGCCTGGCGGCGGCTCCGTCCGCTGCAACGGCCGTGCGCTTGGCGGCGTCGCCGTCGCCGGGGGCTACCTCGTCGTCGGGGTCCTCGGGGTCGAACTTCAGCATCAGCTGCTTGAAGTCCAGGTACTCTTTGACCAGCTTCTTGCGTCCGCCCTCGTTGAGCTCCTCGTTGCTGCCGCCTTCCTTGAGTTTCTGCAAGGTGGCCTTCGGCCTGAAGTGCAAGTTACTCTTGCGACTCACCGCCTTCTCGTAGACCTTGGCGGACTCCGAGGGGGAGTACTGGCTGATCTTCGCGTCGGAGAATCCGTAGAGGTCCTTGAGATGCTGCCTCAGGGTGAGCAGCAGAAGGAAACCTTGACTAGCGGTTATGTATTCTCGCAGCAGCGTCGTGTCCTCCGGGAGCCTCGACATGATGACCTCTTCGTCCTCCTCGTCGTCCTCCTCGTCCTCCAGGGTGGCGAAGAGTTGCGCCGGGGTAGGCTGACCGTCCGGCCCATAGACCATGGCCAGCTGAGGCTGCGGAGGATTCGGCCCGCCTTCCTTCGGCAGAAGGGCTTCCTTGAACGACTGTAACAGATTAGTCCCTGACATCGAGATGATGATATCTATGTGATGGATGATGAACAGAGGCTCGTCTTGCACTTGATATGTGAAGTAGGCTAGGTTGTCCGCCAGGTACAGCATCTGCGACAGGCTCGTTTTCGCGGCCTCGTCGAACTGCTTCAGGAAGGACTGCACGATGGCTCTTCTCTGCTGTTTCGTGTTCCTCAGGATCGTGTACAGGAACCCGTTCAGCGCCCCCGGGAACTCGCCCTCCTTAATCCTCATCCCTCTCACCGTGACGTCGTTCTGCAGGATCCTCTGAAGGCGGTAGCTCAGCCTGATGCCGAACTGCGACTTCATGTGGATGAAACCGGGATACTTCTTCTCGATGTCTTGCAGCTGCTTGTCCGCGCTGTGGCTCACCATCTTCTCGCAATCCGTGCTCATGCAGATCAAATACGGAACTATCTGTACAGGATGTACCAAGCCTTGGGCCAGGATCAGCTGTATCACCTTCAACGCCGCGTGTCTGACGCTGACGTTGGCGTGTAAGAACGACTCCAGGATCTCCTTAAGGTACAATTGAATCACAGTACTTGCCATCCCCGAGGATACGTCCCCCATTTCCTTGAGGTTCTCCTGCTTCGACAACTTCGCCCACTCCAGGTCCTGTTTGATCATCCTCTTCTCTTCCTCTTGGAGGTACACCTCGATGTTGTTAAGGACCTGGATCCTCATGTTGACTAGCGCGTTTTCGGAGGTCAGCAAATGGTGGTACAGCTCCTTCAGCTCTGGAAGCATCATAAACTCGTAATGTCTTATGCAGAGAGAGCCGATGGCCGACAAAGTGAAGAGCTTGATGTCGTCGTTGTCGAGGTGAACGAAATAGTTTAGAGTCTCGAAGACCTGATCCTTAATGTTGTCCGGCAGGCCGTCTATCACCTCGGGATCCGTAAAATTAAAATACCTCAACAACAGTCCAACGGTAAACAGGGCGCGCCGGAAAAACGGCCTCCACTGCAACAACAAAGGGTTATTCGGATTCTCTTCGTAAAGAGACTTATAGTGCGTAAGGTGGCCGTAATATTTCTTGAAGCAGTCCCTTATCAACTTGAAGTTCCGGGTCACGTTATTCACTATCGAACCTAGACAAGAAAGGCAACTCGCGACGACGGATCTGTCGTGTTGAAGGATCAGCTTCACGGAGTCCTCTTCAAGTTGTGCCAAGAACGTCTCGCTAGGGTGCTCCATCAGAGGAACCACCAGCTCCAGAGTGTGCGCCACGCTGCTGATGATCTGGTAGTCACCTTGCGTCTGACACTTCAGGCTCAAATAAGGCTGCAGCGTTATCGCGTGGTTCACCAGCAACTGGGGTCGGATCTTCGCGAAAAGGTACAGGGTGGTCAAACAGGCGACCAGCCTCTGGGAGGAGCCCCTCTTCTCGGGTTTCTCGGTGACGTTGTTGGTCTCCTCGAGTCTGAGGACGTTCTCGATGAGGCAGTCGACGATCTGCTTGCAGGCCGTCAAAAGCGCCTTCGGCGGCTCCGTCTGCATCTTGGTACTGTCGTCTTTGTCCTCCTTTGGCTTAAACAAACTTACCAGCAGCTGTTCGAACCACTCTAGGCCCATGTCCTTGCTGGCCGCGACGACGTCGGTGATGTTCATGACTTTCCTCAGCAAGGCGTCGCCGTCCAACGAAGGTCTCTCCCTCACGGGAGTGAACCACATGTTCTGGAACACCTCCATCACCAGCTTCCTGATTCCTTCCTCGTCGTTGACCCTTCGTATCATCTTGACGCATATCTCGGGTATCTTCGGGAAGTCGGGACACTCCATGCAAATGTCCTTCAGAATCTTAATAACGCGTTTCCGGACACTGACGCCGGTGTCTAGGATCCGCGCCAGCAGCATGTCGTAGTACTTGTCTATGAGCTCGGGCCTACTCAGGACGAATTTACCGACGAGATCGACTGCAGCTTCCCGGACGGAGGTAGAGTGGTCCAGAAACGAGTGTTTCACTCCCAACTGCATGTCGCCTCGCGCCAGGACACTGGAGTCTGCCTCGACGATCATCGTCAGGCACTTCATGGCCTTCGTGCGAATGGCGATGGAGGACTCGGTCAGGACGTGCAGGATCTGCTTCAAGTACCTGTCGAAGCTCTGGGAAAAGGGCCGCTTCGAGGCGAGGTACTGGGAGATCAGTTCCGCGGAATTGTAGTCGATGAAGGTCTGCAGGATGTCAGGCTTGGTACCGGTCGAGCTTGACGGTCGGATCTTGCTGATGATGAACTTCTTCTTCTCCTCGATAACTCTGTAGGCCTCGGAGTTCTTCTGCTCGTTGTTGTCGTTCTCGTCCGGATCCTGATCCTCCACCTCCGACTCGCTCTCTTGGTCGCTATGGTGCCTGTTCTTCTTCTTGGACCTCTTCTTGTGGACCTTTTTGCTGGGGCTATTTTTGACCTGACTCACGCGCGTCTTCTCCAACGTGCAGTCTCGGTACCATTGGGCCAAATAGAAGTAACGAGCGTAACCCAAAGCGGAGTCCTTTGTACCGTTCACGGCGAGATAGTCCAAAAGGACCTTCTGCAGGAACACCGTCCTCTGTTCCTCTTCGCCGAGTCCCGGGATCTCCATGTCCTTCAACGGGTCGTAGTTGGCTTCCTTCTGCTGCTCGGCTTTTATATCCTTTATGATCTGATCTATAGTGGACAATTTACATTGCGAGCTGACCGCGTCCTTCCGCAGCCTGGCTGCGACCACTCCTAAATAATCGAGGGAAGCTACTCTCAGCGACATGTCGGAACTTTTGTTCGAGAAATGTCCGACCAGCAGGTTCCCCAGCAAGCTCAGGAGGAGCTCAGCGGCAGGCCACTCGGGCTTGTTCACCGTGGCCAACAAATCCTGGACGAAGTTCTCGAACAGAGGTCTGTAGTCGATCTCTTCTCCCTTGCTCCCGCACTTGCTAAGGAACACCGTGAGGAAGTTCCCCGCTGTCCTGGTTGCGGTTTCGTATTTATTTATGACCAATATATCGGCGTCGACGTTGCTGGACTTCTTCTCCTCTCTCTTCTCCTCGTCGTACTTGCTCTTTTCCCTCGGTATGATACTGTCCGGCAAGACGACCACGCACTGGATCAGTTGCAACACCAAGGCGGTCAGCATTTGAATGTGGTCTTCGGAATTGAGCCTGTACGTCCTCAGGCTCCTCTTGCTGCTGGGCAATCTCGCTATGGAGGCTAATATGTCGTCCAGCAGTAATCGCCTGTGCTTCTCATACTTGGTGAATATCACGGTAACAAGTTTCAAGGCGCTCAATTGAAGCTCACTTACGGACTCGACGAAGAACGGGGACACGCCCAATGTCGAGGCGTAAAGGACACTCGTATCCGTCAGGACCTGGACATTAAGCAACTCGGCAAGGAGTCCGACGAGCTCGTGCATCTTATTGTACAATTGCAGAATGCTCTTTTCCCGGACCTCCTTCGTGTGGCCGCGCTTTTTACGACCACTGGCGTTAAAATTGTCAGTCTTGTTCTTAGAATCCGTCTTGTATACGGGGTCGAAGGAAGGGTAAATGGTGTTCTGCAGCTGGAACTTCATGAACGTCGTTATTCGGTCGATTACGTCCTCCAGATACACCGTCTTAGGCATGTTTTGCGACGTCATGATGTGCAGCGAGATCAAGGACGCGTCCACGGCCCGTTGCACCCTTTCCATCGCCAGCTCCGTGAACATCCTGCTCTCGTCGATGTCGTCGTCAGGGTCGACCAGAGGCGAGACTCTGGCGCCGTCGCGGATATTTTTCTCCAAGATGTTCAGGACCCTGACCAGTCTGTCGGATGGGATCGACTCCATGGCTCCTAGGGCCTTCAATTTGGCCGCCTCGGTGCACAATTCCTGCAGCTGGTACTTAGATATAAGGATCTCGTCAGGCACGTCACCGTCGTCGTCGAGCTCGGTCATCATCGTGGTGTCTTCGGTATTCTCGAATATAGTATCTATGGTCGTGTTGAATCTTTGATACGTGTTCGTCTCCATCAGCTCCTCCACGCTCAGTTTAGCCAAAACAGGCACCAGTTTCTTCTCGACTTTCCTTATTTTCGGCTTCGAGGGTTGAAACATCTCTTCCTTCTTCTCGTCGACGTCGTCGTCCGGGTCGTCCACTAACCTCCTTCGTCTCCGCGTCCTGTCGTCCGTCTTCTTCTTCTCAGCCTTCTCCTTTTCCCTTTGCACCTGGCGCTCTTTCGCGCGCGCCTTGAAGTATTTATTATTCTGGCCTATTTCCTCTTCACTGTCGGATTCGGATTTGACGGACTCCTCCAAATTGGAAAGACCCATCTTTGCCGCACGACCGGGAGCCTGTTCGGAGAATGCACTTATACTCTTTTGCATGAGAGCCTGGTCCGATAAGGATAACCTATTCAACATAACAACGGGCTCTTTCATCTTATCTACTAATTGATCAGGTATAGTTTTAGTATTTTTCTGCGTGTTATTGTTTTGCTGCTGCGGTTGCTGCTGCGGTATCAAAGGTTGCTGCTGCTGTTGCGGTTGCTGCTGCTGTTGCTGCTGTTCTATCGGTTGCGTCGAGTCTGGAAGGGGTAAAGAACTGGTTGAATTAATGTTCGGAAAAACAGGCGCTTGAGGAGTTGGCATTAAACTTTCGGGCTGTTGACTCTCGTTTTGCTTCGACTCCATGTTTTCGATGGGCAAGTCGATGTCGGGAAGACCAGTTACTGGATCCAGAATAAACTGTTGATTCTCCTGCATGGAAACGTTAATGTCCATCGGTTGAGTGGTTTCCAACAATTGATGCAACTGCTGATTCATCATGGGATCGTAGACGTTTTGTTGCAGGTTCATGGTCTGCTGTTGCTGTGCCGACATGCCGGCATGCATGGGCGTCATGTGGATATTGTGCTGAGGGGTGATACTCGTGACGTTATGGTGCTGGGGCAGCACGTTCCCAAGAGAAGTTAGAGGGTTGCTGGGAGAACTCATGTGCACCGGTGAATACATGCTCGGTTGAGACGTATTGTTAGGCAGAGGGTTCACACTGTTGACGTCTTCTTGGAGATGTTGCGGCGTCGTTGACGTCCTCGTTTGGTCGGTAATAACTGTTGCACGAGGCGATGGAGAAGGCACGGCGAAAGGAGACATTTGCGACATCTCCGCGTGATTTTGCGGAGTAACGGGCATTCGCGGATGTTGCGCGTGGGGCATCGTTGCAGGAGGTGGTAACACTGTCCTGGCTGCTGCAGGATGAGCTGGACTGCCCTGCGGCGTTTGTCTAGATCCGGAGGAACTGGAGTACGATGGCGAAAAACGTCCATAGTTCGCAGGTGACTGGTTCGAATGAATCGTTGGTGTACCTTGGGACCAGTTCCTCGGAGAGTTATATTGAGGACCTTTGAATACGTGGGGATTCGCTTGCAAAATCGCCTTCAGAAGTTCTGGCGTATTTTGTTGCGTTTCCAAAGGTTGCTCCGTGTTGGCGTAGTGATCCTTCAGCTCGATATGATCCGAAGAGGTTTGAGATAAGGACACAATTAACTGAGGCACTAAGTTTTCATCCCGAACACTTAGCAATATTTGTGCTTCTTCCGCAACTCGGGGATGAAACAGAAGGGACTTGTTTGTCAAAGTTTGCGGTAGTGGAGTCGGTAGGGGCATTTCCGACAATAAGTCGGTGAGACTCGCTATACCCGCAAGGGTGGTTATCGGTACACTCGGTATAACTCCATTCATTTTGGACTTGATTTGTTCTGGCATTACAGCGTAGACAAAAAATAGTCTCAAAATCAATTCCAGTTTCAAAGTATAGCCGTAAGATCATAGAATGCACCAGCAGCAGCTCCACGTTCCATGTGAGTCGTTTAAGATGTTACGCTTCGATCAATAAATCGTTATCAAATATGTTGTCATCACTAGCTGTCAGAACAACCATCACCAAAGTCTGCCTTTGTTTGCATTATTCCTCAATGGCAGGCTGCAATTGTAGCACTATGTCAACAATCGGAACTGTCTGTCTTCGTTCAAACCGCACTAGCACTAATGAAATTTTGGGAACTTAAGAAATTGTCTTTTAAGTTCCCATGATGCAAGGATGTATTTCAGCCAAATTTTGATGAAGCACGTGGGTCTTGTAATAGACGATCCATTTTTATTCTAGGTTGGTTAACCTGTAACAAAAATTAACATTAATTTTAGGTAATTAGTTAATATCTCATTAATTATTAAATACCATGCTATTAAAGATCTTTTATGTCCTACTGCGCAACATACATTTGATTCTGTTAAAAAATATGTCAAACGGAGCACGATTTCTTTATAAATATTTACCTTCTCTTATCGATCGTCAGCCTGGCAACATCATAAATATAAAATTCTTGCAGTAGGTTAACACTAGTTATTGCAAATTCTTAAATCCGTGCTGCAACCTGTCAATTTAAGAAATACGTATATATTATAATAATTTCTACAAAATGTAATGTTAAAATAAAAGTGTTAATAAAAGACTAATCGTATAACATTTTGTTAGTAATACCTGAGTGTGCTATTGCGACGTGTACTTGTTTCTTGTAACGAATAAATTCAGCACGACGCAGTTACACCTCACGGTATTTAGATGAGTACAAAACAATTAAATCTGACTATGGGCAGCAATTCCCTTCCGATAATAATTTTGTTAATTCTGGCAATATAGTTAATTTATCACTTCCTTTTCTTGAATATCAGTCAAGCAACATCACAAATAAGATCTTTGCCAAAGTTAAAACCATACGTCGGAGATGTCGAAGTTACACTGAAACCCACCGATCCCATGGATTTACTAATCTATTGCACCAACTACAGCCAACCACAGGCAATGAGAAATAAGAATGTAATTTCAAGTAAATCTTCAAGTTTTATGTCATTTACCTTAGATCGCTATTAGCGACGGACATATATGCCATGGAATGCACTGCTTATACAATTTCAGCAGAAATCAGTGCTGGATATTCTAAATCTCAGTGGATTATTTCATTATGACTCTTCTCTGGTCACCCGTTAGCCAAGTGATATCAGAAATGGAAAATTCCTGTCATGGATCGACGCTGACCAACGTAGACCTCAGAATGGTACTGAAAACCTGCCAAATCCACAGTTACTTCCATCAATGACTGCAATCGTAGTCGAGCTCCAGGTATTTGGGGCGAATACGGAATTCCAACGAAGTTTTCCTGAAGTTTTCTGTGATTTACCTCGGACAGCCAGTAGCGAGGAATATTTATGCCGCGGAATGCACGATACGGGGACGGTTTCGGCTTGAGGCAACGGTACCTCGGCGACGATGGACGTGCTAATCGAGATGGTGTAATCGAAATCCACACGTCAGCTGTGCAGCGACCGTCCCGGCTGAGGTTTCTCGTTAAACTTTAGCCTGGGAAGATATCCACTCAATTGTCATCCGTGGCTGTGGCCTACTTGATTCGACGCTCTTTTCCGCCGAGCACCGAGTGCAACACTCGCAATCTATGCGCGGCACACTCTCCACTTACATTTTTCACCGAACCGAATAAACATCCTCATGTCAAACGAGGCCGATCGCGGGGAAAGCAGTATTTATAGTATGAGTACGAGGAAAACAGACACAAAGGCGTCCATTTTGCTCAGCAGCGAGTTAGCGGAAGTTGCGTAGTGGATACAGACAAGATACAGATATACCGGCGCAAAGAGCGTCCCGTTTCAAACGAGACGGGACGCGTTCGCACGGTTGAGATTTGACCAATCCGGACAGAAATTGCATCGGTTTGCACATTCAACATTATCGTTACTTATCGTCCTTCGTGAAATTTCCGCCCAATTTGGATGTGCGAAAGCACACCGAGCCATTCAAGTCAGTCGAAAATAGTCAAAAGTTGCCATCCGGAAAACTCGCGCTACGCGTCGTTTCACCCTGACATCCCATTGGTCGGTTCGAGGTCACGTGACTCTAGACCAACGCTGATTGGCTGATTCCTTCGAAGATCCGCCATTTTGGTATAACAAGAACCGTTCAACGAGTTGCTGCATTAAAGAACACACGCGGAGTGAATACGGTTTGAAACTGAAATTGATTAATGGTTCGATCCAGAGGGCGCATCATATTATTCCCTAGTTGTTAGCCACACAGAGAGGTTCACGGAAAAAATGCATCCTTATTGGTTACATAAGGGTTCGTCCGGTCCAACGGAATGTACGAATGAAAATTCATCTCACAGGATAGTAATTTATTCTTTGTACATAGGTTTGAAAAATGCGATTCATTGTTAGAAAAAATTATAGAAGAGGCCGATAATAATTTTACAAGAAAACGTAAGAAGTGAATGATGTTATTAATTCTCGTATCGGAAATAACCGATGATTTACATATGATGAATTTCAATGTGGCGACAGATTCATCCCGTAACTTGAGAACGAACCTAACCTTCTCATGTAGTTCTTGTAGTGTCGTGTGGATTTCCGTTTGGTTGAAGCCCTTGTGCCCAAGCAAAAATAAAACTTCAAAATGGCGTAATTTGTCAATGTAAACACCCAGTTTTAATATTGCTGGAGTGAAGGTGTAAAGGAGCGGTTTTATTGACATTTGGCCACACTCCACATTTTATTGTGTCGAAACGGTGTAAGGAAAAAATTTAACCTGAATGTTTACAATCCAAATGTCTGCGATCGCCCATTCTATGCCAGGTAAACGACGAGTGTTGGTTTGACGTTGGGACCGTTTTTTAATTGGAGTGTGACGACGAGTAACAATCATCGGGGCTACGTAACATTTTTTCTCATCTAAAAGAACGTCTGTGTAAGGTCATTTCAATTCAGTTATGTTGTGCATTTCGCGATTGCCTCCGGTATGTTCAACTTTGAGCAAAGTCTGGTTTATCTTTGGAAAGGTTACTCTAATGAAATTCAAGGATGACTGAAATCATGAATGGATTTCTCTTGTTTCGGATCGTTAATTTCCCTTATTGCTTTTCTGTATTAATGCTGCATAATTTTCTGTAACATACGTGAATTCATTCATTTAATGCGTGAACATGAAATAGCGAAATTACTTATTCAGACTTAATAATGAATATTCGAATTAAAGAACTTTAGGGGGGTGAAATTTATGCTGTCTAAAGTTAAGTAAAAGAAGTTGACATTTAATTACAAGCGTGGTATAGTCTTACAATTGATGAGATATTTAGAGTCGAATCGTCAATGTCAGATATGCTTCATAATTTTATTTTATGTTCCAGGGACTGATCCGAGCAAGATATCACAAAAGCGGAGTGCTGGCAGCATAGGGTGAGTCTATCGATTTTAAATTTCTAGAAACGTTATGGAAATTAAAATAATACTAGCGATGATATATTCTAGTCCTGTTCGGTATCAACAATTAACGTTCAGTGGTTCTATCAGAATTTTGTGTGAATTCGCATGACACGTGTACAATGTAGCGATACCAGTAATTATGTGGTTTTAGTTATTTATCGATCCCTCGCTATAGTAAAATTACGTCTATATTTTTATTCGCTCTCTCCTATATTCCAAAGCAGGAATAAAATTATGAAAAGGTGACAACTGTTTATATCAAATTATAATAAAGTTATGTCAAGAATAATTTATTATTGACAAGAATAATTTATTATCCTTGACATATAATTAACCTTTTTTCTATCAAAATATTTTTACTTTTCCAGGTGGTAAAAATCTACCACTCAACGATTCATGATAAAATCCAGTTGTTACGTTAGTATTTAAACGGAACGAAGAGCTAAGTTTTCGCCGAGTACGATTAATTCTGTTCCTAGAAGAGATATCCCCCAGGGATCGGTTACGAGGTACCTCGCACAGTAGACAAGTCTGTAACAATGCTGCTCATTTGCCGACCAATATTCCTATTCTTCGACAGATGTTGCAACTCCGCTTAAGAATACCTCCTTATCACGAGTAGATTTTCGCTACCGAGGTCTTTGTTAAAGCAAAACGAACAGAAAAAACCGCTTTGCCGTCCCCGATTGTTTTGACTGATTACGAGTCTACTGGTTACAACGCCAGCTTAAAATGCCTCGGTGAGGAGCCAAGCAGCTGCCGCTGCGACTACTATGAAAGAAACCATATCTCATTTAATTAATTAATTAATAGTATCCCTCCCTCAGGGAATATTACAAATTTTGGGGACTCGTTCACCCACCGCATAGCAACCCTCCACTAAAAGTCACACCTAGCTCGATGATCCTCCTCTATGAAATAATATATCTTTGATTCTTCTCAGAAATCCGTGACCCCCGATTTAAAAAACGCATATTGCACTGTACTTATCTACAATTTCTACTTTTCTACTTGTTCGAAGCCTTAGTTCTGGTGGTACCGAGGAGTACCTATCTGGAGGGCTTTTGAAGGGGTGCGATGTTCCTAAACGAGCCCCATGGGGTTCACCGAAAATCTTCGGAAAGTCGCGGAAAACAGGGGTGCCTCTTTTCGCGAGCACCGGTGGCCGTGGAGCGAGTACCTATCTCCGGCTAAAAGTTGCGCTTTGCTCGATGGCTGTTCCGCTCTCTGGTGGGAGAAGTGATAGTCCTTACCGGGGTACCACCACGGTGCATTATGTGGCTATGGTGGAATCAGTCACTGGCGAGTTGTGGGCGGTGACTAGTCGTTGATCCGCGAGCGGCTACTTCCGCGTTTTCGAGCGGCCACCCGAAAGTCTCTTGACAAGACTCGTCGCCGCGACGCCACGTCGTCGCCGACACTCCAGCCGAAAGTTGCGAAAGGTGCGCACGTGTTCTCCCCGGGGACCATGGAGACGATCGGTCTCCACGTGAAGTTAAAGCGATAAAGTCCATCCTCCTCGTGGATTGATATTTTCCACTCTGCCGGATATTCCTGAAAAAGGAGAAAATAAGAAGAATTCGCCAGAATTCAAGATCCAAGAAAGAAGCCCGAAAATTCGTCACCGCACGCCGCGGCGCTGGTGAACGATGGTCCCGCCTAAATCGCGAGGACGAGAGGACGTCCCGTTTATTTACTGCCGATTTACCTCAGTACTGGTTGGAATGTGACTCGGTACGTATACATTCGGAGGTAGTACACAAATTGGCGGGAAAACCTTCCGAGATGGATGCTAGCCCTGGGACCAAGAGGACGACCGGCGTCTTCGGGGCACCTCGACTGCGCTGCTATGGGATGATCGAAGCTCCGAACCTACGGATGAACGATCAACAGCTTCCGTCCTTGTTCCGAGGTACTTCGACGAATTAGCATGCGATCTCGTCGGTTTCCAGCGAAAAGACGACCGCAAGCTGAGAGCAACTTCCTCGTGGACCCTTCGATGCCTCTACTCGTAAGAAACCCGGGAAACGTACCTCCCGAAAGGCTTGTGTCGTCGACGGGGTGAAAGTGTCCTCTAAACCGAGGTGGGTCTCGATAGCTCTCGACAATTCCTTGGGAGGATTTTTTCTTCTCCCTTCGCGAAATTCCCGTCGGTGCTCTCCAATCGGTTCACCCGGTCATTTCGTAAGACCTAGTCCGAGTGTAACAATTAGAAGACTCGGAGACACGAGTAATCAACCGGCGAGATGCCGAGCTCTCGCCTCGGGGGTGGGAAACGGATGCAGCCTCTAATTTTCTGGGAACTTGCAGATATTCACGGACAGAGTCGCGAGCCCCAGTGATAACGGCGCCGTTTTCTGTACCCGAAGAGGAGGATGAAATTTTCGTGTCGACTCCGATCCCAGTGAACCATCCACGAAGAGACTGTGTGCAAGTATTCAAGAATTCGCCGAACGCCGTGATTTTCTACGCCAACGGGGAAGAGTCATATTTTGTGGAGTATCGTTGCAGCGGAAAAAGAGAGACGCGAGGCCGGAACTGCTTTTCTTCTGGTAGCGAAGAAACCTGGTAGACGGCTGCACATAACAGTATCACTAACTGGAGTGATAACGCCAGACAATGGTTATTTATTCGTGCGGTAATTCCTTAGTAAAGTGATACGAGATTCCATAAGCGTCCCATTCTCGTCAGCTTCGAAGGCTCCCAACGGAGCGTCGCGACGGCTCCTCAGGAATGGACCTTTCGGAGTCGAATAAATTCCTCTGGTCGAGTCAGTCGAAAAAGAGAAGGAAGCCCGAGCGCCGGCCTGCCGCGGAAAGGGATTTCACGCTGACATCTTGATCGTGATACCAAAAAGAAGTTGACGTCCCTACGAGGGTTGCCTGCAAGAGCAGGGAACCCTCGAAGCGTCGAGACGGCGAGGCGATCCCCGACTCGAAGCGGACTCTTCGACTTCGGGTGACGACCCGATTCGTTCTATTCCTGATAATCGCAATTGAAAAGAAAGACTACTATCCGCAGGGTGAGCCTTTACTGGAGCATCGGCAACGATCAGTCAGCCTCGGTTCCTAAGAGAAGGTTCCTGGAGTTGAATCCAGTGCCGGAGGCAATTCCCGTGACCAATTAAGAAGTAACCTCGCACGCGAGTGTATTAACTCGAGAATTGACACCTTGACATCGGCCATAACTCGACGCCTCCGCTAGAGCCGGGTACATGAAGAACCGAAGTCCTGGAGAGGACGTCCACGTGTCATGGTAACCCAGGGTGCAGCGAGTTAGGGGTGAGGGAGAACCCGTGCGCGGATTTGGGCCCACCCTGAAGAGGTAGTAACCGGCAAGATAGAGTATCCTGGTAACGGTGGCATGTACGGGGGCGGCCCGGGGAACGCCGGCTATGGGGTGGGTCTGGGCCCCGGGCCAGGCCCCTCTCACTACGTGGTCCCACCTGCCCCCGTGGGCTACCAATTGGGCCCACCTCCTCCCCCGCCGGCCACGGTCACCTCCACCGGGGCCCAGCTCCTCTCTTATGGGCCCAATTTGTCGCCCCATCACATGCAACAAGGCCCCGTCAGCTCGCCGCAGTCCAAGAGACGAAGGTAACGCTTCTCTATGGGGATCTCGTAATCCAGTCACCTGGAATAATTAGCCTATCAAATTGCCGACTTTATTCACGGATAGCTTAATATCCACTTTCTTTTCGCTGTTACAATTGGAATTGCGGCGAAACAGAGGGGACCTCCTAGAAGGCGACCGCGTCGATCGCAAACCCGGAACAGGATATCCGATTCGAGTCAAGGCGATGCACTTCGAATAATTATTCGTATTATGCTGATCGAGTCGTTGTTCGGTCTATTGGTTAATTTAACGATTGAATAATTAATTGTACCGCCGTGTAGGATGATCGATCAATGGACAGATTATTCGACCAGGAACTCCTGTAACGAATCTGTTCCGAGGTTACCGTGGGAACTCCGTTTCGGGAATGCGAGGGCTTCTCGCGCGGTTATGCGCACTCGCGCCTTCCATTGTCCAAATGATTTTTCTCTCTCTCTTTTTTTTTTTTATCGTTTTACTGGACTCTCGAATACTCCGTCGCGATTCCTCCTCTCGCTCCTTACTGTGCACTTCCTACCTGTGGAATGCCCTGAAAGAATCCGGTATTTGTCTTCGCCGATGCAACAGGTGTCGAGAAATTCCCTGCAATCTGGGGAATGTTAGAAATTCCCCTCGCGTTAGTTCAGAACGATAATGGAAGACGTCTTTTCCTTTATACTTTTATATCGCGTTACGAGACATGCCTTTTGACGTATTTATTTTTTCATTTTATTATTATTATTTTTTTGTTTTCAAAGTCTGGATGTTTCGAATCCAAATGTAGATTCCGAGGATCCTGTTCCTCGTCGATATCGAAATGCTCAGGATTTCGTATCTAAAAGTGCCCTATATTTATTACGGATGTAATCTCGCGAATTTCCATCGCATTCCCCGGAAACGAAAAATATGGCCGCATTATCAGCGACACTCGTAAACCTCAGACCCGGATCTTCCGCGTTGCGGAGAGATATCTCGTCGTTAGCGGCTTGCTCAAGCCTCTACGTGGGAAAGGCTGGAAATTTCGACCGGTCGTCCTATGTGGAAATTTTGTTAATTACCGACGGTCTACCGAGAATCGGCCATTCGGCCGATAGGAGTCTTTCACGGACCGCGCGGGACGGTTTCACGTCGGCTTCTTATTTTTTCTTTTTTTTTTCTTATGGAGCCTTGACCGCCCAATTGTTTACAAAATGCTTTGTTGCTGCGCGATCAGCAACTTTCGAGCCACAACATCGGCACGCTCTCTTCGAGGCTTTGCTTACCGTCGGTGAACGAGCCAATGTGGCTTCCTTGACGCGTGTTGATAACCCTCGACACTTTATTACACTTTTGACATTCTTCGAAACGCTTCTGATTAGGAGCCTATGTAATTATCGCTACTTAACATGATCTTTGAGAAACGATACTATGCCGCCTCGTAGCGGGAGAAAATTACAAGGGGAATTGTTTGAGATATTTAGGTGATAAGAGCCTGTTACCACGTATGGGTCATGTCGATATGGAAAATCGATAACTCTGTTATTGGATTCCGCATGTGAGCTAATAGTTTTTGGGATTACAGAGCGATCCGGTAAATGTAGTCGTGCGTATGGGAATTATCGTAATTATTGGCATGCGAGAGAAGTATCTCCGATTGCTAGACGAGTAATGTTCGACCTCTCGTTATCTTATTACGAATTTAATTGCGCCTTTTCGCGGAGTTAAATGCGAAGGCCAATGCGGTAGAGCTAAACCGCTCGTCTTGGATTATGGAAAACCCGAGTCCGTGTGCGGTAATCTCGTTTGATGAATTATTACCTCCACCGGTTATTAATTTCTGGGGTTATTCTTAACCTTAGTAGGTCCGATAATTAATTCGACTCAACCCTATCCGCGTTCGCCCGTTCCGATTCAGTCACCCCCTTATCTGAATCGATGTAAACTCATATTTCCACCGTCCCGTTACAGATTACAATTGCAAATAACGAGGTACGTGTACACGGAATAATGCCCTACGCGGACCATGAGTGTCACATTTCCGTCGGTGGACAGGTGATTTACTTGCACTGGAAATGTTATTACATACCTTTACGTACTCTCTGACGAGACTCACAAGTCCGAAATCTTTGAAACATCCTGACGTGAGCGGCATGATTTTTTCCCGGTAAAGAAAAATAAATAAATAAAGCGGATAAGTCTCTCGTGTTTTTTTCTCTTATTCTTTTTTCGTGCATCGTTAAATTATCAAACTAGAATGGCTAGTTTGCACGATCACTCGTGCGGAATTTTGGGCCGTGTGTGCAATTCTCGCACGTATGGCTCCTCGTTATCCGACTATGCTTACGCCAGGAGGTGCTGCCCGTTATTTTCCTTTTTCATTTTCCGCTCTTTTTCCGCGGCGGCGCGCTTCCTCGTGGAACGCACCCGCGACGTTTATATTAAATCCTCTGTTTACCCCACCACCACCGAGGAGCGTCGACGCTGCGCTCAGCCTCCGGCAACCCCTCTGCCATCGGAATTCGTCACGTAGAGGAGATTTGTGGTCATTCGGGAATTACGTCGCCGATTAACGGATCGTTATTTCATAATCTCCCGGCGTTGCGTGCTGGCCTCTAAAATCAAACCGTGACGCGAGTATCGTTCCACGTTACGACGCCCGGAGCCGGAGTTAGGCCAGACGTCGAAGTCGGGATCGAGGTTCCATTACCGGCTAATGTGTGAACACGAGTCTAGGTGTGAACCTGCTTACCGGAAGACTGCCAAAGTGCCTCTGACTTGGCGAATTGTCGGATCAGAATGTTTCTCTTGGTGGATTTCCGACGTTACTTCCAAAGGACTACCCAAAAGCGAACCTCGTTATTGTCCATTCGAGAGACTTTCTCCAGAAGGGACTGGAGAAACTATGTTGCGACTATGGGCTATAATCGTCGATGATAGACCCCCTTAGGGCCCAGATTTGCACCCTAATCTCACCCAGACCATATTTCGCGATGTCGGGAACGTGGGTCGAGGAACTTTCCCTGGGAGAGTTCCACTCGGTCCCTACGTGGCTCCACTTTTTTTTTCTTTCCCTTCTCGTTAAAAATATTTAGCAGCCGTTGTGGAGACCAATTGTTACCATCTTTTCGAATGAATTTATATTCAGATTCCGTTGAATTCGAAGCTGCAGCCTCGTAGGAAAAATGCGTTTGTATAGCCTTGGAGGGCCGTTCTTAGGATGGCCAATAAGCTCAGCGGGGAAGGCGCTCTCCCTGGTCGAAGTCGAAGGAGTCGACCGAGTAGAGGAGCGTGGACCGCCTCTTGCCGCCACCCGCCAATCGCACGCAGTCGTGTATTAATATGCGCTACCGAAGGTGGCATTACCTCATCCGCGATGAAAAATTACGTCAGGCCTCAAGCTCCTAATCGACATTGTGGAACGCACCGGCTAACAATGAGTGCCCAAGAAGGCGCCATCTCTACTTATCCCAAAGCTTGCCGATTATTGGCAACTGCATCTCCACACCCCAAATCCCATTCCATCACTTTCTTAATTACCCATTTCCATCCGTTGATTTTATGAACATCCGAGTATTCGTCATAATTTAACGAGGAGATTCATTCTCCCAGGACAGGATTAAAAAGTTTCAAGAATTCACGTGGCGACCATCCACGTGTCCATTTTTTTTTTTTCTGTCTTTTTCAGCGTTTGAGAACTCATTATTTTCCACGGGATTTTTTTCATCCTACCAAATTTTTTTTAATTTGCGTATCGATCATTTCATTCTGAGATCGCAGGCTGGATCCAAGGATTCCAATCGTGCCCATCTCTAAATCGAGGTGCGGCGATTTGAGGAGGCGACTTAAAGGCGTGCGTTGCGTGTGTGGAGAAGGTGCTGCTAGCCAATCGCCGGGTAGCGCGTAATACAGGTGTCGGTACGCAACGGGGCGTACATTGCGTAACGCTACGAACTTGGCAGTCGGTATTACCTGGAAATTATGGAGCGTCCTCGAGGAATACGAATGACATCCTCGGCGTACCGTCGGCGCTAAGTCGGCACCCGAGTACTTTGTAAGACCTAACAGTATCCCAACGATATCGTTAACGTCGCATCGCGATAATCGAGAATTTCGGTGGAAATATTAAATTCGGAAGATGACCTTACCAAAATTCCCCAGGAGGCAAGCCGAAATCCCGTGGTCGACTTATCGTCTTTCGATGAATATCATATTGCAACCCCTGCATGCTGATATCAATTACTTGTCGACCATGTACTTGGCATTGGATATCGTTAAATGATCGTCAATCGACACGTGGCAACTATTTAAGGCACGACGAGGTTTCGACTTTCGACACGTCCGTTTGCGTCTGCCTTCCTCCAGACGATGACTAAGTTACGGACGTGATCGTAACTGGGACGCTTCCGCTGTCTTCCATATTGGAAATGACAGCAGTTGTTTTTTTATATATATAAATATATATTTTTTTTTTTTTTAAAGAATCGATTTGCGGAGAAAAAATTGCGGCGTGAGTTTGCAGATGTCGGAATCCTTCGACTCGGTCGGATTGAAGGTATCGACGTTGCTTCTCCGTTTTTATTTTTTTTTATTTTTATTCGAGACGAAATGGTCCAGTTCCACCAACGAAATATGACTAACAAGTTTTAGAGGGAAATGCTTTTCGGTGGTAATCGGGCAGTCAGGGCTGGTGAGTGTATGGAAAGTATAGTTCCCGCAATCGCGGTACGTTCTCCACCTTTCACGATCGAAGGACGTTTCGCTGATACAAAGCTTGCGACCGGTTATTGGTACGGCGATTTAATGGGAAGGTACCACGGATGGTACCTTTAAGTATCGGGTAGTACTTACGTACCGAGTCGGCCTGGAATCGGTCTGTGTATCGTGTATGGACCGGAGTTATTCCACGAATGCCGTGCACCACGCAACGTGTATCGCATTCGTCCTATAAAAATTGTCTTTATGTTTCGAATTCACTTGACCCGGTAAAAAGGGCGAAAAAAACCGCCCGCCCAAAATTTACCACCCACGAGATCGGATTCTACTCAACTCCTCGCGGAAATGAAAATAAATATTTTTCGGGCGGGAATCGAACGTCCGATAAGTGACTGTTTATCAAACGGCGTCCCGAATGCAGTCGGACATTCCGTGATACCGGAGATTGAGATCTCTATGGTCCCATAAATCGTGGAAACAAATGGTGGTTAGCCCCGCCTCCCCGAGTACAAGATACTTACACTCTACATTACCATGTTGGTATATCGTAACTTGGTATTAAGTCTACCCATCGTATACAAAACAGCACTTTGATACCAGAGCTTTCGCTTGGGGGGTACATGCGTTAAATATTCCTCGGAGAGGGATCCATTGACTTCCAAAACTGAAACCTCTTATCAGCCTCTCCTTACAAGCATTTGCAATTCAACCTGCCATGTGAATCCATGAAAAATCGAGTCTGAATGTCATTTCTTATTTTTTTTTTTTCTCTTGAAAAATCAGCTCGTCCAATTTTTCGAAGGCTACCTGGAGACTAGGAAGGCAGGTATAAGACACGGGGGAGATATATTCGAACCCGAGGTGGAAGATGAAGAGAGTCACTCGGGGGTGGCGGCCTCGTGGCTCTCCTCTTGGGGGTAAAAATCCGCATGGCGGGGGAAACTAGGGGGAACAAAAGAAGCGCCACTGTAAGGTGGACGTCACGCGGGGGTGGCTTTAGAGAGACTTCGATCTCCTGTCCTGATCTCTCCGGCAGTCTTGTTTTACGAGACTGCGGAACCTTACACCGAGCCCAAGGGTCGGGCTTTTCCACCGGCGACGCTGCCAAGGATTCCTAGATCGATTCCGAAGATAGGCCCCGACTTGCTCTCGAACTTTCGGTCCCGGTGAAAGTTCATCTCGAACGGCAACCTCTCGATCGTTTCCCTAGCCTCGGTTGGATACCTCCGGCAATCAAGTGCCGCTGAAAGCCCGTCGATAACTCGTAAACTCGTTCAGGGTTTCGTCCCGGTCACGCCGATTCGCCCCGACGGTTTCACCGAACATTTCGGAAGGCTTGAAATCGTTTGCAAGAAATAGTTCCTAGACATTCTGTCGGGAAATTTAATTAACCGCAAATTCTGGGGATTTCTTTGAGAAGTTGATAGGCGACGTTCCTGAATTTGGCTTATTTTTTATACACGGTGCTGAAAATGGATTTGTCTATTTTTCTTTTTTAATCGTGGGGAACTCTGGGATGACGTCTTTCGCCAGATCGAGCAGGATAGGTTTAATTCGGGGAGAGAAAAAGAGCGGAGGGAATTCGCACCTGTTGACCTCTCGATATATAGGGCTCCCTTCGAGCGTATCCGGAACTCCGGCGGGTGACCCATTGCGGAGGTCAAGGAACCCCTCTCCCCAGTCGTAACACAATCCGAGAGTTCCGGACCGAAGTCTCCCCGGTCCGGACCCCACCGTGGGGTCATCGAACGTAAATCGGAGACCCTGCCAGGGTAACGAAGTGCCCGAAAAACAATAAGGCCCACCCACCACCGAGAGGACTTCCTTTTGTCCCGAGTCGGTTCTCGGAGCGCATTCCCCTCCTCCATTTCTGCCCACCCTCTATCCCGCGTCCGAAACATAACCTGAAAATTCCCTCTTTCCAAAGTCCCCAGAATCAGCCAAGTTCCCTTCATGCCCACCCAAGATACACCGACCAAACCAAGTCCCTAACCACGAAATCAGAAATCACCAGAATTTCATCTCGGTGAAGAAATGGTGAAAAAAAATGCTATCCTATTTTTTCCATCCTAGGGTGAGTCCCAAGTGTAGACCCCATCCCTGGGACCGTTCCCATCGGCGCGTCGTGCCCTAACGGGGCGCGGGCGTAATCGGGTCAGCGACGTCCCGGAGTGTGTCTACCGCTCTCGGCGTATCCGCCTAAGTCTCGATACACGGGGCCCAAGGGGTCCACGGGGCCTGGTGAGCGTCATTACGTACTCCATAAATCGGCCCCCTCCGACCTCCGGATGGTTCCAGAAGAGGTCGCCGACGGAGAGGGTTCGGGGGGTCGGGCGGGGGGAGGGCAGCGTCGGGTCCGTTGGCCGGGCCGGCGCTGCTCCGCGCTGCTCCGCGCTGCACCGCGCTGCCCGATGGGGCCCGATGGGCTCAGCGCAGCGCAGCGCGCGCAGCCTACCCGGATGCGGGCTGCTCCGGGCCCTACGCCCCCACCGCCGACGGTGCACGGGGTCCCACGGCATCCGGGCCAAACCGGGGCCCGGAGGGAGGGGGGCGCAGGGGCATAGGGGGAGCTTACTTTTTCGCTCAGGGTCAGAACCGTACATCACCGGCGCCGCATAGACTGACGATCGCTCGCCCGCATTCCCTGGTGTGGGTGCCCCCGTGATCGCGGGTACGTGTGCACGTGAGCGAGTACCCTCACGTGAGCGTATATACTTACGTGAACGGGTACGTCCGCGCGCGACCATGCGGGTAGGTGTACGCGCGGACATGTGGGTAGGTGTGCGCGCGACCATGCGGGTCAGTGTGCGCGCGACCATGCGGGTGGGTGTGCGCAAGCCCGACTCGCCGGGACGCCAGCCCGCGTGTGAGCGCCGGTGGGTGGGTGGGTGCAACCACCACCGCCGAGGTACATCCGCATGATCCCGATACTTAATCCCACCGCTGGATGTGGATACCCCGACCACCGATAATGAGCCCGCTACGATCCGACTGCGGATTTACGCCGATCGAACGTCTCTCGATAGAGAGAGAGAGGACGCTGCCTCGATGGCTCCGACCCCGGCCACTGCTCCGTGGGTTTAGACGGAGACCCTCGAGCTTAGGGGAGGAAGGGATGGAGGAGGTTTCCAGAATCAGGGATGGATTAGAAGGATGGAGCGAGAATTGACTGGCACGCTTCGGGGGGTTTATCCGGTTTACTTATGACAATTTGAAAAGGACTCTGCTAGGGAACAGGTTAAAATGGGGTGATTCGACGAGCGGAACTCTGACGGCTTTTCTACGACTCGGGGAATTTTTGCGGATTATTTTGTGAAATGTTGAAATTTGGAAGAGGATCGTAGGAGGGCGGTGGTGACAGGAGGGTTTGTCAATTTTCTGTTTTATTCCAGATCCGATGAGGACGACCCGAGTGGGGGCAGATACCGGAGAATGGAGGACGACAATATGCAAGACAAGGAGAGATTCGCCAGGTGAGTGTCAGGCTCGAGACGAATCCTCGACACGGTGATTTACGGGACGCGGAAAGTGTCCCGGGTTTTTTTTTTCTTCCGTTCTTCTTTTTCTTTTTTCTCCTTTCCTTTTTTTCTCGACCCTCGCCACGAGCCGTTGCAAATCCCGAAACCACCGGGACAAAATGGACCTGGGTTTCTTTTCTTAATCCGCGCCGCGATCGCGGTCGTTCAATGAGCACGCTGTAAACGGCCGTGGCTGGGGGGGTAAAAACAACGTAAGTCCACTTTGCGGTAAGGATTGTGTCGAATTGGCCGGCGACAAAAATCCCGTATTTACAGCACTCGGCTTGTTTCAACGGCCATTCTCCGGCGTGGAAACGCGAAAGACTCGGATCACTTTTGTCAACTCGCCGGCGGGTCTTTGCCGCGTCCAAGATGGCGGACCGCGGAAAAGAGGTCGTCGCGTTTCTTTCCATTTCTTTTTCCCCGCTCTTTCTTTCGGTGACTTACGTTCAACTTTGCGCGGATTCGTCGAGTTTCGCCCCGTAAGTCCCGTATACATCGAGAGCCCGGAGATACGTGTATGTAGTTTACATGATACCGACCATTGCGAGGCGATATGGCGGAATGGTAAGCCCTCGCGGCTGTTCCACCGTGGGAACATCAGATACGTATGCACCGAGTCCTTTAAGCCCGTCTACACCGAACACGGGTTTCCTCTATCTCCCCAAACATTTTTCACGGATTCGTCGACACGCTTTTGCAATATATTCTTTCCAAAAACAATAGGGATTTTTCACGCCAGAATGTCATACCAACGATATCAGGCGTTTTGTCTCCACCTTTCGTAAATACCTGAACCTCGATCGATTAATCGAAATTACGATGTGTGTACGTATCGCAGATAATCCCAGCCGCAGTCGTCTAGAACCGCTTGCCGGAAAATCAGATTTTATCGATATATATGTGATTTAATGTACGAAGCGGAGACGCTCTCGCAAAGATGGCGGCGATGAAAGGGAACCGCACCGTATAAATTGTTACCAAGATATTTATACGTTTTCCCGTGAAATTACTCGTACTCCTCGGTAATGGGGCTTGACAGGCTGAAAGGTGATTATCGCGTGGGAATGGACCATTTTTAAGGAACGCTCGCTTCGAGTATGGCATCCCACGTGGTGCCGTTCACCGGGAACCATACTCGAGGAAGTCAGACAGAAGTGTGAAGACCGTTCCGAGGATCATTACGTAATTACTCGGAATAAATTCAGATTGACCCGAGGATCGTACGCATACGGGCGAATCGTATTTTCAGGGACCGAAGTCACTTAATAAGAAGTTACGGCATCATCGCCGCGGCGGAACGTTGTAACTTCCATCGAGAGGCGCGAAACCTTAACTTATCTCCAGATTCTTATCACGCATTCCGTGCATAAGCGAGACTGCATCGCTATCAGAATTCTTCTTCGGTGTAATTGGGTGTAAGAAACGGATTAAACGCGTTCCTATGTGGACCATTATTTTTTGAGCAATTTTTGCCTGGATTTTTTCCCAGTAAATGGACATTGATCGACGTGGCAACATTTAGGTCAGGAGTCGCCGCCATTTTGACGGGGAAAATAACGCATGCGATTTCTCGACTCGGCTATGTCGCGCTTGTTTACGCTAATAACGCAATTACGGGATGCCGATATTTACTTTGGGGGGTAATTTTTGGGTCGATTTTTGTAAAGAAAAAAAAATGGCCGTTCATCCTTCGACGAGGTACACCCTCTAGGTCGGATGTTGCCGCCAATTTGACGGGAAAAATAACGCGTGCGGTTTTTCGCCTGACTCGGCGATGTCGCGCCCGAGAACCTCGCGTTTACGTTAATAACGCAATTACCGGATGCCGGTGCCTTTGCTGGCGGCACCTCTGCGTCTCTCGGCGATCCTCGGCTACTCCTTCTTGGGATATATTTTTCCTCGGGGCCCCGACGCCGAGGTAAATGCAAGCTCCGCATTTTTCGGACCTACGATTAGAGGATCGCGCTGCGTCGGGTCTCCTCCGCATCCGTTGACGCATTCCAGCGGTCGGCCGCGGAAAAACCGGGTCGTCGACTTTCCGCCCTCTTTTCCCCCGAAAAGGGTGGAAAAGGAACACCCAGGAGGCTTTGCGACTTCTTCGTTTGCATCGAGATGACGTTGTAAACGGCCATGCCGAATGCGCGATAAGGGTAATCACCTTTCGCGATCCTATCTGTGCGACCATTGAACGGCATTGCCGAGCTGGATGTGCGCCGACTGGGGTGGCAAGGGGAATATTAATTAGGGAAAACGAGGCGTACTCTACGCGGAGAAAGAACTGCCTACTACCTGTTACGTGCAAAAGTCGCGTCGTCGGAGAAAGGACGGCGATCGGCGATATATCCGACAGGAAGTACTTAGGAAGACCGAGTACTTGGCGAGGGAAAATTCCGAATGGAAATTTTTACCGGGATCAAAATGGCGCCGAACTTTCTCGAGCTCCGGGGAGATTCGCACTTTTTGGAACCTGGGTTCACAGAACAGCGTAGAATCGAACTTCCTTCGTGTCTGGCAATGCATTCCAGCGGTTAGCCGAGAAAAACCGAAGGCGCCGGGCTTTCGTTCTACTTGCTCTTCCTATTGTCCGCGTTCCTGCGATCTCCCGATCGCGACATAATCCGCGTCGGTGGAGAGCCGACAAATACCGTGACTCCTGGAGAACGTACCCCAAGGGACACGTGCTTCCTGGAATTCGGAAAAAATTATGTACTTTCTTCTTACACATTTCTTTTTGTTTCCGGACCAACGGGAAAGGAATTTAACGCTCTTTCTAATTACGTCGCCATGTTTTTATACAAAATATGTGAATTTTTGCCACCAAGAGACGGTTCTTTTTATTCCTGCATTTCTCTCGATGTCGCCTTCTCGAAGTGGCGGGGGAAAATTGGCCGAGGACGATTCGCAGTCGCGATGCATACGCGATGCGCGAGAAGATGTGGCCTAAGGTGGTTGACACTCGATATCTCGTACCGGTGCCTCGTCCTGTCTGCTGGTGTCGTCGGCGCCTCCGCGAAGACGAGTCGTCGGAGCGATCTCCCCCGTGACGAGGCTCGACGGCTCGCGAAGAAATCGCCCCGAGACCGATTCCGTACTCGCGATGAGTACGTGACGAGCCTGGAAACGGGACGAACTCCATGGCCCTGCATAAAGGCTCGCCTGTTTTGCGCGAAAACGAATGCCTGGCTCCGTCGAGGTGACCCCACCACCCGAAGAGATCATCGGCGCCCTAAAACATGGATAATAAAACATGGAATATGAAACGTGAACTACAAAACATGGAAGGACAATTAATTCGACGTAACGAAACCATCACCAGACGAAGAAATCGGTGGCAAAGTTAATCGGAGGAGTTTTCTTTCGGAGCGTCTACTCTAGGTCCGCCATCTTGGCCGCCATCTTGGAGAACAACGAACAGGGAAGAATCCTTCTGTACTTTGGCGCTTCCCAAAACGGAATTAGCTATTTTGGCACGGTGCCGCGTATTCAGGGGTGGTACGAATGGTTTTCCTGCTTCGTCGGGGAGTTCAATTTGCCACAAGGAAATCTCCCGACTGATTCGCAGTCGTGATAGATACGTGACGCGCGTGAAGACGCGCCGAAGGTGATTGACACCCGGCGTCTTTTCTTCTTTTTTTTTTTTATCCAATGGCGTCGCACCCTGGGCGCCGACGAGTCAATGGAATATTCCGCGCGGATCGGAAGCGATTGTCTAGGCTCGATTTCGCGGCCGACGAAATCGGTTGGCAGTGGAGGCGATTTAATTTTATTACGCTTTGTTGCCGGTCCCTACCTCCCGGTGACAACGCGACGCGTAGACACGTACGATAGGCCCATTCTAATTCCCGGCAAATACCGCGCATATTGCGCATTGTGCAACATGTAAATCGACATCGCCTACAGGTGTTCCCGGCAATAACGGCGACGAAGAGAAACCAATGGTTCCACGGTCGATGCGTTTCGACGATTCGGGGGGAAAAATCATTCCGCAAGCCGCGAGCGATTCCGCACTCGCGATGGATACGTGACGAGCGTGGAATAGGGCGAGGGGAATCGGATTGTTGATACTCCATATCTTCCACCAGTGACTTACTAACCCGGACGATGTACCAACAACAACGTGGTCGTAGAATCTATGGGAAACATTGCCAACTTTTATGAGTCTAAGAATTATTAACACTGGAGCTGTCAAATCCGTGAAAATGGCCTACCAGAAACAATTAAAATCCGCCGATTGTTCTGGCGTCAAGGGGATCGGAGAAGACTGAAGGTTTGCATTATTTAAAAAGAGGATGGTGGTATTAATGTGATGCGTTTACTCGTAGGGTGTGGATATGGTGGATGCAGTGTATACAGTGACTGCAGTTTGTATGGTGGATGCAGTGTATACAGTGACTGCAGTTTGTATGGTGGATGCAGGGGACATAGTGACTGCAGTTTGTATGGTGGATGCAGTGTATACAGTGACTGCAGTTTGTATGGTGGATGCAGGGGACATGGATGCAAGAAATACAGTGAATGCAGGGTATACGATGAGTACAGTTCATACAGTGGATACAGTGGATACAGTGGATACAATGAATACAGTGGATACACTGGATGGCCCTGTGAAGCCGGTGAAGCCGAGCGGGCAGCTCCAAGCGCCCGCGACCTTTGACCCGAGAGTTCTCTCCGCTCCGGTCTCGGTGCGGCCTCGCTTTATTCTTGTGCTTTGGCTGTGTGAAGGAGCTGGCCTCCTTTAGGCAGCGAAGGTGGACCGACATTACGCAAATCGGATGCTGCCCACCGACCCAGGACGCTCGGCGAACCGGCGCGGATCTTCGGTGGACCGCCTCGGAGAACAACGCTGGAGCGATCGCACTCCTGCAGAGGGACCTGAAAAGTGACCTCCGAGGCGATGAACGAGGATCACGAGCCAGAGCTAAGTCGACCAAGGAACCAGCATCGATAAATAATTGATAAAACCTTTCCAGGTACTCCCCGAGGGCTGCGACGTCGAGAGAAAATGGCTGCCTCGGCGGGGAAATGTGGACGCGAGGGATTGGCGACGAAGGAAGACGCCTCAGGAATCTCACGTGCGAATCTACCGCGGGGAAATGATCGCGAATTAAACACCATTAAATGCGCGCAATTGTAAAGCCGGGCCATTACGCGTGGCCGAACCGGCGACGCTAAAGAGACGCCCACGGTTATCCGGCATGTCGGTACCACGGCAAGGTAATAACAGGGAGTCGGTCCCGCACTCCTAGTTTTCAGGATGCCGACAGGATCGCCGAGGATATCCGAGGATGAAGCCCGTCTTTCGCGGGATATAAACCCGAGAAGTGGTTGCCCGCGCCGAGCATATTTTACCTGCCGGTCGCTGCAATTGATTGCCCTTCGATCGGACATTTTTCCCAGGGAATTATTTATTTCCGCGGCTTCTTCGGTGCCACCCAAACGGAGGAACAGGAAAAGGACCTGCGTAATGGACAAACCGACACGGTGGAGTCGAGTTTCTCCCAGGACGTCTCGTCTAGGGATCGTTCGACGAAAAGGCGTAAAGCTGGAGGAGTTACTCGAGGGGAACCGATAGACGCGGCGTGAAATCTATTAAAACGCGAAACGAGTCTCATCCGGGCACGGATCGGGACCATCGAAAGAAACATGAGAGAAGAAAGCATCGCGGATCGAGCTATGGGAATGAATCGCACGGGATAAGTCGAGAGACTATTACGTAAATAAAGGAGCTGCGATATTCCTGAAGAATTGCTCGGAAATGAGGGACGAAAGTAACGAGCCTGCCATCTTGAAAATGGTGGCTGTCCTTAAGCCAGGCGTCCTTTTTTATAATTATTAAAAATTCGTTATATCGTTTTCCGTGAGATTATAAATCATATTTAACAGAGGTCGCACTTCCGGGGTCCGACTGTTCCGAGTAACGGGAGAAGCGCCGTTGGGGAAGCATGTCCGTAATAAATAAAAGCACACAGTGGGACATCCGATACTTGTCCGATGATTCCACGAAAGGTCCATAAATCGAACGCAACCGACCGCTTGCTACCACCGCAACGCGGAAAATTCGAAAACCGCCTTTATTCGTATGTAGCAAAATTACTACCCTCCGTGGGAAGCATTTTCCCAGGTTTAGAGAGGGATGGGACCCGAGGACGCCTAAGTTTGTTTTACCCTTAACGAGCACGCCGTTGTATAATAAAACGGATCCTTCATTAAGACCCGCGCGAATCGTCTGTCGACATCCTGCGGATTCCGCTCTCCCGTTCTTTCGCGCCGTCCCTAGGGAGGCGGGACTTCTTCCCGGGATTCCTTACATCCGATCTTTACGTCCACATTTTGCACCGAAATTGCGGATAATCGCTTCTGCATTCCAGCTTCACCCGTCTATAAGGTTTATGCGCTCTATCGCGGAAAAGAATCCAACCTGATAAGACAACCACTTGCGTTATCAGCATACAATGTATTAGGTACCCCCGGGTATCTTTAATTTTTTTTATTCATTAAGACCATATGCCCTGAAATTACGAAATTATGAATATGACGTTGCGAGTTCCTTGGCTAAATGCCGACCTGTGCAAATTTGTCCTGGTTACGCCCTGGAGAGACCTTAAGGTCCTTTTAACGAGCCCGTAGGCGATAAAACGAGGTCTTCCTTCGGCCTCGAGGTTCAGGGAATTCCAATCTTCGGGCACTTCGCGTGTCCCCGTAAACTCAGTCTTTCTTTCCGGGGCCATCTCGTGGCCCGGATTTCCGGTCTGGCTTCGACGAAGACTCCTCCTGGGCCAGTCGCGAAAAACCGCCTCCACCTGGTAATCCTCGAACTATGCAATTACCTTGGTTTTGTCTCGCGTCTTACTGCAGGGAGAATCATTGCGAAATTGAGCGACGGCGGCGGAACAAGATGACCGCGTACATCACCGAGCTCTCCGACATGGTGCCCACTTGCTCGGCCCTCGCCCGGAAACCGGACAAGCTGACTATCCTCAGGATGGCAGTGGCGCACATGAAGGCACTCCGAGGTGAGTATTTCTTACGAAGTTCACCCTGAAACCGGTAAAAAAAGAAACCTACACGCGTAACAACAGATATACCCAAGGAAAAGGTTGCAGTCGGTGATACCTATGCTCCGCCTTGTCAATAATTCCAATAATTTCAATAATTTCAATAATTTCCATCCACCATTAGTACCCAAGGTCCCAGTGCAATTGTAAACTCGACGCCTTGAACACGAATTAACATACCATAAATTTCTAAATAAGCGTACGATCTCATACGTTACATATCTTGAAAGTATGTACGCCCGTCCCTCAATTAACGCGGTAATTAAATCACAACATACGTCATTATTTCCCTTTCATTAAGCTATTTGAAATAAATACGTACTTCTAAGACTTATATATGCACTAGCTTTTATATCCAATATTTATTCATTCGCGTAAAAATCGAGTAAATTGAGGTGAATCACAAATGTTATGAAATAATGGAATTTCTTATTTTTTTTTTTTTTTTAAGCAGAGTACATGTTTACGTATTTGAGAGGGATTCGTTTCGTAAAGGGTAGTGGTCTCCACTCGTTGGTGTCTTTTTTCGGTATCTCGGGGGCCGAAAGGCATCCTCGCCCCGTATCCGGGTACAGTCGACCCGGTGACAAGGGGTTGCGGGGGCATCAAAAGGTGGAGCAGGGGAACGGGCCAGGGTGGAAGGGCACTGGGCTGTAATTCGAGGTGGTCCCCTCTAGGTGCCGGGCCCTGGGCCGCGGTAATTCAATAATGGAGGCGCGTTAACGCGCACGGAGCGCAGATCGGCTTGCTCGAGTTTATTCCCGCGGTCGTGCCGGAAACTCAAACAGCTGACCGGCCGATCGGCACGTTCTCCGCGCGGAAAATCCGCAGCTAGGCCGGGCCCCTTATCGGCCCGAGTCCAGACATTGCGACTCGAGTCCGGACCCTCCTCGATGAGAGATGCAATTGCTCATTTTCGACTCGGCGGACGGAACCACCAATTTTAAGGTTTTTTTTCTTTCTTTCTTTTTCTACCCAAGGGAGAGATGAAATCCACTGCAAGGGGAGATGAAATTTCAAATTATCTTACGTAGTGATGTTTCAATCATTAATTTTTATTTATACCCCCGTCAGTTCGGACCCTGACGAGGACCTCGAGATACGTACCTCAAGATCCTGAAAATCCTCTTTTAACCTCGAGCTGCCGAGACGGAGCCTCGTCGACCCGACGTGGAAAGTCAAGGGACTCTTTCGGCCGGAGATGGCCATATCGAATGCAGAAAGCACGATATATGCTTCCGGTGGCGGGTGGGTCGGGTGTTGGTCGGTGGGGCCTCTTGGACGAGCACATAGGCGACACGAGTGTTCCCTCGTGTCTTGGAGAGCCATGAATACGCACGAGCACGCCCGTGTGCCACGCAGGTACTCCCGGGTACACTCGGATACCCGCAGGTGCGCGCACGCGCGTACGCACGGCCGTGATTGCCCGCCAGTGTTGGTCGCAGCGTCGCATTGTTTATAGCCACTTCTCCTCTTTCCCGACAAGAGGGCTGCTGAATACAAATTGGCCGAAGAGAGGTCCGAGCCGGGAGACGCTCGTGGACGTCGCCGGTCGACGGGGTTACGGCCGGGACTCCCTCGCTGGTCGGCACAATTACGGATCGAGAACGAGAGGAACCCGGGAACCCAGGAACCCAAGAGCCCAGAAACGAAAGAACTTTCACCCACCCCGGGGAATAAAAGGCTGGAAGTCTTGGAATCCTAGGATCGTCCTGACGACGACATCCTAATTCAGGATCTCCGGCTTTCAGATATAACAGGGAGGTTTTTAGGAAGACTTGGATTTTTTTAGATTTAATTAAGAGACGTGGTCGGGTTTTTTTTTTAAGGTTTAATTGGTAGACAGTAATTCGTAGAAATTAGGTATCGTCTTAGGGACGCGTCCGTGGAGGAGCTTCGAGAGGTTCTTAGGTTCCGATTCCTGCAGTTCTTGATCTCATCTCCGTGGAGGGGGCTCGGCAGAATTGTGTCGATTAGCGCGAACGTAAGGAGACCCGGAGGCATCCAGGACGGATTCAACCGCAGGACACGTGTCGGGGAGCCAGACCTCGCCGTAGCCAAGTCGCGTGCGGACATTCCTCGCACGATTTATCGGGGAGCCCCTACTTTTACTACCTCCCTGCCGAGACTTAGCGATTCTCCTTCTCTCTCATTCCTAAGGATGAATTCGCGGTGCCCATGTCGCCACTTTAATCCCCGTTTCCCAGATTTTGTCGGCTCCTCCGGAAGCCACACCTAGAGAATAACCATCTTCCTGACTTATAAAAAAAAATTCCCGTACTCATTCTCGTATTCCCTTTTTTTAGTTAACTATCGCCGCATTTGTCTATTCGAAGAAACTTGGAATAATCGCGGAGGAGATCCCATTTGCCCGATTCTTAGGACTTGGAATCGGTGCAATGGGTGTTTCGTCCTCAAGTGGCATTAAATGTGGCGCGCGTTATAAATTGGGATAATATTCGAGGTAGCGCACCCATGGCACGTGCAAGGTAATGGTAACGAAGGTCATCGGGGGTCTTCCATAGATCTTGTTTGGAAGTCGTTAAAGCCCTCTTCCCGGAATTTCTCGTATATCGGGGTAAAGATCGCATCGCGCCGCGCTCACCGCCTCCCAGGATCCTGTCCGCTTTGCAATTCCGATCTTGCACCTCGATAATTCCCTCCAGCGGCGATGCGGCCCGCGTTCGTTTTCGGTACCGTTTCCAACCACCGACCGCTCTTCGGCCAGGTCGGCTCCGTTGCCCTTCCTCGGACGCGGAAGGAAATTCTGTCCCTTTCGTGCGAAGGGAGCCCAGCCCGGGGTCGAAGAGAAAATGCCCTCCCGGAGACCGTCATCCTGGAATTTCACTTTGTCGATGCTCGAACAAAGGCCCCTGTATATAATCAAGCAACCCTTTTCTTTCCAGCCTCCACCTCCCTGGGACCGTCGCAAATATTCTAGAAATGCGAGACACGCTAGCACCCAGGAAATCCCAAAGGATATTTGCGACAAGGGATATATCTTAGATCACTTTAAAAGGGCATCCTTATCCTTGGGTACCATGTAACTATGCTTTCCGTTTTAATATCCCATGTGGCAGGATTGCGATTAATTCCCTCGTCGCATTTTATAGGTACCGGGAACACCAGCATGGATGGCTCCCACAAGCCCAGTTTCTTGACGGACCAGGAACTTAAGCACTTGATCCTGGAGGCTGCCGATGGGTTCCTCTTCGTCGTCAGCTGCGACACCGGAAGGATCATCTACGTTTCGGACTCGGTGGCGCCGGTTCTTAATTATTCTCAGAGCGAGTGGTATGGTACCAGCCTCTACACGCAAGTACATCCCGATGACACCGACAAGGTTCGGGAGCAACTCAGCACCGCCGAGCCGCAACATGCCGGCAGGGTGTTGGATCTCAAGACCGGCACCGTGAAGAAGGAGGGCCATCAGAGTAAGCCAACGAGTCGTTGTACGATTGTATTACAAAGCAGTCCTCGGGGAACGGCACCTACGTTTTGTAAACAGCCTTTAATCGCTGCGATTAAACGATCGTTAACCATGGACCCTTTCCAGCCTCCATGAGAATGTGCATGGGCTCTCGGAGAGGCTTCATCTGCCGGATGAAGGTCGGAAATCTCCAGACGACGGGCGACATGGCCGCCGCTCATGGTCTTCATCGCATGAAACAGAGGAACTCCCTCGGACCTCCTGCCAAGGATGGCCAGAGTTACGCCGTCGTACATTGTACGGGGTACATCAAAAACTGGCCCCCTACCGGTGAGTTCGGTACAGATGCCAATCCCTTGTATCCGATACTCTTCCCGTTGCTTTTAGTTACGCGTATTGGTTTCCTCCCGAGCTGAGATAACACCTTATCATCGGTGTCGGACCTTGTTAGCTTTCGGCCAGGTTATAGCTAAAATCGTGTACCTCGATGAGACTCATCAGGGGACTTCCTGACGCGAAACCCTGACCTAGTCGTCATCTGCGATGTTTACTCTAGATTTGATGTCAGTTTTGAGAGGATCCCAGTGAATCTCCTTTTGAGTCTCCGATCGGATGTGCCTGCAGGTAGGGGAGGAAAGTACGCGATGTAGAGATCGGTGAACTCGATGGTTGTCGGGTCGGAACACTTACCATTATATACCAGTCAGGAGCCGCAACCTAACTCATGGTTTTACGCTGTAGGTGATTTTGTTCCCCCGTGTGTACAAGGTGTGGGTTTAGGTGACAGGGGGGCCGGCGGCGTCCAAGGTGGCCCTGATGGCTCAGGAGAGGATAACGTCACACATTGTTGTCTCGTCGCGATAGGAAGATTGCAGGTCACTAGCACACCAAATACTAGTGATTTAACGGGTTCGAATAGCAATAATGGTAAGACCACGGACGAATCGATCGGGGGGGCCTTGTTAATAATATCGACAATTCATCTACTCATTTATTCCCCTTACAGAATTTATATCGCGTCACTCTGCGGAAGGTAAGTTTACCTTCGTCGACCAACGAGTGGGCGGAATTTTGGGTTACACGCCTTCGGAACTCCTGGGCCATCCGTGCTACGATTTCTTCCATCCGGAAGACCTGACGCACATGAGGGAAAGCTTCGAACAAGGTAAACGACATGTGGAAATATTTCTTTACCACGGCGGAGGAGAAAGATTAATTTTAACCGAGTCTTCCGCTTTCAGTTTTGAAACTGAAGGGTCAAGTGATGTCCGTTATGTACCGATTTCGGGCAAAAAACCGCGACTGGGTGTGGCTGAGAACCTCCGCCTTCGCGTTCGTCAATCCATATAGCGAGGCTGTTGAATACATCGTTTGTACAAATACAACTGCTAAGTACGTTCCACTGGGGTGGCGTCATAAATTACGGAAGTATCATGGATGCTTTATCGGTTGACTTGTAATTATTAACCGCAGATCTATGCATCCTGGAAGCGATGGGCAAGCCGAAATAGAAGCTGTTCCTGCTTACGGGCAACCTGGGATAGATTACTCCCTTCAAAGACACCCGACGAGGGATCCCATTTATCCCACACATCACATGATGCAACACCCGGCAACGGTGACCGCTCCAGTGACGGGTAAAATATACGCAGAGATCGTTGTTGCTTCACAGGTAACTCTAATTCTAACGACGATTCGACTTCCAGGTCCACAGCAAGCCAGGCCTTCTAGTGCGCAGAATGTGTATCAGGGGTACGAAACTACTCAGTCACCGATAGCATATGGATCACCTGGGCAGCAAAGTGCATCCTCGTCGGTCTTAAGCAGGATCCAGAAACAGGGGAACACCTCGCCGACTCCTGTTCAGCAAGCCTGGGCTATGCGACAGGTAGGATCTGCAATTCTCGAGGAAGAACTAAAGCAATGGAGAGAATTGAATTATTTTCTCGTCGCTTGCAGCAACCGGTAACAGAGGGTTACCAGTACAATCAATTGAGCCCGTCAAGATCACCTAGTGGACCTACTTATACTCAGCTCAATAGCGGAGCCAGGACACCTGCTGCACAGTACCATGGCGTTACAACGGTGCCCAATAATCCTGGTGAATATTTTTTTCCTATTTTGATTAGATGATTTAGTTGCAGCGTTAAACGACTTCCTTATTTTTCAGGCATGTGGGGATGGCAGGGTCAGCAGCATCCAGCAGCTCAGCCGGATGGACAATCTTCTGCTCAGGTGGCTGGTCAACCCCAGCCTCCGCATGCGGCGCAAGGAGGCCCTGGTCCTCAGCCTCAGGAACTTTCGGACATGCTGCAGATGCTTCAGGACCAAGGTGGTGCGTCCGGGTTCGAGGAGTTAAACATGTTCAATACTAACTTTGAGTAGCGTTAGGAAGGAGAGTGTCACTGGATGATTTGTAACGTTCGAACGATGCTACCGCTGCTGTGAGGATACCCGCGAGTCTCGAGGAAACAGCACCACTTTCACTCCCGCAACTTGGTTAGTGCGAAGGTTTGTATCTACGTAGTTCCTGGAAGCTAATCTCTTGTCCGACCATTTATTTCAAAATAAGAATAACTACAGCTGACGCGCGACAAACGAGCCGACGAGTCGCAATGTGCGAGTCCCACGTACGGGAAGTCGCAAATCTAATTTTCACCAAGACTTGGGTATGGTAATTCCGCTGCGACTCCGTAATCGAGATCGCGGAGGGATTCATAAAATGTACATTTGGACTTGGAAAAGTAATCACGATCCGCGCGGGGTCGTTTGTTATGCATTTAACAATAGCGACTATTGAGAAAATATATACATACCTTTTTTTTTTTGCGAAAGTGCCATTAAAACATGCGGAGTAGTTACGTTATTTGTATATCTAAGAATACAAACTGGTCTAAACTACCGAAATCCATTGACTTGTTATTAGACGGATGGGTCAACAAAGGGTGTACGCTTCTACTTTATTCACGGCAGTGTAGATAACTACGGTCTAGTATTTTAATAGTTAAATACAGCACATACAAAGATGAACACGAACTTTCAGACACTTCTCCACCTGATTTAGAAAAGGTCGCATCTCAATATTCGGTAAATATACAGGTAACTGCATTTCCGGTATCAGTGGACTTCTCGGCGCTTAAGGAAACGTCACGACGTATTAAGCATGTTCGACGTAGTGACGGTCAATGTCACGACAGATGTGACGTTCTTAATGGCGTTGTTGGTTTATGCAAGGCATCTTCGTTCCAAACGTATTCCGAGTTTAGTATTCGTCATGCAAAAGGTGTAGTGTAAACGATAAGGAAAAAAAGATATTTTTCAACTTCTGAATTGAATCTACGTAATTCATCATAATTTTAATATAATCTTATCATTAGACGTCTAAGACTAGCTTAATTATTTTAATTATAAGTTTTGTAATTATAAACCGTGCAATCACTACTCAACATTCGACGAAAGCTGCTCGAACTTGACGATGTACAAAATTATGTAATTCACTTTGCTTCTCTGTACAAGACACCATTTTTAGGTACTCTTGAGGAAAAAAAATATATAGATAACTTTGCGTCTAAAGGTGACTGTATTTGTAAGCAACCATGTGCGAAGTGGTGTTTTTGTATATGTTTAGTGTGTTCTAAATGAGAAATTGAACAAAATTATAGCATATCATTAGAAATCAAGAACATTATTTCATTGAAACATGGAAACTTCTTATCGCAATGCTTGCGACTACTCTGTGCAAAAATTGGCAGCGATGCAGAGCAAGGAAATTTAATTTGTGAATAATGCGCGTTTCTCTTACTCTACTAAGTACAGTACAGCAATTTTTACGTGATGTAACTCTCTCTAATTTGAGACCCGTCATTTCATTACTAATACCCACAGCATCTCACCACGTTACGTGATAGAATTTTCATGAATGCAGGAGAAATCAAAATAAATAGTAATTCAACAGAAGGCACATAAATCATATTATTCCTTCAACCATAATGTGAAATTAAAACAAAAAGTGTATTTTATCTGGCAAAGAATTTCTACAGTTTTAGTTTAACCGCCGATAATGTATTTTGATCATTTTTGGTCACTTTAGGTGCTTTCGATTTTATTTGACTTCGCACTTGATCCTGCAACTGATTAAAGAATGCAGTAGAAGATTTTGACACTTTCTGAGTTGATTCGTTCATTTTTAGTACGTTACGCGCTTTGCTTAATTTCGCTTTCGCGCTGTTTAATTTATTTTTCTTCAGCTTATTCTTAAGGCTTGGTTTAATGTCATCGGTTTCCTTTCTTTCCTCCTTAGCTTTATAATGTTTGCGTTGCTTAAGTTTCTTCTGACGTCGTTCACGTTTTTTATCTGCATCGGTTCGTTCAGACTTCCCAATAATATCACCGCGTGGTTTGTCTGAAAAGAAATCAAACGATCATTTTATAAATTACAGTTTTAAATCAGAACGCGATTTTATGCTTAGAAATCAATTCTAAAATTAAATATTTTAACGAATCATTATAAATGATTTACCCTTAATTTCTTCCGGAGCAAGAAGGGTCATGTCACTGGTAGCCACTGGAGCAACTTCTTCCATGTTAATAGCAGGAATGTTACTAACAATCTTAACATCTGGCTTGGCCTGAAAATATTGGTAAAAATTATTAATACTTCGAATGCATAAATGTTCCTCTTACAAGTAAAAAATATTTCAAATTTCGTCTATATACCATTTTCGGAGTAAAGTGGTAGTTTGACAAAGCGTCCAGTTGTGCAAATAAAGTTTTCATCTTCTCTCGAATTTCAGTATGTGCTTTGGGTTCTTCTTCTTCTTTTTCTTCATGTTCAGGATCAAGTGCTTGCTTCTGTTTTAGATACTCCTCCTCGTAAATTTGGGCTAAACTACGTTTACTTTTTTCTTGATCCATAACTAATTTCTTTTTATACTCTAGGGGTGTTTCTATGGGTTTAAATTTCTTTTCTACGTCGTCCCATGCTTTATCTTTTATCCTTTGTTTTATTATGTCTTCAAGTCTAACTGTAGTTTGTTCCGTGATTAGTGGAGGTGGACGTGTTGCGACATCAAATTCTACATACTCTTGAAGAAGAGAATTATATGGTCTACTAACTGCATTTACTTCTCCTTTTAATTGCCATGGTTTTTCGGTAAGAGCTTCTTCTTCCAGCTCTTTAATTTTTTTCTTCAATCTATCCTGACGAGCCTCGAGCGAAGATTTAGACACCAAATTCGTATTTTCTTCATTTTCATTTTTATTTTCCTCTGCACTATCAGAGTCATCTGAAGCATTTGTTAAACTGAATTTCACACGTTTGGTTTGAGTAGTCCCTACTTCGGTATTCTTTTCTGAAAAAGCATCATCTTCACTAATGTCTGAGCCTAATTGCATTTTATCGTCATCTTCATTGATAGAATTCTCTATATTATTTTCTACATTTGCAACATCTCTTTCCGGACTGTCAAAAAAGGATGCATATTTTACGAGCCTTGCATCTTCTGCCTCCTTCTGTTCTTCTTCAGAAAAATCATTGAAATAGTCAACCGATTCGTCATCGGACTCATCCGTACTCTCTGCTTTAGTGTGTAATTCTTTCCTGTCCTCTTTTTTTAAATACTCATCTAATTCTTGTAATTTAAAAAACTTGTCATCCACTATCGATGACTTTTGCTTACGCTTCTTATTAACACGTGTAGTTTCTACCTTTTCTTCCGCTATCGTATCATGTACCTCGGACTCATTTTCTGGTACATCAGAAACTGCACAATCTTCACTTTCATTATTATCAGATATAGTTTCATTTTTTTTCACACTGATAGGTAGAGTTAACAAACCAGTTGATGCTAATGCTATTGACACATTCTTTAACAAACGACTCCATTCAGCTCCATTTTGCAATTCTATTTGTTGCCAGATTTGCTCTTCATCAAAGCCATTTGTTATGAGCGTCGGCAAAGCACTGTTTTCCTTTTCTGACTCCTCTTTGGTAAAATCATACAAAATTTTTACACACTTCTGAAACTCATCGGCAACATCTTCTTGTAAACTGTAAAAATTACTTCAGACATAAATATTCAAGATTGAATGCAATTTAATTATATATTTAGAATATATCTCGTTTTACACAGGAGTACTACTACTAAAATATTGTAAAGGTAAAACGGTAAGAAGAGAACAAATTACTACAGACCTTAGGAACCGTTCAGGTTTTTGTGTCCTATCGTCAACTGTTGATATGACATTTTCTAATATATTTATTGTAGCCATTCTTAGAGTTCTGCATGTAAGAAATTTGACAGGTTATAACATGAGGTCACATGCACACAAATTACATCGCGTTAAGTCACGGCTTGAAGTACAATGCTAGAAATAATTCATGAACAAATTCATGAAGCAAACCATAGAGAACAGTTGGGAGATTGCTCACAGGCAGGGTCGTGCAATCGATCCTGTGCTGCCCTCTGTATACATAGTTGATTAAAAAATTTCAAAATTGATTATTAGAATTTGGGGATTATATGGTGATTAGGATTTTGTGATAGTCGGGAGTCCTCAATTACGGTACCGTCGCATCTCCCGGTCGACACCTGACCGCAGATACCTAAAAAAGGTACCCTTGTACTTCTTTTGCATCATCTTATAATTATGGATTTTCCGTTAAGGTGACGAGAAAGAGGCAACCGGGGGGTCGGTTGATAAGGAAATTTTTCAAAAACTAGGTGTACCTAATCGTTTGAAATTTTATAACGTGAGTATAAAGACCCTGAAAAGGGATTCCATAGCAAAAAATTCCGTCATTATAAAAAAATTCCAAAATTGGAATATACAAAGGTGTGATAAGGAACTGCGCATGCGCATGACGGGGTCGGGGATCGTATATAAGGCCGAGCGCGCCCTCGGAGCGTCATTACCCTTTGGTCTTCCGAAGGGTAAACATCGGGGTACCTGCTTCGACCGTCGCTCTCACACACAAACACACACTTGTATGTATGTGGGGCCCTATTAGGGTCCGGTTCCACCCTCGAGTTAACTGGAGTTTAACTTATTTAACCCCAACTTTAACCTACGGTTAAATCTAACGGTTAACCTCAGTTTTAACCTACGGTTAAATCTAACGGTTAACCTCAGTTTTAACCTACGGTTAAATCTAAAGGTTAACTCGTTTTAACCAACGGTTTAACCTAACGGTTAAAAATCAAACTTCGGTTAACTTGGTTTGTGAAACCGGGCCTTCTGGGAGACATCCCCTCTCACTTCCGTTCTCTTTCTTAATATATTTAATTGAATTTATTACGTTTGTAACGGGCTTCGGTGCGCAGCAACCTCCACGTGGTGAGCCTGGGGGATCGGTGGTTTCCAACTATCGTTGAAAACCCCCGATCCGCAAATAGCTGCGTGAGTGATTCCACTTAGCGTGTTTTTTTTTTGTATGACAGTAGCTTAACGTAGTTAAAAGTGGAAGCACTCATTGCGTGCGTGCGTAATTGTAAATTGCAGACAGGAAGTTGTCGGGTACGTTTCCATGCAGCTAGTAATTCCGGATTTGCGTGCTAATCGAAGTAGATTTTTGCACGGCGATGCCGTACCTTTAGTGTGTCCGGCAGCTTCCGTCGGCACCCAGTACGTCGTAGCTTAGCTACGGCGTGCAAGGCTACCTGGCTCAGGTTGTCGGTCGCGCGATACGTTGTTTCGCTCTGGCGGCATCCCGCGGGGGCTCTGCCTGCTGTAAGCCGGGACAAGCCCGTCGACTGAAACTCGTATTCGCGGGCCGACAGCCGAGCCGGGTTAGTCGTCGGTGACGGTGGAAGCTGCTGGATTGTTCGCGTTAGAAGTAGTATGCCCTTCCGGCAAATTATATCCGAAATTCTATGCCAATTGGTAATGTACTCTGCAACTTACCCTGTAGTTTGCGGCGAGCGTTGTATGGACGGATGAGTATGGTATGCGAGTGGTGTGTTGTATGGACGGATGCGTATTGTATGCGAGTGGTGTGATGTATGGGTTATGAAATCCTGGTTCTGTGAGTTCCTGGGACGCCGGGAACTCAACGGAACTAGGTGCCTATGCTTAGGCGGGTCCCAATCACAGCGGCCTCCTCGTGGCGGGACCTGGGGGATCGGTACCATCCTTATGGGATGACACCGATTCGCGAACTAGCTGTGAAGTAGAATTTAATTAAGATATCCCGATTGCGCGAGCCCCTACCAGAAATTCGTTGCCCCGTCCTTGGCGAAAAAAACGGTGATAGCTGACGTACGAAGTCAGAGGGCAGCACAGGATGTGATCGTGCGACCCTGCCCGTGAACAATCTCCCAACTCAACTCTGGTTTGAAGTGCAATGTTAGAAGTAATTCATGAAGCAAACCATACCCTGACTAAAGTACCCCAAATAATTATTTAGTTCTTTACAGTGAATTACTAGGAATACATTACGTCTCTTCGTAGCCTATGGTTTTGGAACGCACCTTTACTATTTCCTGGTCTGCTGGAGGTGAATTGTCTCGGCCAATCACAACGCGACAGCACTAAACAGGTCTCGTGCGTATCACCGCTTACCGCTTTCCGACAAAGGCCACGTCTTCGGAAGAGATCATTTGGGAGTATAGTTTATTATAAGTTGAATCGTCGATGAAACCGCGTTGGACGATGTTGTTAAGGTGTTTAACTCTCTGCCTTTTGGTCCTGGGAGGCTGGGCCGCTGAGGAAGACGTATTTGAGTGGACGGATGATGATTTCATTCACGAATTGGATCGACATGAAAATACTCTCGTCATGTTTTACGCTCCCTGGTAAGAATTTACGTTATTTCGAGAGCCACGCATATTCGGATTTGTCCGAAAATGCATGCGTAAAAGAATCGTCAATTATTCATTACCGAAAAATTGCACGATTCTCTGTACTTCTCTCATCATTTGAGGTATGAGTCGAAAAGGTACCTTTAACAATGCCGGTAATTTTCTCGCTTGATTTGATTCTACATTTACCCTAGTTTAAGTTAATGCAGGTCAGTGAAATTTATTATACGGATCGTAGGTACTTTGAATCTGAAGTATTTATTATGCTAAGTATTCAACCTGTTTTATTAGGGCCTTGGATTTCAGTGTTTTTATAATCTCATGACGTATTTGTAATTTCAGGTGCGGGCATTGTAAAAGATTGAAACCAGAATATGCTAAAGCAGCCGAATTACTTAGGGGCAATGACCCACCTATTACATTGGCTAAAGTAGACTGCACCGAAGCTGGCAAGTCTACGTGTACCAAGTACTCGGTCAGTGGCTATCCGACCTTAAAGATATTCGCTAAAAGTGATCTCGTCAGTGATTACAATGGACCGAGAGAAGCTGCTGGCATTGCTAAATACATGAGGGTTTGTAAATATATCGTTCATTATTTTGTACTTCTACTGTCTATTTTACTCGAATATTTATTTCTTAGGGACAAGTTGGTCCAGCTTCAAAGGAACTAATTAATGAAGATTGTCTGAAATCCTTCTTGGAATCCGACGATGTGGCAATTGTTGGATTCTTTGAAAAAGCAAACTCAAAATTAGCCGAGTCCTTCCATGCTGTTGCTAAGAAATTGAGAGAAAAGGTTCGATTTGCTCATACATCGGCTGCAAGTCTTTTAGAAAAGGAAGGGTTCAAGTAAGTCTAATTTCAAGACTTGCATATTTATTTATTTTCTGATAATACTATAATCTACATATTTTGTTATTTCAGGGACAATATTGTTCTCTATCGACCCAAGATACTTCAAAACAAATTTGAACCCAGTAAGGTTGTTTTTGAAGGAGGCAATACAATCAGCGATGTTCATGAATTCATTGTCAAAAACTAGTAAGAATTTTAATCATGTTCTGAGTAAAAGAATTTTTAAGGTTTCAAATAACTTTTATTAAGATAGATGTAACAACGAAAATAATTTTTTCAGCTTCGGTATCGCAGGTATTCGAACTAGGGACAATGCAGCTGAGTTTAAAAATCCATTGGTTGTGGCGTATTACAATGTGGATTATGTGAAGAACCCAAAGGGCACAAACTATTGGCGTAATCGTATCATTAAGATTGCCAAAGATTTCTCTCAATTTAATTTTGCAGTCGCATCAAAAGACGACTTCCAACATGAACTGAACGAATTTGGAATCACTTTCACAACGGGTGATAAACCAATCGTACTCGCGCGTGACAGCAAAAACCAGAAATTCAGTCTTAAAGAACAATTCTCCGTTGAGAACTTTGAAGCTTTCTTGAAAGATTTGGTAGCTGGAAATCTTGAACCGTATGTTAAATCAGAACCCATACCTGAAGATAATTCAGGTAATGTCAAGGTTGCCGTCGCACAGAACTTCGATGAGATTGTGACGAATAATGGCAAAGATACTTTGATCGAGTTCTATGCTCCATGGTGTGGACACTGTAAAAAATTAGCTCCCGTCTTTGACGAGTTGGGCGAAAAACTCGCAGATGAAGACGTCGAGATTGTGAAGTACGATAGTACTGCCAATGATGTACCACAGCCGTACGATGTTACAGGATTCCCAACACTTTATTGGGCTCCTAAAGATGCCAAGTCTAGCCCTATTAGGTACGAGGGAGGAAGAGAGCTTGATGACTTCATTAAATACATTGCTAAACATTCCACTGATGGATTGAAGAATTATGATCGTAAAGGAAAGCCTATTAAGGCTCCAACCGACGAGCTGTAAATTTTGTAGGAAGTGCGTGAGATCTTCAATATGTTGTGAATTTGATCTCGTGATACAAATTTGGAACGAGAGTCGTATCATGTAACTTAGGTTTCAATATATAAGTATAATATTAAGTCTTGTATAAAGATACTAAAGACGAGAATGTAACGAATCATTGAAAAATCACAGTCAATCTGATGTCTTTGAAGGGGTGATGGAATTTGAGAGCGTGATGTAATTATTTTTTATTGCTTTACTCTTTATATCAAGGTAATGACAAATGTATTTGAAAGTACTTGTTAAAATGACAGAGACCAAATTCGATTTTGGTAAGAGATTCTGCATTTTATTAGAATATCGCTAATAACAAGCCAATGTTATTTTGTGATATGTCTATTAAGAAATTATGCAAGAATGCACTCTAGGAACTGACTAATTTACAATTACTCATAATTGCCTTCCATGATTACCAATATACGTGTAATATTCCATTCCAACTCAGATGACTGACGGATTATGCAAAATATGCTCATTTTTGTTTGTAAGAAAAGCGCATAATAAACTGTTTTATACTTTATCCAAGTTTAATTGTTGACGAAACATTCCGATTACATATTCAATAGATATGTATTATAAATACAAAGTATATGCCAACCATCAATTCCAAGGTAATATCATTAAAAGAAAATACTTTGTCAGTGATAATTTACAACCCGACGTTTTCTCTTTTTGGTTATTCAATCGCAACGGAATAAAATGGAAGTTCCAGTGAGGGTATCAATTACCGTCTTGTATAAGACTCATTATTCTTTATGTCAAAAAACACTTCTATTTAAAATTCTATGATTTCAAAGAATCATTTTACATGCACATATTAAATCATAACCCCTTCATTTTCTACTGTGTATTTATAAAATACGGTCACGCACAAAATGAATGTTTACCTCGTAAAGGACTTACGAAAACAAACTGTGTACTTTTCGAAGAATTATGTTTTACTTCCTTTTAATGCAGTCTGCAAACAACGTGATGTTTACGGTAACAAGATGGTCACCTTGAGACATTGCAGCACATTGCAGACAGTGCAGTGTAAGATACAGAGATGAGTTGGGAGATTACTCACGGGCAGGGTGGCGCGAACGCATCTTGTACTGCCCTCTGGTTTCGTACGTTAGCTTTCACCGTATTTTGCCCCCAAGGGCGGCGCAACGAATTTCTGGTAGGGGATCGCGTGTGCGCGAGCTCCTATCAGAAATTCGTTGCGCCGCCCTTGGGGGCAAAATACGGTGAAAGCTAACGTACGAAACCAGAGGGCAGCACAGGATCGATCGCACGATCCTGCCCGTGTGCAATCTCCCAACTCATCTCTGTAAGATATTTTAAATTTCTGCCGATTTCCCTCTATCAGTGCGCATGCGTGTTAATGCTTGAAGAATGGATAGCAGATTACGTGTAAGATTCTCTAGGAATATTATCGGAGGGGCGAGGGAGGAGAATGGGGAGAAGACCACACGTTTGTCAGGGATGAGAATATCGTTCTCACTCTTTATTTAGGAGGTTAGAATAAGCGAGAAAGAGACAGTCTGGTCTCTCGTTGGGTATGGTGGGAGTGAAGAATCGGGTACCCGTGAATTATACCGAATTCCACTTCTCTTCCGTGATTCGTGATGCGCTGATGTACCTAATGTGGCGCTGCCGTAGGCCAGATTCACGGACGAAACGGAACGGATTATTTTTGTTTGAGAATCCAGCAGCCATATTTTAGTACTCCGATACGGTTTTCGTAATTTCCTGAGTGTCAAAATTTCTAAGTACTTGCTTATCGGAGAACAAGACTGAAAATGACCCGTAAGTCCTATAAACCGTTAATTCCCATTTGTGACATTGACCAATCATGTTCGATGAGAAGAAAAAAATTCTCCTGTTTACGCGGTGTTGTCCTTCGAATGAAATAGTTTCTATTAAGTTACTTATTTTGCCTATTATTTGTTTTTATTGGTGGCTGTATGTTTGATTGTTGATACAACAGCAGTTTCCTTGTCACAAAAGCATTGGCAACATTTTATTGAGAGCTATATAGCCCTCATATTTCTTTTTCTTTAAGGATTATCCAGTTCTGTAGTGTTTCCTTTATTACTCCAATTAATATCGTTTAATTAGTAAACTATGAGACCCTGTGACATTATTGCATTAATATAGGCTTCTACTAGGTCACAAGGTTTCCAGTTAATACTTATCGTTTAATATGTTTCAATCAATTTTTTGTAACTACAATTGTTCTAGAAAATTCGAAGATGTTCTCTAAACTATGTGTACAAAATTTGTGGGAGTTGCGTCAGGAACGGATTAAGTTTCAAAAATTCCTAGTTGTGAATATCAGTTGTTATTTAGACTCAATGATTACTTAAGTCGATGGTAGTTTCTGTGCCGCTTTAATAATGCTTTTGTAGGACATATTTAAATAATGAAAAATACTCTACATGGTTTTACTTTTAATTTGATTAGGTGGCAATCAACGTGAATTGGCACGAGCCAAAAACATGAAAAAAACAGCTAAGAAAGCTGCTGGAGAGCAAGATAGTAATAAAGGGCTCTCTTTGGAACAACGGAAAGCACGGTAGGCATAAAAACTATATCTTCATAGCACCTGCACTAAATTTTGTGTACTTTTCATGAAAAATAAGAAATAAAAAGATTCGCAGGTAGCATGTGTTACATAACATTAATTCAAGTGACATGCGGGAAATACCATTATGATACAAATATCAAATGTAATTAGGTGGAAGTGAAAATTGTAACACTCTGTATTGGTTGAGTAATATCATTATAATTATTAAAAAATATTTCTTACTACAGAGACGCTGAACGAATGAGAGAAAAACAACTTAAAAAACAAGACCATCCAGAAAAAGCTAAAGAGGGAGCAAGATAATTTTTACGAAAGATTTTATAAATTTGAAATCTACCACCGATATTGAATTTGACAATTGTAATTACGACATCAATCATCGTGGAACGCCAATAATATTTGTTGGGGAATTCAGTATAGTAATTTAATTATTAGTCAATTTCTTCTGTTAACAACGGTGCACCGCAATATACCATAGTATGATGAAGTATTTGTTGTATACTTGTACCTGTATTATTTAATTATTACCTGATACGAAAGGTACTAGAAATGTGTATAAAATTATCTTTATATGTGCAGACCAGTCGTCAATGAGGGATGCATTTGACTGGTGCATTTAGCAGTAAGGTCATCGAGTACATAAAGTGGTATATTTAATGTGGTTTCATATATGTAAATTGAACTTCTTCAATTATTTAAATCATTGTACAATGTAATAGAACAAGTAGAAAGGATAGCATATGCAACATACTTTGGTCACTGTTTAGGTAATAATAAATCCTTCAAATATTATCACAGAAATTATGTTATCGTCAAGACGTTTATTTCCTAATCATAACTTAACTCTCATAGACATAAGCAGTTTAAAAACTTTATATATTAAAAATGTTAGTAGGTTGAAAATATGAATGTCTGAACAAAAGTACGTTTTCCGTTATTTCTCATATTTTTTATTGCACTTTCCCAAAAAGAGTACATTTCTCAAGACAGTTTGACGTGCGATTTTCAATTCTTTAGTATTAATATAATTACGTCTACTTTGAAAGTTGTATAAAGATTACAGGTATATTGAAAAATGTATGAAATACCAAACTAACAAATTGACCTCGAGGACTTGCCAAGGAAGACCGATTAATGATTTGAATATGGGAAAGAAAACATCTTTAAAATTACTAAAAGTTGTATTAAATACTGGAAATATTCCCTAGCCTCTAAGGACCAAAACCCTTACTTAAGTAAACTTTTAATAATTAAAACTAATAAAATTCATTACCTAATTCTTAAAGATAGTCATTAATTACATACATATCTTGCTGGTATAATGTAACATATTTTGGCATTCTAAGTTTCCTATGTAAGCCGATATATTTATTCAGTAACCCTTGTCTCCGAATTTGTAACACGTAGAATGGCGGTAAGTCAGTCGTTGTAAAATTGTACTCTTAGTTCCTGTCAAAAGAATAAGAAAACAAAGCTGGATGATGTTACTTTTCTGTGGCACAAGGATCAGTAGCGTTGACTTAGTAAACGTATTAATGCCATTTCTTCACAATCATCGATAGAGTTTTTGTAATTTGTACAACACATGATCTAACGAGTATTTCATACGTTTTCTAATTGCGTCTTTGTATTTAAAATTTCAAGACAAGGGGCAACAAAATAGACCGAAATTATGGTATTTAACTTCGCCACGCATATGTTTAACACTATACAGTTGTTTGCCATTCATTTGGCGTCAGCGTATGTCTTACGTCGATTTATTAAACCACGTCGAATGTTAAACTTATCGTATAAAGTGTTAAAATAATCGTGCATTCTCTTCGGAAGAAATTTATTTAAAAAGCACGACGCGCGACCAAATAGGAACTCATTTGGATTCATCTCACTTCGTAGAAAAATTAATTCTTACAGTTATTAAATTGTTTAAAGAATTGTCAGGAGATACAAAAAGTGTCCTTAAAAGTTGTTAACGTATGACCGTATGTGAATAATAGGTAGCATAGCCACAGTAAAGAAAACATTATTTGGACAGAAATTCATTATCACCCAAAGAAGAAAACGTATCTCGGTTCTTTAAAGGAAGAATTATCAATGACATCGTTGGCACTCAAATAGTTCTGCATTCGACTTAACTGAGCACCAACGTACTTATTTTCATCTACTTTAATGACAATTATTCGTGGAAGGATCGTAACCAAACGAATGCAGCCAATAATTCCTTATAACTGTACAACAAAATTAATAATAATCACTTCAACGATATTCCTTAAATCTTAGTAATCGACCGTCTGAAAATCGTAGGACAGGCGATAGAATGTATTCATTTAAGTCGTTGTAAACTACCGCAAAGCGAGTAATTAGCCTAGCAATGCTCTGATAATGTTTTCACGAAAATGGAATACATATAGCTTTATAGTAATTATCGCGGTACGTTACAATGTAATTATTGCTTAATTCTATTTCGATGATGCATTGAATTTGCACAAAACACATAAGAGCATAGTTTCGATTAGATAGATTGACGGATGCATTATTTTCGTAATTGTAGCATAGTACGGATGCTGATCGGGTTTGCACAGTATTCACTTATATCAACGTTATGTATACTATTAGCACCAACCTGCATTATTTATAGGCAAATAAGTGTTGCAAATCATTACCGCTGTTATTGTACGATAACGTCATCGTATACTTCTGCATAGAATCCAAAGAAAGTATTCGGTTAAATTATATTGAAAAGACTTCATTGTCCATCCTTCGCAACTATTTCGTCCCACGCAGCACTTCTCAATTTCGCCACAGATATTAATTAAGATACTTTTGCTTTCTGTTGGACCAATTTATACGAGAATTGAGTCAATGACTTTGGCACGTTTATCCAGCAAAAAATCGACTGCTATATCACATATCTACCATTTAGCGAATAACTTGAACGATCCTGAATCACAGGGTGTGGAAGTATCTAACGGAGAACAAAATTCAACATTACCGTAGACATAAACATTCCATTGATCCCTACACATTTTGTGCATATTCGATATCCACTTATAACAATGCCTTCTCGGTGTTCCTTTAGAGGCTCCTTAACAAATTAATAACATAGACGTTTGGTTGAACGACGTGACGTATAACTGTACTACGGGAACGAAACTAACGCTCTCTAGCTGTAACATATTGCATTAATGATCGAAATAATGGAAACGTAAAGGATTAAACATATTAGGGAGGATTGCATGTGTCTTCAGGATATGTGATGTAACATTGCAGTATTCCTAGGACCGAGCAAAGCTATTTGGACCATTACGGCGTTTCTAAATATAAAGGTAATATAGTTTTCTTGTAACTCTATACAACAACGTCGATTTCCATCGACACGGAAAATATAATCTACCTCGTAGTATAGCTATCACCAATTGCGTGACGAAATTCAAGCAACCTTGCTCGAGCCTAATATATTACATTATTTATAATTACTCCCAAAATAGACTACATACAAACTAAAGCACAATACTGAATGCCAGATCAATGGACTATCCTATTCCAAGAAATTCATTATTTAGTAAGTAGTACCCCGATCATATTGTCGTCTTTTGGCGTATTTTCTTTCTTTTTCTTTTGTTTTTAACTATTACAAGAGAAACCTCTTCGCTCTTTGAGCTCAATGATTGAGGATAAACCATAGGGACGGTATGTATAAAATATTTCTCCATGAAAACTGGGAAGGAAGAACTGCGAATGGAAGTATATTCGAAACGTAGTAAGTACTCGTATCACGTGAGACTGGTTTATCAGTGAAAAATCCTATTAGGTATTCATATCAATTATGTAGTCCGATATCGCGCAGTCAACATAGTTAACGTAAAGTGTTTATGTACATATCCTTGTGTGCTGTCGGTCTCAATTTAAACGATTAGCAGCTTGAAACCAATGTCGCGTTATACGAGGTCTCGAGTAAGACGATGTGGCTAATAAACCCGGTCTGTATGAATTGTATGTATCGACGCGATAGGAAATCCATGTTTACTCGCAATTCGCCTAATTCTTCGCGAGAGATTTTAAGAGTAAGGGCTCGCAACGAGCGTAACTTATCGTACCATCGGAGCGCAAAAGCAATCATGAGCTACTTGGCAAATGCCGACTGTTCTCATCGAGCATCCGTATACCGCCATTACTGCCAAGGAGTTATTAAATGCACGACATACCGATACTAGAGTACTAGAGGTTCAAAGAGCATATCGTACAAGTTTGTGCGAGACAATGTGCATGGAGATGCGGAGGGTGTGACGACGGCGATGATGGAGGTGGCGTCATGTAAAGCCATCCGGCACCAGCTGGCCACACCGTAGCACCCGAAGACGAAACTGGAAGTAACGAACTCGACCTGCTATTCGTTGTCACGTGTGAAGAAGATCCACCCTCTACTCACATTACCTGAGGAATCATGAAATTGAATTAAAATCACGGCGTCTCGATCGCTTAACTAAACCCATGCAAAATAATTCCAAACGATACCGCTTATCGCTACCTCTGGAAGAAAAAGAAAAAAAGCATCCCTGCTCATCGACCCTAGGTACCAGAGGCAGGGAAAATCGACTAGTGAACTCTTATTAAAATTCAATGAAATGTAATAAAACGTAAAGAGAGGGATTTTTCAACCCTTCCCGGAATTTTAAGCCGTATCGTTTCCGCGTTTAATCGATGTTGGCCAGCGTCGCCGCCTAAGAAAGGGGGAATTTAAATACGATAACGGACGACACGGTTTTAACAGAGGTATCGGTTATCGATACCCGCTGACAGGGCTCAGCTCGGATTCGTTGCGTCCCCTACCTGCAGGATTTGGCTGGCCTCGAAAGCCGTGCCCGGTAGGAGAATGACAGGACTACTGACATGGCCGCTTTCCACGCAAATCATGTTCGGGAATTCGTCGTCGCCAAAATCCGGTATGTCCCGGGCTTTGTCCTGCCAGGGGTTCCACACGACCGTGTCGGGGAAATTGTACTTCTGTACGCGCATTTTCCTCCCCGAGACCACGTTCGTGATTATGTGCTCCGGCTGCGTGTTCTGATAAATCCTGTCCGTCCACTCGCATACGGTCACGACGTCCCGGCCTTCTTGGAAAATTTGGTTATCCCTAGTCTGCAAGAGTTCCCGAAGATGCGTCACTCGTTAGTCTCTATTAACTACGATAAGAGGGATTGAGATTAACCGAGGATACCTTGTCGATGAAGGTGCATCCATGCAGGCCGGTGATCTGACACCTCCGGACGTCCGGCACCTTGAAGTAGGTGTGCAGTAACAGGTTAAAGCTAAACGTGTGGTCCTTGCTCGGATTGTAGACGCCGATGTTGAAGTGCAGCTCCTTTTCCCGGAGGATTAACCTGTAAGTTAACCTGAACGAGTAGTTCCACATAGACCGCGTGAACTCGCTGTCCATTATCGAGAAAATTGCTTCGACGTCGCCGCTCGGCAGCCGCTCCGGGGATTTCTCGACGTTCCAGCGAATAATCCTGGCGAAGCCATGTCCTGGCCCGAACGTCCAAGCGCCAAATTGTGCTGAAAGGACGGGAATCGATTTTAGAAGAGAAATACGATCTGATCCGGTCCTGCAAAGAACCGATCGCCGTCGTTTACGTCAGGGAGTATCGCGAAACGTCGTGTTGCGAAAAAAGGAAACTCCTTATGCATGCGATTAAATCGGCTTTTTATAGAAAATTACAAGCTTCCAACCCGCGGTGCGTGTACGTACGCCTCGTAACGATCGTTCGCGGAATCGGGTCGATCACAAGGTACGTAGATTCAAGCTCAACTTACGAAATACGAACGGAATCCCTCCCCTGATGGCCTTCTTCCCGTCGAATACGGCTTGCTTGCTGAAACAGACGAAAGGTCGATTAGTCAAAATCAATTAGACGGGCTCGATCGGTTCGGGAATAATTTCCGAAGCTTCCGAGGAGGCCTACAACAATGCCGAACAGGTGGTGCATCTAATGGGTTGCCTCCGTCTTCTTCTTACATCTGAATAGCTCCTTTTCCGGGGATATACATACGCCCCTTCCCATGCGCGGGCTCCACTTTTATTTCCCATTTGTCGGCGCATTCCTACCTCTTGTATCTCCTCCAAATACTCGGATAAAAGGTCGGCCGAGGGTCGGGCTAATTTACGAGGACTCCCGAGAATTTTACGGTTAATCATTGCACCGGCGATTCTTTCGCCACGGTTAAGACAGGAAACACGAGTCACCTGGTCGCCCCTTCGAAAGCGCCGGACAAAACCCGGCGAGGTTAAGAGGAGAGAAACGGGACGTTCCTCCCGATTTCACCCAATTTTAATTGCCACCCACGGAATTTACCATTCCAAGGATCCCTTGTTTTTCCACTCATGAAAATTTCACCTCAAACGGCGACGTTACCTTTAAATCGATGCCTTTCCCCGTGAATTTCGTCAGAATATCCTGGGAAAAAATTCCTTCTTTCCCCCTTAATTCAATTTAATTTAATTTCATTTTACCGAACCGTCAATCTTGTCAAAATATCGTTGTGAAAAATTCCTTGCTCTTTTTTTTTCTCTTTTAATTTCACTTCAGTGAACCGGGAATTTAATCAAAACATCGCGGGAGGAAATTCATTTACTTTCATCTAATCTCATTTTAATTGTAATTCGTGCCGCGTTTCAAGCGTTGATTTTAACCGATAAATCGTCGCGTCGAAACACCGCAGGAGGAAATACCTCTTTTGGTGCGAGCGGCAGCCGACTCAATCGATCGACGTCGATCGACGGCGATCGATCGGAGCACGTACTCGCGCGAGAACGAGGCGCGAGTCCCCTCCCGAAGGGTTGCTGCGTCACGTATCAGAAAACTCATTTGTTCTTTGCTCAGCGACGGAATGTCGCGGAGGATAAGGTCCCGGGAGTCCCGGGGAACCATGGAGGTACACCAGGCGTTCTCGTGTGCGCCGAGGTCATTAGTCAAGCCTGTCGGGGACCACCGAGACGCCCTTAAGAAGGACCCCAGGAAGCCTCGAATCTGGCTCCGGCGCTATACGAAGGCCTTGGCGAGATTCACTTAAGCAACAAAAAGACCCGACGAATTGGCGTTTCTCCCGATAATATAAAATAACAGGTACCGCCGAATTCCCTGATAAGCCAATTCGCCAAGAGAAGAGGAATTAAAACGAGGAGTTAAAGAGGAGGGGGAGTATTTTCGAGACATGGGCTATTCTTGATCGTCCAGAATATCTAAAACCAAATGGCAGGAAATATGAGATCGTCGTCGACGTATCTCGAAAGAGTAGAATTTCCGAGTGAAACTTGACGTGCCCTCCCGCTTTTCCCAAGGGTGGAGTCCGCGCCGATTCCGCCGGGAAATCGAGATTCGATTTCGATTCCGCCGCCCCAGGGGTCGATTCTCGGTCGATTCTCGGAGCGAGTTTCCGCGAGTACGACTTCGGGGATATTTACCCTGGAAATGGCGGTACATCTCGCGGGGAGGGTTCTCGGGAATAACCGCGATGCCGAGGCAAGAAGCGAGAGTATCGTCCTCGTTAAGTAAATTCACTTACGCCTCCCGACTGCTCCGTAGTTTCGGAACGACTAAGGGAGCAGTCCCTTCCGGGCGGGAAAAATGAAATCTAGGTGCCCAGGGAAGCCCCGTTGACCGGGGCCCTCGAACCCTTCGTTATCGCGATACACTTCCTACGAACCCTTCCCCTAGCTGGGTCGCGACTTCGATAAAAAGCCGACATTTACATAAATGCAATCCGCGAAGTGGTCCGCGCTTTTTGCGCGCGAAGGGCTCGCGGACTCCGCGTCCTCCGGGTCGATACACGAAACCCTGGAGCCCCGTCCGGGTCTCTTGAAACGAGCCAAACGCGACATATTAATTCTAATAACGCAACGACCCCTTCACCGTGTAGTTCAAGAACCTCCCACCACCCCTGTGGGAAATTCCAATTCGGGTGGAACGCACCGTGTGATAATAAATCCGTAACAACGATTATCCGAGTCCTAACCTTCAAGACTTATTTTCACCCGAGGACATTTCCCCGAATTATATCCAACTATTCTCAAATAAGAGTCTCCCACCGTTGGTAATTCCAAAGAAATCCATAATTAAGATCCTTACTCAAGGATCCTCGATCCACGTTTTGGGGACCCTTCAGATTTTATGCGATTCAAGGATCCCGCGAAAACGAGGAAAGGCGCCATATTGGATTGTGCCTCTTTCGGAGCGTCCTTAAATTCTTCTTTTAAAATCGGAATTATATTAATTCCAGGACGTAGGAGGTCTTTATCGCAGGCCAGAATACCCGATCGTTCTCGAATCGCGTTTAATCCCGCCGGTTTGCATGATTCCAATGCGAGTGGAACACACAGGAGCGATGTACCACGAAGTATGGTGGTAGGAACGCGGCTGACGCGGGGCAAAAACGATCGCCGCTGTCTGGTGTGCTTTTTGTGGGCATCACAGTTTCCAACCTCCGTCGTCCTAGCCGTAGCCTGTAGCTGCAGCACCCAATTCGTGATGCGGTTACGCCCGTTGTGCCCGGAATATTCTCTACACGCCCGAGACGGGGCGATCTCGATCGTGGCTGATCGTGTCGATCGAGGTGAGTTTCTTTTTTTTCAAAATGGCCGTTTGGCGAAACGCGGTCGCCGGTAAAGAATGCAACTGGCTAAAATATAAGGCTTTTCAGGCCCCGCAGAACCGGAGTTCTCTTACGGTCCTAAAGATTTTAAGTAGGATCCAAATTTCGAGTGGAACCATTTGAGCGAAATATCGCGCTCGGTCGATCTCGAATCTCCGAAATGATCTCCAAGATGACTTACGAATCTTTGAAACGGGACGTCAATATCCATCCTTTCGGCTAATTCGTCCTTCCGAATTTATCAATTCGAAGAAAAAAACAGCCAAGATCGCAGGATCTCCGCATGGCGGAGCGATTAAGAAGCGTGGACACGATCGTGCGTGCTTGTCCGGGAGATCCGATTTTTCTCGGGGCATCTTGCGAGCCACCGAGACGACCTCGCTTGGATCGATACGGGAGGGATCGATCGGTCGATCGGAGACCCGTTCTTCGGCCGACCCGGGACCAAAGCGGCTTCTTGTCGAGGCTCGGCTCCGATGACTTCGCTCGAGGAACCAGAGCTCCGAGCGAAAACCGAAGAAAAACTGATCCCCGAGCCTGCAAAACGGGCACCGTCACGGCCCGCGAAACAAATCTTCCCTCCCATTGACCACCATTGACTTTGACTCTCGTTACCCGGGGAATAACTCTCGGCACTTTGGTCGCTTTACTCTCGCTCCCGGAACCTCGCATCGACTTCGATCTAACCCTTTATCAACCACAAAAAACGCATTTTTCTCCCAAAGAATAATTCCGACCACGTGCGTGCACTTAACGATTCCCCACAAGGACCCGATTCTGAAATTCGTACGAATAGATTCGCATGAAAAATGTCGCATTTTCGCGAAGCCACGTAATTAGTCAACGTTTGAAACTCGTAAATGAAATTGTCAATCTCACATGCGAAAGTCGATCTCATATGAACTCGAGAATCAGGTCTCAGGTCCTCGAACCTTGCTTTCAGTCGAAAAAGGCGCGCGGTTTAAATCGAGCTTAAATTGTCATCGCGTAATTACTAATGTTTAGGCGTTCGATACGAAGTTACGGACGGGCGATAAAATACGTAACTCCGTATCGAACTACCCAAACTGTCCGGCGATTCTCCGGTTTGAATTTTTTCTTCCGAACGGCGGCCAATCTCCTGAGTGCCAGACACCGGGCTGAGAACTTCTGCAGCGTTCCATCCGCGGAATTATTCCCAGCGATCGTTTTCTTGTCGCGAGAGCAGAGGGCTCGATTCGAGGAGGCATTCCCGGAGGAAGCGTCGTCGGATCGCCCGGCCGGCAGCGATTTCTTAATATCCTGTAACAAGCTGGGAGCGATTTTACGAGGGCAGGCCGCGCTCTTCGAAAAACTCCCGTGTATACACGGGCACCGATCGGCGCGCGGCCTCGACGAGCGGTAATGCGAAATCGATATTTAAACGCTATACACGCGTAGAATTTCAAAACCGAACTCGCTGCTCGGCATCCCGAAGTGTCCCGGACGTGCTCGAATCGGCCGAGGAAAAAGAAATAGCGTTAAACATAGCCCTATCAAACGATCACACGACACGCAATAACAAAAAAGTGAGAATAATTAGAAAACAAAATTCCTAACTTGACTTGAAATATACTTACGCACGTTGTATACGTGCGCGAAGTGTATGCGTGAAACGCCACCGAGTTCTTAACGCGAAGTTTGGATTTCTTATCCCTGTGATAATGAATATCTCGGTGTCTTAAAGTTTAACGTTATTTTCATTTTTAAGCGTCCTTATCCCTCGGGATCTAATCCGACCGCTGGGGCAGGGATCCGGGAGAGAAACGTCCAGCGGAAACGCGGAGGAAACGCGGAGGCGCCTAGGCAAGAAATCCGCGATTCCGTCTTCCGTCAATAATTGGCCGACCGTAAAGCGGCAGCCGGGACTGCGTCGGGGAACGACACGAGAGTAGCCGCCATCACGGGAGATAACGAGAAGATAAGTGCAGCTGAAATTATACGCCGCCTTTTTTGTCACTTAACCGCCGGCTACCTTCCAGGGAAGACATTATTTCGTTCACGGAAACATCCTAGCGGCGCTCTCGGACATATCCACTAGCTCTCTAATGCCTATCATCGGCGGACGTTCCGCGCCCGATCGATCGCGACTCGCGATCGATCGATCGATCGGCCGCCGACGCGAAGCGTCGCGACAGAAGACGCCTTCGACGTCACTCCCGTCGCGCCGATGCATCAAACCATGACAGCTTTCCTTTTGCTCGAT